CTTGCCACGCCCAAGAAGCACGAGAACCCTCATGAGCAGAAAGTATAGTCGAAGAGTGGTGGTACCTAGCCTTGTAAAGTAACGCAATCGTGGAGCCGGGGAATTGCAGCAGCCGCCAAGCCTGTTTCGCTAGGAGTGCGATGGTAAATCGATCAAAATCCCTAAAACCCAATCCTCCCTCAAAATTACTGTGACATACCTCAGGCCAACCAATGCATACCCTTCTCTTTGTCCTGGTCAGCCCACCAAACCGCGCCAGTTGACTATTCATCCTGCGACGGGACGTAGCCGGGATACGGAATGCTGACATGGCATAGATCGTTGAGGCAGACCCGACTAATTTGATCACTATTTCTTTGGCAGCCAACTACATCGACTTAGTCTTCCACGAGCGAATACAGGCAGCCAATCCATCTTCCAAGAACTGAAATGTCCTGGTTTTAGACCGTTGAGTCTATACAGGTAATCCCAAGTATTTATCCTGCAGGCTTGCCACCGACACCCCAAGAAAGGCTGCCAAGCTTGCTCTCTCCTGTTCACTTACATTAGCCCTAGTACAGATGGTGGATTTCTGCAAATTAATCTGTTGTCCACTCACGAGACCATACTCCTAAAAAATATGTAAAAGGTGATCACATTCAGGGATAGATGCACGAAGGAACAAGTATGTATCATCGGCAAACATTAAATGCGACGTAACAGAGGCCCTACGATGAATCCTCAACCCATGAAGGCTGCTGGGATGAAGTTCATGAACAATTTTAGCCGTAAAGGCCTCAGTATATAAAGCAAACAGCAAAGGGGAGAGAGGGTCACCTTGGCGAATGCCACGTTCCGGTTTGAAGTACCCATATGTATCACCATTAATGTTGACAGAGAAGCTAACTGTCGAGATGCAGGTTTTGATCCACCTGAGCCAAGTTCTGGTATTAAAACCCTTCCGCGACCCTCTTAAGCGATGGTGAGACAAACTTCAATGAAGGCATTGTGTCCCAAAGAGGGAGGGGAGTGTATGTAACAACACCTTACACAAATCCCCATATGTGATTCATAAGTAACATCCAAACTTCATTAACTTTTGTTTCTTATTCAAAGTTAGGACTTAGGACCCATCATCTGATTGATTATTGTACCACGGGTAAAATACCTCGGGTACCACTTAAGTTTGAGAATTGGGGCAGACATACCACTTAACTTTGAATAGGGCGTCGGGTACCATTAAAGTCACCAAAATGTGCATCCGTCTAGTTTTCCATCCAACCCAACATTTTAATTAGTTTTTGGTACCCAAAACTTTTAAAAACATCCAAAACTATATTTCAACAAGTTTTTATCTAATATAGAAATTAAAAAACCTTCTAAACATAATATTACTAAAATGACTAATCAAAATTTTCAATAAAATAGATGATTTAGTAAAAAATAATAAGCAAATATCAAGAAGAAGAATAAATATATAGAATATAATAATAAATATTTAAAATCAATATTAGAAGATCTATTTAAATCACTAATCCGATAAGAAGTACCATTAAAAATAGTTAAAATAGAATCTAATCGATCATCAATGCATCAAGACCAAAGAAGGATAAATGGAACATAGTTAGAAAAAATTAAACATATTGCAGTAATTGAAGAAAATTTAGAACGAAAATAGAACGAAGTAACCAAGAAAATTATACAACATCCAGATGATGTACGAGAATTAAATATAACATACTCATATTATTTATATCGTTATAGAATTCATAGGATATATTTTCTTAAGCAAATTATTCGATTATTATAACATATAATGGTAATTTAAAGTACTTATAATGATAATTGATTCTACATTTCCTATTCAAAAATTGGTTTGGTATCAAAATCTTTAAAAAAAGAGAATAATTCAATTATTAGATAACATAATGATAATTAAAAATACTTATAATAATAATTGATTTTAAATTTTCTATTCAAAAATTAATTTGGTATCAAGTTTTCAAAAGAGGATATCAATTAAATAATAAAAATTGATGTTTTTCATAAATCAAAATGATTTTTTACAATAAGAAAAGTAGAAGGACCAATTAAGAAATTTAGAAAACACAATATTCCAAGAATATTCTGTTAATTTTAATGAAATGCACTAAACATTAAACTTAAGTGCTACCGGATGCACAAATAATAGAGTTCAGTGATACCCGACGCCCTATTCAAACTTAAGTGATATGACTGTCACAATTCTGAAACTTAATTGGTATCCAAGGTATTTTACCCTTGTAACACTTTAATCAGAAAATATGAAATTGAGAAGCTTAAATATGACACGAATAATAGTTGAAGGATCAAAAAGCATTATCATCAATTTTGTAATTCCAGAATCGGGAAGGAAAGAGGGAAGAAAAAAGCTCCGCCTCCCAGCCCAGCCAGCCGCACACCTCGCCTAACTGCAACCTTGAATTCGCGCCTCGCCGTGCAAAATTATCACGGCGCCTCTTCCTTTCAATCTCCTTCCCCTCGATTCGCACCTCCTAGGGTTCCTATATTTTCGCGCTTCGATTCTCATTTCTCAAATCTCAATCCCTTCGAATTTTTCTTTTCCTGATATCTCTTTGAATTCCCAATTCAATCGGTTTCGTATCCCTCGTTGATTCTCGGGCGCTCTTCATTTAGAATGCCGCCGTTCAGCTCCACGTCCAAGGCGCTACGGTCTCTGATAGCCCGTTCGGGCCGCTCGAAGCATTTCGTTGTCGCCCCAGCGAAGCACAATCAAATTCGGTGCTCCAGAAGCATTACTGGAGTCTCGGCGCCGTCGAGTGTGATTGATTTCGGGGGGGATTTCAGCTCGGCGTTATTGGGGAGTTCGTACAGCGGAAGCTCTGTGGTTCAACGGAGGCGATTCCTCGGATGCGGAGACGGGGAAGAAGGCGGTGTTTTGTCCAAGGTTTACGAAGAGAGACGCGTATTAGGGTGATTTTTTTTTTACCAGTTTCTTATGCTGATTTCTGTTGATTAAGCTTGTCAATGGTGTTGATGAGAGCTTTTCTTTCGCCTGTTGCAGGTATTCCCCGGAGCAATTGTTTGACGTGGTCGCTGCGGTGGACTTGTATCATGGGTTCGTGCCCTGGTGCCAGCGGTCTGATGTCCTCAAACGTTACCCGGATGGATCATTTGATGCCGAGCTGGAGATTGGGTTCAAGTTTCTGGTTGAGAGCTACGTTTCTCACGTTGAATTGGAGAGACCCAAGATGGTCAAGGTATCCATTTTCTGGCTTTTCTTACGAGGTTTGATCGCTTCAGTTTCATTATGGGATAAGGAAAACTCCGAAATGCGTCGAAGTTTGCTTAGGTCATGAACTGTAGATGGGCATGGGTGACCCTCAGAAGGGAATTTTTATTCTGAATTTAGTTCATCCTTCAGAACCAGAACATTTGAACTTTGATAATCTCAAGTGAAATTCTGAAGGCCAGGTTCTCAGCATGAGTTAGATTAACATCTTGACATGTGTGTGGAGAAATGAAAGGAAATGAATTGATCTTTACTTTGGTGTGTCCTCAAAGTTTGAAGTCGGGAAGCCGTTTCTTTCTCGTGTTAGAGATTCTAGCACATTGCACTTGTCATTTATTATAGTCCTACTGATTTTATAGTTTCCAGCTTATAGTGTGGAATAGTAGGGTGTAGTTGCTAAGCTTAACTATTAGTTTCCAAGTTCATTCTGCTTGTACAGCTGTAACATGTTCACATTGGGTTCTTACTTTCAGACTACTGCATCCCAGAGCGGCCTTTTTGATCACTTGATAAACATATGGGAATTTAATCCCGGACCTGTTCCGGGCAGCTGTGATCTTCACTTTTTGGTAGATTTTAAGTTTCAGTCACCACTCTACAGACAGGTAAGCACAGTATGCTTTCTGCGTAATGAACTTTTTCTCTTTTAAATTTTGGCGAATCTTCATCCTTGCGTATTAAGTCACTTCATAAAGCACTTCCAACATGTCAATACAATCACGTCCATTACATAAAACTACGTAAGTTGTTCTAGAACAATCAATGAACTAGTTTATCCGAAGGTAGGATACCAACTGTCAGCATGAACTAGTTTAGGTGAAACATTGAACACTAGCAGAAAGTGGGTTTTATAAAATGCAATGCTTGAGGATTATGTTCAGATGACATCCATAAGAGATTAATAGGTCCGCCTCCCTCCCTTAAAAGCTATTTGCTGTAGATTGTGTGAATGCCTACTTGTCTCTGTGGATCTAATTTATAAAGGTGAAATATACTGGGCTGCAGCAAACTAGGGGCATAATGTGTAACATTCAGAACATGCTAGTGCTTTGGGAATTAATCTATGGTCCTGTATTCTGTGGTACTCTCTGCCCTAGTGTATGGCAGCATTTCTCCATGCTAAACATGCTAGTGGGTTGAGGTGAAAGATGCTGCTGGTCAATCTGATTGGTCTATGTATCTTGATTTCCAATATCCCACTTATGTGAATGACTACCTGAGCATTTTGTTGTTGGAATTCCTCCAAGTTCATTTAGTTTCCAGGCTAAGTCCAATTGGATACTATATAGGTGCTTGATTCTTTGCTTTAATGTCTGCATCTATGACAGTGTGTTGGGATCGGATATGTCATTGTGAGTTTGTACTTCAATTTCGTGTTTTGAAATATACTTGGGAGTGCATTCCTGATACTTTAGTAATATGGAGATAAATGATTGTCTTGCGAAAATGAGTGTCCTTGCTATGATCCAGCAATATGTGACTTTTATTTTGCTTCACCACTCTTGCGGTGTTCAGATTGTCCTGCTATCTTAATTATGTAGTTGGTATGAAGTATCTGAGATTCAATGTATTTTCCCAATTTGATTTTGTTGAGAATTCTTATTTAGTAGTCAATTCAAATATGTGCACAATTTACCGCCTGGCCCCTCAACTGGCCTCCTTGTAATCTATCAACATCTCTAATACAATTGATAGAATGTGAACCTCTCATTCTTTTATAAGTGAAAGAAAAGGTGGCTCTTCTTTTTTCTACAGTAATTGCTATCTCTCTATGCTACTGCGCAAGCTCCACCAGTTTGTACTTTGTGGCACTGCATTTCTCTGCAAATGTGATTTGTTAGAATGACAAGTAGGAGAATATTGGAAATTGCATTCGGATGTCACTACTCATACTGATGTGGAAGATGACCTAAATGTTCTTCTGGTTCAGGGATATCTACAAGACTACAACATCTTACATTCTTGTCTCTGTAACTTGGTGACATCATAGGAAGATGGGCATAACACGGATACACAATCCTTCTTGATAATTCATTCAGTAGGCATGTGATTACAGAAAATTTACGGATTTAGTCTGTCTACCAGGAGCTATCGTTCCTTTAATGTTATGTTGCATGTTTGTATTTTAGATTTCCACCTTTGATAAATAATATATTGGCTGATGAATTTGCACAAATCTTCTATGAAGGAACTGGGAATGAGTAACGTTTGATATTCGGATCCTTAATTTCTGTTAATGCCTTTGTTTGGACAGGTTGCATCCATGTTTTTCAAGGAAGTGGTATCCCGTTTAGTTGGTTCGTTCAGTGACCGCTGCCGTTTGATATATGGACCTGGAGTCCGAGTCCTTGAGAACTCTTATGAACACAAGGCGTGAAAAAGCTTCTCTCTTTTAACCAGAACCAAATCTATACTGAAAGAACCCCTTGTCCATCAATTCTTAGGTCGAGAAATGAACATTTTGAGCACATGAGGGGGTTCCTCTTGTTTTCTTGTACTCCTAGCCTCTTTCCCCATCTCATTGATTGTAATTTCAAGGCTATAAGTAGGCAAATATTTTACTCCATTCACTGATATTATTCACTTTAGATGTATCAATTATCGTTGAATGAAATGAAAAGATTGATGGATTTTCACTTGACGGTTCTTGATTCCTGCTCTAGTTTACCAGTAAGCTATAATCATGCCCTTTGTATAGCTGATCAGCATACCTTGATGAAGAAGCAGGTATAGTGGGAGCCCTTCTGCAGAGGAAGCAGAACCGGAAAATGTCATCAAGTTGATAAGGTTGCTTTCAGTCAATTCATCTTATTAGGTAAACATACTCTTCACTTCTTCTCTCCTTTCTTCACTTTTGTTCTTTGTGATAAACGACATGGAATGTAAAAGTAAAAGAAGGCTTGAGATAAGAGTTTGCTAATGGATGACAGACCATACATAAGATTTTTAGGGGGAAAAAGGAAGAAAAAGAAGAGACAAGTTTTAGGAGAGTGTTGACTTGCTAGGATGGCTGATGTTGAACATTATGTTTAGGAACAGTTTCAACCTTTATCCTAATCCTTTGAAAGATAAGAGTTGTGTTGCAGATTTGCATGCAAGAAGTGACCTACTGATATGGCAGTAGCATTACAATGTGAGGCATAATAAGACAAACGATCAGTGAGCTTCTCACGTATTGAATTAGTGGAAGTAGAAAGAGGGGTCGTAATCTTTCGACATATCAGCACAATGATGATGCTGTGATGTTTGTTGATGATGTTGATCATTGATCATTTTGCTTCTGAGATTCCAAGGAAAAATAATTGAATTTCACTTTTAGGGATACTCCCAGCTGGAGGGAGAATTGGTGTCTGGTGATATTGAAATGTCTGGTAGGGTCCTTTTTAGCTAATGAGTCGTCCCTTAGGAAGGAGCAAAGAGGGGAATGATTTGATACTGATATTTTATATATGGTGGCTCAGATTGTAATCCAGCCATGAGTTACAGCTGGGATGGATCTTTCATCTTAGGAAAGAGATCAGTCTGTGAATTCGAAATCTCTGCTGTCATTGTACATGTCTCTCCCTATCTATCTTCTCCCTTTTTCCCCACACCACCTCTCTTATTTGCACAAAAAGAAAGATGGAAATTGAAAAGATTTCGATCCAAACCCTACTCTTTTCCCCCTTTTCCTCATTATCATATTCTTCATACCTGCACTAAAACCACACCTAGAAAGAAACAACCAGATCCTTAATGGGATGCGATTGAGTCAGACCAAGACCTACTTAACAAAAGACAATAGCATTCATTCATAATTTTTGCTTCCCTCTCCTCTTTTATTTGTTGGTTTGGCTTGTTTCAATTTATCTGGTGATGACTGTCTGTGGCTGAGTCTATCGACTTGTCATACTGGAGTGAGTATGGGAATGGAGAATACTTGGAATAGCACTCTTCTCCTAATTTGAGTGCAATGCATAAGTCTCTCTGCCTTCTCTTGTTTCAAAGTTCGATTATTATTTGTGACAGTGAAACACATTTTTGTTGGCAGTCGTTTATCCGTTTGTGGGATCATCTGCAATAACAGGATTAGTCATCGTTGTCGATGGTGGATCGGATTATCCTCTAAGTTGGTATGAGATGACTTGAACGTTGGTCTCTGATAATAGGAAGGAACAGGAGACGTGAGTAGGTTCTGAGATGATAAGCTTGTGGCGTGAACCAAAAGAGGGAGAGGAGATAAGATTTAAGAAGCCTAGCCCGACTTGCTTGGCCGTAGAGGGATGAAAGCGAAATAAACCGAAAGGGATACTGGAATAAATTACTGTTACGAATCAAAAAGAAATTTGGCTTTGTAATTGTTTCGATAAAAATAAAATGGCTTTGTTATTTATTTTCGTCTTTTCCTTCTCCCCAAACTGAGCCACAAAATTTGGCCCAGGACCTGCACCAGCGACCAGACCCACCACCCTAAAGCTTTTAAAATACGTTCTGATTTCATCATTCTATTTCAGCCAAGGTTGTCGACCCGTGGGTTGACCCGGACCCGATTGAGCTAGTGGGTCAAGGGTTAATGGGTCACCCGTTTTAGCATATAATATTACACCAAAATAACATTTCATACTTAGATTCAACATATAGTGAAAATTCACACACACTTATATAACATTAATATTCAAATGTTCAACTTAGGATTACAAAGATTGAGTTAGGCGAAAAGGAAAATCGGAAAATAGGCGCATTTCGCAAAACAAAGAAAAAAAAAGACACAATTTGACCTCCAACCCAGTAACTTGTAGCGGTTGACCCGGCGGGTGCGTGCGGCCCGTTTTTCTGACCAGATCAGGGTCAAAGTGGGTTAACCCGCGGGTTGACAACCTTGATTTCACCCAACTCTTTTAGTCTCTTGAATAATAGTTTAACAACATCGATAAGAACATGTTACGTGGAGCTGGTACCTTACTCCCGAGTAATTGACCTAGTGATAATGTAATAACTAAGGGATAAATTGAGAGGGGTGGTGGGGTTAGAGGTCAAGGCAAATGGAATCTTGGAGGGTAAACTAACACTAGAGATGGCAAGTAGCCGAGACTTTGTCAGTTTCATATATGTGTACGTAGGAATAGGATGCCAACAAAACAAAGGGGCATGTGTATATTTAAAAAGGATGTGGGTTGAGTTGGGCTGTACTTAGTTGTAACTTTGGTTAGTCTCTTCTAGTCGACATTTGTCCCATGAATCCAAATCAACGTGTAGTATATATTATCATTCTCATATTTCCACTAAATCAACCCCTAACACTGTTCGATGTATCGACCAACTTCAAATTTAAGGCGAGACGAACAGACTTTACATTTATGCTATAAGCTCTTTACCAAAGTTCACCCTGTGATCGAAGACGACCGTAACTACTTTCTTTAGTTTCTTGTAACAAGGCAAGCATTGGGTGGCCCGACCAGTACTGCTCAGGGATGACAAAAATATTCGTAATCGTTGATATCCGCTAGAATATGACCTAATTGGGTAGAGTAAACCTCGAACCCGAAGGACTTTGGGTAATGAGTGTACATGATTTTCTCACTATCCAACCCGAACCCACCCAATTATACACATGCATATATATTTTGTCTAGAAATAATCATTATTATTCTCTAGCATATTTTATATTTATCATATAAATATAATATTTTCATGAAATTGTGTTGTCTTAATTGATTTTCTTCATTCTAGTGAATCATTGTCGTACTTTTCCTCTTACGTGATGTGATTATATGTGTGAATGTTAACATATTAGTTGAACTAAATTATTATGCATGGATAACCGTGGATACCCGAAACCCGAACGGATATGGGCAAGCAGTCAAAAATTGGGATTTTACGTAAAATAAAAAATGGGGATAAAATCGAAATCGTAAAATCGTAGGATTGTAAGGTCCATATAAAAATGAAGACGGAATAATATTAGTAAGGAAAATCATGAATAACACAAAAGCACATAACACTTACAATGATAATTTTTCAAAGTTAATGTTCCAATTTATCAAGATTAATGTTAAGAGGTGGTGAATCGATGATGATTAATACGTTGATGTGAATTTATTATTAGTCAATGGTGGTTAGTGTGAGAGAACTAGATGATGTTGGTGGAGGAGAAGAAAACGAGGCGTGATTTTGCAAATTCGGGGGAAAATAAGTAAAATTGACTCAAAGATTTGAACCGTAAAATCGTAAGATTTTAAGGATTTAAATCGTGAATAGTGTAGGATTTTAAGGTCCATAGATTTTATAGTGAAATTAGAATCGGAATGGGCAAGTAAAATCGTAAAAGCGTAGGATTTTAGGATTTAAATCGGGATTTTGACTATTCTAGGTATGGGTATGAATAAAACTCGAATTATATTGAGTAGGGTAACAGATATGCATGGTCCGCTCTCCATCCAACCGGTTGCCATCCCTCTTTGACCAATCAAATGGATATGTACGGAAGATGGAAAAATATGTGTCAATTCTGCGGTATAAAATTCTATCAGAAAAGGGGAAAAGTCTGCACGACCGATACAGTGCGGATATATGAACGAATGAATGAATTTTGGATGTGTATCTTTGAGTGTATCTTGTGTAGATTCTGTGTTTGCCCACTAGGATCCAAAGCAGTATCTTGTGCTGGATATATATAATCGAGTGCGACTATTCCAAATCCACCACTCTGCAGCAGCCGCAGCGAGCGAGCTCAGGAGAAAGCGGTCACGTAAAAGATAGAGATTATGAATAATTTTATATTTTCTTTGTTTTTTTTATAGGATTTCTGTGTCTTTCTGGTATTAGCATTATTGTAGTTTTCCTACTTATTGTTCAAGTCTTGTAATCTATACAAATCCTTTATCATTTCGTAATAATACAAGTTACAAATTCGAGATGAAAGCGTTCAGAGCCAGACGAACGATGGAGGAAGGCGATGTAGTGTTTCGATCTGGTGAAGAAGTGAACCTGGATTCTCAGGTGTATTGGTGTCACGACAAGTATCGGCCCAGGAAGCCCAAGTACCGACCCCGATCGACAACCTGCCTCCGAAAATAGTTAAGGGTTACAAGTTCAACATCTTTTACCCTGATCTCGTCGACCTCCAATGTACACGATAGAAAGGGACGGGAGCAGCGACGAGACATGCATCGTCCGGTTCCATGCTGGACTGCGAATAAGGAGTGGGAATACTCTCACAACAATGGATTCAAATGCACGTTTGAGCGTGGGCACGTCTACTTCAACTTCAAACGCCATCGCTACCGACGATGATTTACGAGCATTCTTATCTGGAACTTTATATTTCCTTTGGCCGTTAGAGCAGAGTTGGCAGATCATTTAGTTTTTTTTCCCGATAATGGTAGAAATATTATTACCAACGAAATACACCAGTTGTATATGAAAAAAGGAGAGACTACTTAGGATGTTACGGATTTGTATGTGTATCAATGTAATGACATCATCTTTCATGTAATTCTGAGAATCTATCTCTAACAGCATGCACGACAGAACGAGGGCTTCATTGGCTGGTTTTAGCAGGAGATTCGTTCTATCGTGGTTGTTGCTGTTGTTGAGTATGATAATGCTGCAACTGCGCGCTGATTGTTGGCCAACAAGCCAGCAAATTAAATGGGGGATCGGAGCTGGGAAAAGGAGACTTGTCATAAGCGTTCCATCCTGTACGTATGTCACGTAAAGGTGACAACTAAGCAGAAAACAAAGGAAATGTTTAGGGTTTGGTTTCCGTATTAGCTTCGTGAACCTGGTGATGATGATCTTCACGATGTAACCCCGATCGAGGAGTGTATATAAAGTGTAAAAGAAATATTTTCATTTCAGTGGGTGGAGAGAACGGCATAAGAAAATTAAGCAGTGTTTAATATGCATTACTTTTTTTGTGATATTTAGTGGCGATTTTAAATGGTTATCCGACATGCTCTAACGAAAATAAGAAAGCTACAATTGGGTTGTTTTGGAGGAGCGTAATTTTATTGTTATGTCTGTCACCACTGTTCTTTACGGATCGGAAAATAGGCGAGAATTCGACAATGCAAGAAAATGAAAGTGTGCACACACGACACACGATTTACGTGGTTCACTAAAACAATGTGTACTAGCTAGATCACGGACAAGAGAGAGTCAGTTTCACTATACTTTATAAGATACATATTGCAGAAAAGTATGAGAAGTATTTATAGTACTTCTCCTAGATCTAACTCTAATCCAATCTGATCAGCGAGACCCCGTGTGTTGTAACGAGCAATCCTCCTATTTAAACATTTAGATCAATGGGATGAAAATCAAGCCTTACTATTTCTTCAAATCAAAATTTTATTGTATTTATTTTATAGTAGAACCTAATTACTTTATTCTAGCTCAACACCAGCACGACTACAAAAAATAATAGCTAAAGTGTCAATTTAAATTGAGCTAAAATATCATTAAAAGACAGAAAAAAATACCACAATAGAGATGCACCGATCGTTTTATACAATTTAAATGTTACAAAAGTGCCACTCAATTCCGTGTCGCTAATTTCATTTGTGACAATTGTTACGTCAGCAACAATTTTTTTGTGAAGTTTATTTTGCATTATTAACATTTCTTAGTAGTGTTGTTGATATGACTTAAATCGGACTATCAGCCGCTACGATTGGTAATCGGGGGTCTCGTTGCCCGGTGTATGAGCTCAATGTTATTTGGGTTCGGGTTCTGGGCCTGGTCTGTAACCGTTTCCTTTGCCAGATTGGATTAGGTTTAGACCCACATGGAAAAGTACTATAAATACTTCTCATACTCCTCTGTAATCTGTAATCTCCTCGATATAGTGAAACTGGCTCTCTCTCACCCGTGGACGTAGCTAACACACATCGTGTTAGTGAACCACGTAAATCGTGTGTCGGGTTTTCGATTCTCGCTTTCGTATTCTTGCTTTGTCGATTCCTGCGATTTCCTGATCCGTAGCAGCGCGTTTATAACAAGTGGTATCAGAGCCGCGGTTGGAAATCAGGCTAGGGTTTTTCGATTCAGAAGAATGACGTCGGTGAACATGAAGATCGAAAAGTTCACGGGGAAGAACAGCTTCGCTATATGGCAGATCAAGATGCAGGCTTTATTAAAACAGCAAGGGATGTGGGGGCCGCTGTCTGCGAAACAGAAGAAGGCAGCGGTCGATGACGATGAGTGGAATACCCTGGAGGAGAAGGCCCACTCGACCATCATGCTATCGTTGTCTGATGACGTCATCATTGAAGTCGCTGCTGAGAAGACTGCCGCGGGCTTGTGGTTAAAGTTGGAGAGTCTGTATATGACGAAGTCCTTAACCAACAAGCTGCATCTCAAGCAACGGTTGTTCAGCTTGAGGATGCAAGAAGGTACGCCTTTGAGGGAACATCTCGAACAGCTTAACTCTATTTTGCTGGATCTGCGTAATATAGATGTTCAAGTTGATGACGAGGATGCTGCCCTAATCCTACTGGTTTCTTTGCCGAGTTCATATGAGAATTTCGTTGATTCTTTTATTGCTGGTAAAGAAAGCGTGTCGTTGGAGGATGTCAGGTCTGCTCTTCATACGAGAGAGATCAGACATAAGGCGTCCGGATCTGGTACAGGTGGTGAGGCATCGGGTTTGGCTGTTACAGGTGGAAAGGGAAGGAAGAAATCTGGTAAAGGGAATTCGAATAAGAATTCCAAGGGTCCCGGTCCACAGCCAGGTGATGCTTGTCACAACTGTAAGGAAGTGGGGCATTGGAAGTACAACTGTCCCAAGAGGAGAGGGCAACAGAAGAAACAAGGTTCAGTTGCCGTGGCAGAAGTGGACAACAGTTCAGAAGACAATCTCGCCTTGGCTGTAGATGAGAAGGCACATCGTGGTGATGTGTGGTTTCTAGATACTGCAGCCTCATACCATATGTCTCCGAACAGGGATTGCTTCACAACCTACGAGCAGATAGATGGTGGTAACGTGGTCATGGCAAATGGTGCTGTCTGCAAGGTTGTTGGAATCGGGTCCATAAAGGTTCGGACACATGATGGTTCGTTCTGTACCGTGAATGATGTCAGGCATGTTCCACGAATGACAAAGAACCTGATCTCCTTGAGTCTACTCGACAGCAAGGGTTTCAGTTTCAAAGGAAAAGGTGGAGTTGTGTATGTCTACAAAGGTTCAAGGATGGTGCTGAAGGGCGTGAAGCGTGGGACCTTGTATGCATTACAAGGGTCTGTGTTGTCTGGTTCTGCTGCCGTTGCATCGTCTCAGGTTCATCAGGAAGATATGACCACTCTCTGGCACATGAGACTGGGGCATATGAGTGAACGGGGGATGCAATTTCTGTCGAAGAGGGATCTTCTTTGTGGGCACAGGATGCAGAATTTGGAATTCTGCGAGCATTGTGTGTTTGGGAAGCTACATCGCAGCAAGTTTCCCAAGAAGGGTATCCACCGGACGAAAGGGATACTAGATTACCTCCACTCCGACTGTTGGGGTCCTTCACGAGTTGAATCCATTGGAGGCAGCAGGTATTTTCTGTCTATTATTGATGATTATTCGAGATTTACTTGGATTTTCATGATGAAGCAGAAAAGTGAGGCTTTCACGAAGTTCAAGCAGTGGAAGACATTAGTGCAGAATCAGACCGGTAAGAAGATCAAGAAGCTGCGAACGGACAATGGTCTGGAGTTCTGTAGTTCTGAGTTCAACGAATTCTGCAAGGATGAAGGGATTGCCCGTCATCGGACTGTGAGAGATACACCCCAACAGAATGGCATTGCAGAAAGGATGAACCAGACATTGTTAGAGAGAGCACGGTGCATGCTCTCTAATGCTGGACTAGAGAGAAGATTCTGGGCAGAAGCAGTGAACATGGCGTGCTTCCTGATCAACCGTGGACCTCACACAGGTATCGAGTTGAAGACTCCTTATGAGGTGTGGTATGGTAAGCCTGCGGATTACTCTTCCCTGAAAGTTTTTGGGTGTCCTGTTTATTATCATGTGGATGAGGGTAAACTGAACCCAAGGGCAAAGAAGGGTGTATTTGTGGGTTACGGAGATGGAGTTAAGGGATTTCGAGTCTGGTCACCTTCTGAGCATCGAGTTATACTCAGTAGAAATGTGATATTTGATGAGAAGTCTATGTTTAACCCCATGTTGAAGGTTACTGTTGTTGAAGGTAGCAGGAATGTTGATAAGCAGGTGGAGCTGCAAACTCTCAATGAGAGTGAGTTTGAGCACCAAGGTGGAGAAGATCAACATGATGAGGATGTCTCTGCAGAGCCAGAAACTTCAAAGTCCGGTGCACGAGCTCAACAGTCTATTGCTTCCGGTAGACCGAAGAGAGCGACTGCAGGAGTACCTCCACAGAGGTATGGTTTCGAGGACATGGTGGCGTATTCATTTCAGGTTGCTGAAGAAGTGGATGCAGGAGAGCCACAGTCCTATAGAGAAGCCGTTTCGGGTGGCGAAGCTGATCAGTGGCTTGCCGCAATGGGAGATGAGATGGAATCCCATGACAGAAATCAGACTTGGGAGCTAGTCATACGACCACAGGGAAGGAAGATTGTTACAAACAAGTGGATCTACAAGAAGAAGGAAGGAATCACTTCTAAAGAGGGCATGAAATTTAAAGATCGGGTGGTTGCACGAGGCTTCTCGCAGAGGGAAGGAGTTGACTACAATGTGATTTTCTCACCAGTGGTCAGACATACTTCGATCAGAGTGGTACTAGCAATAGTGGCACATTATGACTTGGAGCTCGAGCAGCTAGACGTGAAGACAGCTTTCCTACATGGAGAGTTGGAGGAAGAAATTTACATGACTCAGCCAGAAGGATTCGAGGTTCCTGGAAAAGAAGACTATGTTTGTAAGCTGAAGAAGTCCTTGTATGGACTTAAGCAGTCTCCGAGGCAGTGGTACAAGAGATTTGACAGTTACATGCTTGAGCTGGGCTACAGCAGAAGTCCATATGATTGTTGTGTATATCACAGCAAGGCAGAGGATGGTTCGATGATATATCTTGTTCTGTATGTGGATGATATGCTCATAGCCGCGAGGTCGAGGTCTGATATCCAGAAGTTAAAGGGGCTTCTTAGTGCTGAGTTTGAGATGAAGGATTTGGGAGCTGCTCAGAAGATTTTGGGTATGGAGATTTACAGGGACAGGTCGAAGAAGAAGCTTTTCTTGTCACGGAAGAGCTACATCCAGAAGATATTGTCGAGGTTTGGCATGTCTTCAGCAAAGCCCTTAAATACTCCTAGTGCTTCAAATGTTCATCTATCCACAGCGTATGCACCGCAGTCAGAGGCTGAGAAGGAGTACATGTCAAGAGTCCCATATGCTAGTGCAGTAGGTAGCTTGATGTACGCTATGGTATGCACTAGACCTGATCTTGCACATGCTGTTAGTGTTGTCAGCAGGTTTATGATACAACCTGGGAAGGAGCATTGGCAGGCTGTGAAGAGGATCTTCCGGTACCTTAAGGGTACACCTGATGTGGGGATTAGCTTCGGAAGTGATACAGAGTGCTTGGTGTCTGGGTATTCTGACTCGGACTATGCTGGAGATGTTGACACGAGGAGATCGATGACCGATTATGTATTCACTCTTGGGAGTTCTGTAGTGAGCTGGAAGGCAACTTTGCAGTCGGCGGTGACATTGTCTACTACTGAGGCAGAGTATATGGAGTTGACAGAAGCTGCTAAGGAGGGAATATGGTTGAAGGGACTGGTTGGTGATCTGGGTCTACATCATGATCAGGCAGTGGTGTTTTGCGACAGTTTGAGTGCAATATGCTTGGCCAAGGATCAAGTCCACCATGAGAGGACTAAGCACATTGATGTGAGGTATCATTTCTTGAGGACAGAGAAGAGGATTAAGGTGAAGAAGGTTGGCACCGCGGATAATCCTGCTGATATGTTCACGAAGCCGGTTCCACATGGCAAGTTCCAACACTGCTTGGACTTGCTGAATGTCTTGAGTGGGTGACTCCGCCCTGCGGGGCATTGATGGCGGGAGAGAGATAGAAGGAGCAGAGTACATCAGAGATTTTAGAGGAAGAGGATTCAAGTCAAGGTGGAGATTTGTTGATATGACTTGAATCGGACTATCAGCCGCTACGACTGGTAATCGGAGGTCTCGCTGCCCGGTGTATGAGCTCAATGTTATTTGGGTTCGGGTTCTGGGCCTGGTCTGTAACCGTTTCCTTTGCCAGATTGGATTAGGTTTAGACCCACATGGAGAAGTACTATAAATACTTCTCATACTCCTCTGTAATCTGTAATCTCCTCGATATAGTGAAACTGGCTCTCTCTCGCCCGTGGACGTAGCTAACACACATCGTGTTAGTGAACCACGTAAATTGTGTGTCGTGTTTTTGATTCTCGCTTTCGTATTCTTGCTTTGTCGATTCCTGCGATTTCCCGATCCGTAGCAGCGCGTTTATAACAAGTGTCATATAGGTGATGCTGATAGTGACACTTCTCGAGACAAGTCAAACTGTCCTAATTGTTACAAATTAGTCACAACATTACAAAATGTCATAGCTTGTCCTAATAATAACATTTTTTTCTAAGGATATGTCAATGTGTCGCCATAATTGAAATTTGATACAAATAATAACATTTCTCAGAACATTCTAAAGTGGTTCTTCAACATATAAACAACTAGCAAATCCATTATACCTACATGGTTCTTCAACGTCCAGGACTGCTACTTGTAGGAGAAAATTGCTGACCAATATCACCTATTATGATTTTTCAGTCTTTTATGTCTATTAATTAATCAAGGACGGTTAACATGAGCACTTCTACTATACTTTAAAGTATTGGTGATTTAAAGTACAATTTCAAGTTGTACCACAACGTTAAAGGTACAAGTTAGAGTTGTACCATAAGGAAATTTGATCTTTATGTTGTGGTACAACTTCAACTCTTCAAATTGTACCATAACTTAAATGTACAACTTTAATTTGTACCATAAAGAGATTTTACAAAAAAGTATAGGTACAACCTAAAATTGTACCATAAAAAAAAAAAATTAAAACACCAATACTTTAATGTATTGTAAAATTTCTGCCGTTAACATTGGGGTTAATAATATGCTAAACATATTAGGCATAAGTTAGGAACCAGTCCCCCCCTGAATAATTCAGAAGAGATGCAGGGAGCAATTAGGCAAAACATTAACGTCGGCAAGCATGCACTAATTCGGCAAAGACCAGCAGCGTCTACAGCGGCTAGCTCGACACCTCATCGGCAGAACCCTTTTGTCCTTTGGCTAAAAACACTGAAACATGCAAAGATCTTACTTTAGATCTCCTTGTCAGGAAGGCAAAGGCAGGTGACGAAACGCCATTACAGATATATAGAAACCCCAGAAAAGAGGCCCCTATCATTTCTAGCTAGCTACCCTTATAAGCTCTCCCTACACACACACACAAAAAAAAAAAAACCAAAAGATAAAACAAGTTTCGCCCCGTTTCATAATTAATGTGTATTTGTATCGAATTATCAAGAACCAGTTGATTTCAATAATTCAAGTTGTTGGGAGAGATTCAATTTTAATTAATATACTATGGGGTCATCGGGATTCGAATAGGAGATCTCTCAATCACAGAAGGCTCTGATATCATATCAAGAACCAGTTAATCCCAATAACTCGAGTTGTTGAGAGATGTTCAATCGTGTTTCATATACCATTTACTAACACCAATTACCCTACTGCATATTTGCCTCATGCTGTGAGAGGGGACAATAGAGCCCTTATTTGTGGTACACCACTGGCCTTGCGTATCAAGGGGGAAAGAGGGAAGGAGATGCGTATCAAACCCTAGATTGGAAATCATATCTTTTAGTTTCTTCTCCAGAACAATTCACCAATCTTCTCAGTCATCCTCTCATCATCTCGCCCATGGAATCATTGCTGCTGGTTTCGTCAATTTCTTCTAGGCAGTTTATATATATTTTTATTATTTTGTTGTAATGGATAAGGAAATTGACAATGAAAGAAAGCAAAAAATACATAGATTTTTCGTTGTTTATTAAGATGAAGTGTTTTAGCTAACCCACGTGGCACGAGTGACCGGTTTCGGTATATTTGAGTAAATACATATTTCAAAAATTGAGAAGACATTTATAGCACATGCTCTAGATGGTCTAACCCTAGCTAATCCAACATGGAAAGGAATATGTTACAGACCGGACCCAAAAGTAAAACAAATGTGTATATAAGCACCCATACACCGTGGATTTAGGCATTACCCTGAACCCTCAAATCGAGCACTTCAACAGAAGATAATTTGTCTTCAAGTGGACAACAAATAATATGTCTTCAAGTCATATCAATTGTTTTTTTAATCAAACAAGGATGGGATGTATGTAGCGACCTGCAAGAAATTGGGCAAAAATTTCATTAGATACATATGCTTTAGTATGATCCTTCAAGTTTAGTACCTATACTTTTATAGGTACTAGATGTACATAAAAACCCAATCAACTCAAAGTCTATTAAGTATAGACTTTAGTATTATTAATTTTTTTATACGCTGTCAACTTAAACTCTGGCTAAAGCACTGTAACCAACCATTGAACTTGGCTTTACTTTAGTATAATTCATGGGAACATAAACCAATAGTCAATCACCTCATGGTCATGGAGCTGTTTGTCTACTCCAATCAAAACCCTAGGCATTGAAGTCGAGGGGAATAATGGCAATGGGAGATGCTGAAAATGATAAGAGACAAAGACCCAAAATACAGTGGTGTGAGATTCTTGGCATGCCATCATGGAAATGGTGGATCGTGGCACCGAAGCACTTGTTGTTGGCTCTGCTGTATTATATATAGTGGGTATCCACAACTCCATTTGGATCCATCCTAACCACTACATTATTGTCCTAGCTTAGCTACCCTCTTTACTCGTGTTAGGCTGCTGTGGGTTTGGGGACGTTGGATGGTGATATATATCTACATGGCATGGCAATGTTGGTCACTAGTAATTAAATCATGTTGACTATATCTACACAGACATTAGCAAATGTCGGAGATTATAATCATGTCCTTGATTATGCCATTTGAGTGTCCTATGTTGTAAGACACCTAATTGTTTGGTACAAGATGGTTCTCATCAATGTCTAAGGGTATCCCTATGCAAAAGTTTGCACGCATTTGTGAAAGAGGATGTAACCTAGCAATTGGTCTGTTGCGGGGAACGACTTGGAGGTTTCAGGTCTGAATTCACTTGTAGTGTGTTGGGTTCCTTCTCTGCTAGCACCTTGTACGTATGTTCGGCTATCAATGATCCCGGGTCGATTATCAGTGGCCCCAGAGTTTAACTTGCTTTGTAGTCATGTTGGTGGTTACCAAATGCAAATTTTCTCAAACTAATAGGTTAAAACGATCGAACTCAAAAGCATACAACACGCAGACCCATATCCTTTCCTACGTTTCATACTATTACACATTACCGGCCAGCCTCAACATGCATCGAAGCATATATCAAAGGCCATCGTCTGGTCTTCTTTTGACTACGAAATCAGTTGATCTCAATAAGTCAACTCGTTGAAAGATGTTCAATAATGAATCATATATCGTTTATTAATAATACCCTCTCAAACGAAAGCCAACTCATAAGAGTTTGAAGTTAGCAAAAGTATCAAAATACCATGTGTGAGGTCACTAACATTCAAACAGAAGATCTTTCAAATACAAAGGCTCTTATATAAGGTGAAAACCCACCTTATTTCTCACCACCACCTGTCACATGACCCGGCCTCTTGGCAGTACATGATGTCAAATTGTCAATACATGCACGTACATGTGTAGCATGCATCCTTTCCATATCAAAGCGCAAAACACATTATTGATACGTACGCATGTTGTACAGATGGTCACCGATGAATTGTGTTAGTACAAGAAGAGCTAAATAAGGTGACTGACCACGCTCGATGTACATGGTAAATATGGGTGTGGTAACTTTTTACATGCAAAAACGTGCGCATGCATGCATATACATATACATTGAAGAATCTGGTCAAGATTTCCAAGGCTAAACTAGATACGTGCTCAGGTTTCTGGTATTGTAAAGCACTTTTTTTTATAGGTATAAAATGCCCCTCTACTATGATGTTTAATCAAACATGCCCCTTTATTATTTTTTACATCAAACATGCCCCTGTACTTTGTAAAAATTATCAAACATGCACTTTTGTTAAAATTTTCATCCAAAAACAATTAATCAACGCCGAACTTTGGTTTGGACGACACACATGTCTAAAATATCCCTAATAATTTCACTTTAGAATTTTTTTGGTTCTTTTGTATAGCCAAATAATTCAAATAATTTCACTTTGAAGAGACCCAGAGAAATAAAACGGGGGACAAAACTGATATTTTTCCTCCTACATGCCAATGTCGGGTCGTCTAAATCTCGGTTCAACCATGATTGAAGATTTTTCAACGAAATTTTAGCATAAGGGCATGTTTGATAATTTTGTCAAAGTATAGGGGCATGTTTGATGTAAAAAATAGTAGAGGGGCACGTTTGATAAACCGTCATAGTAGAGGGGCATATTATACCTATAACCTTTTTTTTTGTAATGGCGATGAACTTGAATAAATAATGAAAGGGAAACAAAAGAAGCACTCCACAGGAAGTGGGAAAGTGCTGCAAGTTCTGACAATAACGAAAGAAAAAGGGTTAATATCTTAGTTTGGCCCGCACTATAGACAAACTTTCTACTTTGGCTCGTGGTATCGGAAATTGCTATTCTGGCCTAAACTATGTAGCATACTTTCTTATTGGGCCCGGAGGCGGGTTTTACCGTCAAATTAGACTGTCAACCGAGTTGACCGTTAGTCAAGGTCCACCTCACTTGCCACATCAGCTATTAGGGAATAAAAAATTAATTTTGTATTTTGAATTTTTTTTACTTTCTAATAATAAAAATAATAAACAAAAAAATAATAATTAAAAAAGCTCCCCAAATTATTTTTATTTAATTTTAGAAAGTAAACAAAACTCAAAAATTCAAAAAATAATAATTTTTTATTCCTTGCTAGGTGACGTGGCAAGTGAGGTGGACTTTGACTAACGGTCAACCGAGTTGACAGTCTAATTTAACGGTAAAACCCGCCTCCGGGCCAAATAAGAAAGTATACTACATAGTTTAGGCCAGAATAGCAATTTCCGATACCACGGGCCAAAGTAGAAAGTTTGTCTATAGTTCGGGCCAAACTAAGGTATTAACCCAAAGAAAAAAAACCACAAATGAAAGAACAAAAAACAAGGCAGCAGAGGCCAAAGATCACAAATCCAAAAGAAAAGCCACACTAGCCGACAGGTACTGTAAAGCACTTGATTGATTGAAAGGCTAAGGCACCATCACCAACAATACCAAGGTTCATGAAGATGAAGTTGAATTATTGTAGAAAAAAAATATATATATATAGTGGCTATTTCGGTGCATTCACTTTTTTGGGTGCACTTAGTGCACCAAACTCTAAAAGCGTCCATAATACATCAAATTTTGAACTTTAATTACTACTCTCAATATAATATGATGATATGACATAGAATCATAACAAATCAATCCATTATCCTAACCCCTTAACATTCAATTTTGACTCCCAACCCAAAATCCCAAATTGTAAACCTAAACCCTAACCCTAAATCCCTAAATCCTAAATCCTTCGAATTAAAGTAAATTTTGAATGATTTTTTTTTCAAATTCATGTGCTTCTTGTACATAATATCATAAGCAACAATTGATACCATTTTGACATGAATCGCATAGCCAGAATGACAATTATGAGGCGGGTGCATTGAGTGTATAATTACCAGGAGGGACTCATCATGGGTTTTCCTCTATCATTTGTCCTACGGGTAATGCGTGTCGACCTTCCATTGGTTCTTCTCAATCTCTTGCGGTACCCATACTTAGCTGCCACCTGTATACATGATCAGCTCATGGTTCTCAAAAAAAGGCTTCATAATGCTTGTTGTCTATTTTTCAAACCGGCTCACAAGTCACAAGTGTCTCTGAGAAGTTCACCTTGCCGTGGTTTGGGTTCAGAATGTTGTGCTGAATCAGGTTCAGGTATCACTTGTCAAAATCGTGCAGCGTTACTGATGCGAGATTGTCCGATTTAAACGAAGTCGACACGAATCAGGTTCAAGTATCACTTGTCAAAATCGTACATAAAAACTCAATCTTGTGCTTCGCTGAATATATATGGATTATATTCACGAAAGGGGAACGAGAAAGTTCATCAAGTAAAAGTTAGCGTATGTAACTTACCTCTCAAGGCTCCCAGTTCATACCTAATTAAGGACGAACGTCGTCGACGGTCAGTCCCACGTACACGTGTAACCGCCTAATAGCGATTACCAAATTCTTCTAGGCGAGGGAAAATTATTTACGAGGGAGAAGCCAAGTGGGTACCACCGTATCTTGAAATGAACCAATCTGGTCGGGACAAGTGTCGAACAATCCAGCTAGCTTTGACAGTGACTAGTAACAGAACAGTGCCTCGCCTGGTGACGACGGAGGGAAATGGTCGTCTGGACTCCGGTGCACCGATAAATATTTTAGTAGGAAACGCCGGTGGACCCGATTCCTCGTTAATTATTCAAAGAATTAATCGAGAAAAGCACAAAAAAATTAAACTTTAGGTTAAACAGTGTACACGTAACGAGACATATTAATTATGAAAAGTCAAGAAGAAAACGCTAGGTTTTTCCAGGAGGGAATGGATTATATATATAATTGTGTTATGTCATTAATCATACATACTTATGGCGGTGCAAATGTCGATTAGCTGTCTTGCCTATATTCAGCAGATTTCGTCCAATTCGTCATGTGGGATTATTAAGGGCCGACCGAATTAATGCTGCATTGCTACTGTATTTAGTCTTGCAGAGGCTTCTTGATGAAGACCGGCTTAACTAGACGTGCTATCATAATCTCAACCCTAATTTCTAACAACAATTAATTCAATGACGTGGTTTGCAGTGAAATTCATTGGTAATGCATGTACCAAACATATGCCAAATTCTGAAGTGGTGGATACTAAATTAATTAGGTTTTACGTACCCTTTTTATTTTTCTCTCAATTATCTAAGATGCAAGGTGTTATCCGCAGTAGCAGAGCTGCATAGGGTTGCAAATAAGCAAAACTGCTCACAACCGGCTCGCCGTTCGGCTCGTGATGATAAACTCGTTTGACACTCAGCTTGTTTACTAACGAGGCGAGGTTGAGCTAAAAATCTTGTTCGACTTGCAACACTTGTGAGCCAGCTCGAATCGGCGACTTATTGAGTTCAACTCGTGAGCTAGGTCGTTTTGAGGTATGAGCTGGCTCGACAGTATGACTAGCGAGCCACCTCAACTAGCAACTTAATTATGAGCTAATAGGTTAATAGCTTATCATTGGCTTGTTGATAATTCATATGTTTATTAGATTATATATCTCACCACCTATGATTTTTAAGAATTTGAGTGCATGATCATATATGTCTCATTTATTATTTAAAAGAGATGCATCATAGATTACATAAATGATAAATACTATTAATAAAATTTTATGAGAAATTAAAGACAACGAATCAAAATAATGAACAATAATCGAAAAATCCGATTCATCCAAATACATTTAACATATTTGATGCATCATCTTAGTTTTATGATGTGGAGTTTAAATAATAGTCCCAAATTCGGTTAGTTGAAGAGTTAAATCTCATTTTCTTACTAAGTATATGTGGTACCTCTAAGTTTAGTTACTTGAACTTTCCATTTGGGTAATCAAGTAGGAATATTCCCTAACAATGTGGTCAATGGTAATTTCATTTTCCTTCTTTTTATACTAGTGAAACTCAAACAAACATTTTTTTCCTAAAAATGTAGCCAAAAATATCAAGACATTTGTGTTTTTGTAGCCTCTAGTAGGACTTCCATATTTGAAATTCACTTTTATTTTCCTTTATATTTTCCCTTTAGCCACCAAGCAAAAAATTGAGGGACCATTGTATTGCTTGCTTTACATATATCATTTTCGTCCTTTGTCTTCATCCCCTCACTCTCCCCCTCTCTATATAAACCCCAGGACGCCCTTCCCATTTCCCTCGCAGCGACAACAATCAACAGAAAAACAAAGTCTCTGCCGTTTCACCTCCAAAGTTCCAGCGTTTTACTCCAATACCGAGACATGGCCAATGGAACGTTCATTCTCTACATCGCCGCACCCACCTTCCTTCTAACTCTCTTCACCTACCACCTATTCCTCAAACTCGTCAGACGCAGGCCCGTCTCCCACAACCAAGCCCGCCGACGGCCCAACCTCCCGCCGGGCTCCATGGGCTGGCCCATCATCGGCGAGACGCTCCAGCTCTACTCCCAGGACCCCACCTCCTTCTTCTCCAGCAAGCAAAAACGGCACGGCGAGATCTTCAAAACGCACATCCTGGGCTGCCCCTGCGTCATGCTCGCCAGCCCGGAGGCCGCCCGCTTCGTCCTCGTCATTCAGGCCCACCTCTTCAGGCCCACGTACCCCAAGTCCAAGGAGCGGCTTATTGGGCCTTCGGCTCTGTTCTTCCACCAGGGCGATTACCACCTCCGCCTCCGCAAGCTCGTCCAGCGCGCCCTCTCCCTCGACGCCACCCGCAGCTTGGCCGGAGACGTCTCCTCCCTGGCCGCCTCCGCCCTCGAGAAATGGGACGGCGGACACGTCATCAACACCTTCGAAGAGCTCAAAAAGGTTTTTTAATTTTTATTACTGACGGACGGATCGGTAACTTTGTTTTGTACGTCGGTAAAGATTTTTTTTTTTTTTTACCCCATTGCATTGTTATTTTTCAGTTGTCGTTTGAAGTCGGGATCCTGGCGATTTTCGGACACCTGGAAGAGCATTACAGAGTGGAGTTAAAAAGGAATTACGGCATCGTCGAAAAAGGCTACAATTCATTTCCCACCACCGTTTCTGGAACTCCTTACAAAAGGGCGCTTACGGTGAGTCCAACGAAAATTATATATATGGTGATTTCTATCATACGATACTGTTAGAGAGTGGTATAAAATTCACGATTGAATCTCTCCCAACAATTCGAGTTATTGGGATCAATTTGTTCTTGACATGGTATCAGAGCCTGTTGTGGACGAAAGGTCTTATGTTCGTATTCCGGTGACCCCATGTATGAAGCACATGTATTCATGTTCAGGTCTTGTGTTCACTTCCTAACTGGCTTTCGTTTGAGGGGGTGTGTTAGTGAATGATATAAGATCCATTATAGAACCTCTCCCAACAACTCGAAATATTAACCGTTGTCTTTCAAGCACATGGTAGGGCTGGGCCTGTGCAAATTTTAAGTCCATGAGTCGGCTTTCGTTTGAGGGGGCGTGTAAGGAAGTGGTTAAGCACCATACACGGGCATGTATAAGATCCAGCATAACCTTCTCCCAACAACTCGAGTTATTGGGAGCAACTGGTTCATCACAGATACGATTGAGTAAAACGTATACGACGTATCTTTAATAAGAAAATACTATTTAAATCTCGAATTAATCGGATTTCGAGGCATGATATTGTATAATAATTCTCGATGAGTGAACTCTAGATCTTAATTCTAAATTATAGACTTTAACACCCCCTAAAATTGTGCATGTAATTTGTTGCATTTATTTTCAAAAATAATGATCGTCGATTGTTGTATCATGTTTCAAATTCCGGTCAATTTAAAATTTAGTTAAATTTACAGGTGGATTTTTATTTATTTTTAATGATGATAATAATGTTGTTGCAGGCGAGGAGGGATCTGAGTGAGATATTGGTGGGCATAATCGGCGAGAGGAAAGAGAAGAAGCTATTGGAGAAAGATCTGTTGGGTTGTTTGCTGAATTCCAAGGACTACAAAGGGCAACTACTGACGGACGACCAGGTCGCCGACAACGTCATCGGAGCTCTGTTCGCCGCTCAGGACACGACGGCCAGCGCCATGACGTGGATTGTCAAGTACCTCCACGACAACCCGAAGCTTCTCGAGGCTGTCAAGGTATAAACGTTGCCGCTTCGTTTTTTATTTTGGGTGGCGGTGTAGCTCTAGAAATCTCTCGTTGTTGCATTAGAATAAACTCTGCTGTTGCATTGCATAGGCCGAACAGAAGGCAATTCAGGAGGTGAATGGAAGGGACGGCAATGATAATGCGGCGTTGAATTGGAGTCAAACTCGTAACGACATGCCGTTCACTCACAAGGTAACCTAAAAAAATTGTTAATAAGTAAATTATGAACCAATTTTGCATGTTATTTGATTTTATGCTACTAATTATTAGCTAACAAATGATATTTCAGGTGGTTTTAGAGAGCCTAAGGATAGCAAGCATTATATCTTTTACATTCCGGGAAGCGGTGGCCGACGTGGAATACAAAGGTATCATTCACAAAGTTTTACTATATAAATACACATAATGAGTTGGTTGATACATCGCTATAGAGAGGTTGAATAGTGTGACATATAGGAATAATTTGGAATATCACAAAATCGACTATAACACAACTCGAACTTTAGAGATAGATTGAGATGAGATAACAAACAATGGCCAATGGGGTTAATGTTTTGTGGCATTATTTTGGTATTATGGAGAGTGAGTGATTGAGATTTGATTTTTTTATTTTTATTTTTGGGTGTTTGTGTGTGCTATTTTTAGGTTACCTTATTCCAAAGGGTTGGAAGGTGATGCCCTTGTTCAGGAACATTCATCACAATCCAGAATATTTCAGTGAACCTCATAAATTTGATCCTTCGAGATTTGAGGTATGTATCAATGTATGTGTGATTGTGTGTGGATCAATTTTTTTTCCCCCTTTCCCTCCTTCCCAAAATGATATTGGAGATGTGGGGATATTGATCTCAGTTTTAACATGCTTCCCTATACAGGTGGCACCAAAACCCAATACATTCATGCCATTTGGCAATGGGGTACATGCCTGCCCTGGAAATGAGCTTGCTAAGCTGGAGATGCTTATTTTCATCCACCATTTGGTCACCAAGTTCAGGTAAAAACATTCATATGAAGTTTAAAAAAAAAAAAAAAGATCTTGGAGAATATTTCTGGAGCAACAAAAATATTTGGGATATATTTTGATTTTTTGGTGCTTTTATTTATTATCCTAGCTAATTCAATTGGATATTGCAGGTGGGAAGTGGTAGGATCTGAGAGTGGGACACAGAACTGCCCATTTCCAGTGCCAATGAATGGACTCCCAGCAAGATATTGGAAACAAGTCCCCAGCAGCTAAGTTTAAGATACATAGTAGTAGAGATTATTATCAATTTGGGTCATGATTTACCCATATAATTAGCTTGTGTAGTGTAATTTTCTTCCCCTTTTTAAGTTTTGCCAATGTAGAATCTTACAAGTTCCATTATCAGTTCTAGATCTAGTTTGTAGATCTTCAACCCAAGCACTTAATGGTAGTTTCTCCATTTCATAATTCATGCACTTAGTTCTTAATTTGATGAAATGTTGGGTGTTCCATATTTGGTTCAAAATAATTTGTGTCTACTTTAGACGTGTGTGTATATATATATATATATTACGGGACTCGTGAATTGTGCGAGATTGAGCAAAAGGTTCTTCTTTTTATGTCCCTTAAATTTTAGGATGATTGTTCACTTATTGAAGGAAAAGTAGTCATCACCTTTGTGGCTGGAAGGCACCAGTCGCCTATTCTCCTCTTTGGTTTGGTGCACAAAGATCACAAACCCTTTTCAAGACTTTATATGATCTGATCTCATGACCATGCAAAATGATGGAGCTTGATTATACCCTATAATTAACCACAAGTATTGCAAAATAATGACTCATAAGTGATCAGTTTTCGTGAAAGATACTATATATGATGAACTTATGCTATTAAATCATCTCAATCTGTTATGAAATGCAAACTGGTTATCCTATGAAAGCAAGAATTGAGAACTACGTTCTTGAAACATATATAAGTTCCAATCTAGCTAGTTTCAGGCCCTACAAAATTCGTACATGCGATAGTTATGTCTCCAACATCTCAATGCATATGTTTCTCATTTTCGTCTTTTCTTTTCTTTTTAGTTTGGCTATAAATAGAATTTACCACTAATATTCCACTATATATACGGAAGGGATGATACGTGTTGAAATCGTATGAGTGAATGAATCCCTTTTCTTGGCGGGATTGAGTCAGTCTCTCTTTTCTTAACGAGAAATTACCAGAGGTTGTACTTACTAAAATTCTGCCTCTTGTTATTTCTTTGCTTCTAGTTTAAATACATCATCGTTGAAACTAAAAATCCTAACAAGGTGGGAGCTATGCTTCCACGACTACCTATTGCCTACTCTTTCTCCACTTAAGGTGGAGGGACTTTATTCCAACCAAAACAACCAGCAACTACTACTCCTAATCAGTAGGGAATACCCTTTCAACATAAAACAAAACCCAAAGACTACTCCTGTCCTGGCAACGTTCAGCTTGGACAATGGTTGGGCTACACGAAATCCCGTTAGCGCGAATTGGACTGGGGCTCACAAGCTGAACGTCGGTTGGGCTGAGTTCATTGATTCGTGGGCTTATCAGGAGAACACTGGAATAGAGTCCATCAAAATCAATCAATCTCCTATAATTTAACGATTTGTCGTGACACCGTTAAACTAAGAAATCTTTTTGATAGAAGCCTCCACCCTCATCATTCACCCTTCTTTCGTTCAAACGAAATCTTGAAAATGAGAAGAATTTACAGCTGAAATTTACACTTTCTAACCAATTCACATGAGCCATCTCAACCTGACAATGATTGACCATTGACAAGTCCTCAAAATTTTACCATTTCCCCTTCAAAGCCATGAAAGAAAAGCTTACCATTTCTGTGACAGGTTACGAATGCAGGGTCATCAAGTAACACACGTGAATCTGTAACGATAAATACGTGGGGAAAGCACAGAGAATCCCAGTAGCCAGACTGACATCTTTGCCTTGCCTAGTTCTATTTTATAACTTCGGAAGAGAACTCACTGTGTCCATGCAGTAACTTTTTTCCTGGTGTACCATTTTTTATCATCAATTTATATACCAATTGAAGTAACCATTTGTCAGAGCAGTACCACACTACAAGGTTTTAGCCTTTTTGGGCCACTTTCAGTATAAAAAAAAAACTGTTTAAGTACTACACATGAGATCATATAAGATCCAACATAACCGTCTCCAAACAACTCGGGTTATTAGAACCAACTGGTTTATGACAAACTGGTCCTTCTTTCGTGACAGCTCTTTCCATGGTGCCCCTATACCTGTGATCCACTTACTATTGTGTTTTTACCAAACACGTGTTGCCAGAAACCCCAGTAAAACTGACTGACAATCAAGGTTGTCAAACCGGTTTAGTAATATGCATTTTACAAGCCAGATCGATAATCCATATCGGTAAACTTTATGTACCTTCAAGAGAGCCTCAATAAGAGCAACTTGTTTGGAGCCCTGGACCTCATCCAGTGACAACTAATGCTTCAACTCCACACACATAGAACAGATTTCTATCAGGCTTGACGACATTACCACCATTTTCCGTTACAATGGTGATTGTTGACACCAAGATTCTAAACCCGTCTTATTTTTCTATTCATTTGATCTCCTGGTATATTGAACATTGAAGTACATATATCCAATCCATACAGCATCAGGATTAGAGTTGCTTCAGTTCTGGTTCCAGAATTGGGTAGAAGCAGAATCAAGCTCATACCCTCTAATGTCTGCATTTATCATTAAAATGCTAAAATAAGAGACTCCTTTTTTTTTTTTTTTTTTTACAAATGGGCCATATATGTTGCAGTCTGAACTTGCATCAAGTTTCTTGAGCTGATGGAGAAGATGAAGACGTGTATTTAAGAATGGCCTCTGTAATCCGCTGTTTGTCTCTGGTGGGAAATGCTTCCACCAACACCCCATCTTTGTAGAAATGGAAAAGCGGCACCGCCTGCAACCAAAATCCGGACCACACACAAAACAACATTACTAACACTTTATGTGTAACCAATTTCAAAGCCTCTCTCTAGACAAACTCTTCTCTTGACAACAAGAATCAAACAGAAGAAAAGATCTCCTTACCCTGATCCTAAGTCTGTCCGCAACCTCGGATTCTTCATCGTATTCATCAATCACCTGCAACAACGACGACGCGACGAGAACCAATTCATATCAATAACTCGAAACTACGAAGTGAAATGAAAGAATTGATCTTGTTCTGTAATTACCCAGGTGCTGCGTCGATATATTCGTACGCAGAACAAATAGATTGCAACTTCAAGTGCACGATTTAAACAATTGGGATAAACTAAATTCTTAAGATGGTCGTACCCAAAGTTCTCATGCCCAAATTTAGTAAATGTATGGAAGGTTGGAGAAGAAAAAAGAAAGTGCTCACATTGTGTTTGAGGAAGATGACGGGAGAGCCCTCTTCGCCGGAACCCTTGCAGAGCTTGGAAAACCCCTGTTCGATGTACTTGCAGCTCCCACACGAAGTCCTGTAGAAATCAACCACTACAAGCGCCCCTGTAGCCTTGGATTTCTCAATCACCTTCAGCAGTTCCTCGTCCGTCTTGAATTCCCTCACGCATTCCACCGGACACAGCTCGTCTTCTTCTTCTTCTTCTTCTTCCATCTCAATCGCCGCCGATAGTACTTCCCCTGGGTTGCCGCCGGAAACCTGCCGCTGAATCGGGCGCGGCGCCTGGATCCTAATTCTGGGTACAACTACTCTACCCGCCGATTTCTGGATCAGACCGCCGATTCTGATGGAGCGGTCGGGTTGGGGATCCGGGTTGGTTCCGAACCCGGAATAGGATTTGGGAAATGGGATTTGCAGCTTTTCCATAGCAAAGAACGATTTCCGGGTCTTGCTTGCTCTGCTTGAAATGGCGACGCAGAATCTCGACCAGGCAATTCGTTGGTGTTTTTGTTTTTTTTGGGTCGAATTAATCTCAGCCGAGCAATAATGGGATCTTGTTAGTTGTTATCCACAGAAGGAGAGGGGGAAAAAGAAAATAAAGATTCAAGCTTTATCCTCTGCTAGACGGAAAAAATCCCAAATTATACATGTTTTTAAAAAAAATTCTCAAAATACACAAGTTATGAAAATAATTCCCAATCTACGTTAGTTTGGGCCATCACCGCTTTCGACGAAGACAGTGATTGCATCACTGTTGTCAACGAAGACAGTGATTGCATCACCGCTGTCGACGAAGACAGTGATTGCATCACTGCAGTACACGGCCGCGGTGAAGGCCTGACCTGCGTCGAAACTTTAAACAAACGTAACTTTGTGCTCGGTTATCCGATCGTAGCGAAATTTTTTTTGATTCCGCATAATTTTTTGAGATCTTGCAAGCCGCAAATTGCCGTAGGCGGTTTGGTCCCGCCTTCGTCTCGAAAATATGTCGTTTGCTACACCGAATGAGCCTTTTTTCGATTTCGTCAAACTTTGAACGACCATAACTTTGTGCTCCACAATCCGAAAATCATGAATTTTTTTTTGATTTCGCATAACTTTTTAAGGACTACAATTTTTTGATTTCTCTCCTACTAAAAATTGTAGTCCTTAAAAAGTTATGCGAAATAAAAAAAAAATTCATGATTTTCGGATTGTGGAGCACAAAGTTATGGTCGTTCAAAGTTTGACGAAATCGAAAAAAGGCTCATTCGGTGTAGCAAACGACATATTTTCGAGACGAAGGCGGGACCAAACCGCCTACGGCAATTTGCGGCTTGCAAGATCTCAAAAAATTATGCGGAATCAAAAAAAATTTCGCTACGATCGGATAACCGAGCACAAAGTTACGTTTGTTTAAAGTTTCGACGCAGGTCAGGCCTTCACCGCGGCCGTGTACTGCAGTGATGCAATCACTGTCTTCGTCGACAGCGGTGATGCAATCACTGTCTTCGTCGACAGCGGTGATGCAATCACTGTCTTCGTTGACAACAGTGATTCAATCACTGTCTTCGTCGAAAGCGGTGATGGCCCAAACTAACGTAGATTGGGAATTATTTTCATAACTTGTGTATTTTGAGAATTTTTTTTAAAAACATGTATAATTTGGGATTTTTTCCCTGCTAGACTACCACTGATGAACTTGACTATTTTCCAGAGTCAATAATTTCTGCTGTTAATTGAGACATTGTTGGGGTTAGGTTAGGGTAACGAGGTATGATGGTTCAGCGTTCAGCCATGGCTATGAAGGTTAGAGGGAAGTGGGAAAGAGCGCTGACCTGTGAGGTGGAGAAATGGGTGGCGCCGCGGCCGTTTGCTGCCATATCCGAATCCGTGTGAGGTGAAAAGCTTTGGCGTAGGGCTCAAGATCTGGTGACTAAGGGGGGGGCCTTAGTCATCAGACTAAGCCGATCTCCACCGTTGATTCAATTTTAGATCTAACGGTCCAATAGGTTAGCAGTAGGGACGGGGGCATTATGGTCATTTAGCTTTTATTTTAAAAAAAATTCGTATTTTATTTTTTAATATAAAAACGGTTTGTGGAGAGGAGAGAGAATCGCAGATCACTTTCCTCATCTCGGCCCCAAATCCGTTTTCACCATTTTCACGGGAGAATCGCGGCTCTTCCCCGATTTCCTCCTTCGTCTCCACCATTGAGAGATTTCGTCGGCGTTCTTCCCCATTTCTTCTTCGTCTCCACCATTTCGTCGGCGTTCTTCCCCATTTCTTCTTCGTCTCCACCATTTCGTCGGCGTTCTTCTCCGTCCAGCGGTCTGCATCGCTATCTTTTTCGGCGGGCGAAAGCGGTTGCTGAGGAGTTTCGTCGGAATTTTGCGTCAGCGGTGTGTCGAGCGAGTTCCTCGGCGCTCAACTCGCTTCTCCGTCTGCGCCGACGCCGGCGAATCTTTGGGTAAGGTAAAACGAGAGCAATTTTCTTATTTGGCATTTCCGATCGATTTTAAAACCCTAACCGATTTTGATGCTAGGTCAGAATCACATTTGATATTGTGGGTTGATTTGGAGAGTTTTAGTGATTTGCTTGTAATGATTGTTTAGTTTAATATAGGGTTTGTATTGTTGGAATGGGTTGGTTGTATACTTTCTGGGTTTGTTTGTATTGATTGTTTAGTAATGTTTGTGTGTTTTCATACCTCTGTTTGTACTCTTCATGGTTCATACAGTTTGTGCACTTTGTTTCTCATGTTCATAGAGTTTGTACACTTTGTGCGGTTTGTACAGTTTATTACTCTGCTTCGTATGGTTTGTTGTATTTGTTGGTTGACTTGTTCTGTTGTTGCTTTTGTAGCTGTTAAGTAAGGATGGTAGAAGGTTCAGAGGTGGGAGGGTCAAGTACCCATGCTGCTGAAGCTGAAGTTACTAAAACCAAGCGGAAGGGGGAGAATCTTAAGAATAAGGGGAAGGCAGTTCAGCTTTCTGATACAGGGAGAAGGAAAAGAAAGGTTGTTGCTGGAGAGAAGCAGAAGGCAGCAGTTCGTGCAAAAAGGCAGAAGCGAGCTCCGGGGGGAGGGAATGAAGCTGCTTTGAATTATCGATGCAGCCCGAAAGAGGTTATGAGTCATGTGCTGCCTCCTTTATCTCTTGGCAGGGTGCAATTAATTAAGCAGCTGGGCTTGGATTTTGTCTTTTCGCTGAAGATGAAGAATCTGGATAATGAACTTATTAAGTTCATTATTTCAAGGTGGGATGGGGAGAAGAACTGTATCCACTTGGATGATGGAAAGAAGATTTGTATCACGGAAGAGGATGTTTACAGAATTTATGGTCTTCCAAGGGGACCAAATGCTGTGTGTTTGCAGAAAACATCAAAGGTGAATTCTAACCTTGGTAAAGATTATGGTTTCAGTAAAACTGGAAAGGGTACTGTTGGTTTTGAGAATTTGAGGGCTTGTATGGGAGCGGAGAAGTCTGATTCTAGGTGGGTGAATATGTACGTGCTGATGATTTTTTGCCGCCTTTTCGAATCTGTTACATCTAGGACGGTGACAACAGAATACTTGACTTTTCTTTCTCAAGGAATGGTTAAGTATTTTTGTGACTATGATTGGTGCGGTTATGTGTATCGTCTAATTTGTGAGAAGGTGACATCAAGTCAGCATCACAGTTGGGTTGAGGGAGATATGCATTTCTTGCTTGTTTGTTTCCTCGATAGGACAACTGTGAATGAGGAAGAGGCCAGTTGCTGTGTTAGTAATCTGGTGCCAACCTGTCAGTTGTGGAGTTCGAGAAATTTGAAGCAAAGGAAGGCAGAAATGGAGAAGAAGTTTGGGAAAGAATATGGTAAGGTGTTTGTTCTAAGGGATGCACCCGTTTCTTCTACTACTCGTCCAAAGATGGCTCAGAGTATTAGTGGTTTTGAGGTTGCTCGAGGTGAGAAGGGTTCTGATATTGGAGATGAATTTCCAGATTTCGATTTGAATTTGGATGGCAAAACTGTTGAAGAGGTAAGTTTGTATAGTTTATACTGTCTGTTCATATGCTTTATATGCTTTATGATATGTTTCTGTAGTGTTTATACTGTCTGTATACTTTGTACTGTTTGCACTGTTTGTACACTTTGTATGTTTTTGTCTCATCCTCTGTACTGTCTGTATAGTTTGTATTGTTTGCACTGTTTGTACACTTTGTATGTTTTTGTCTCATCCTTTGTACTGTATGTATAGTTTGTATCTTTTTTGCACTGTTTGTTCACTTTGTATGTTTTTGTCTATTACTTTGTACTGTATGTATACTTTGTATCTTTTTTGCACTGTTTGTACACTTTGTATGTTTTTGTTTATTACTTTGTACTGTTTGTATACTTTGTATCTTTTTTGCACTGTTTGTACACTTTGTATGTTTTTGTCTATTACTTTGTACTGTATGTATAGTTTGTATCTTTTTTGCACTGTTTGTACACTTTGTATGTTTTTGTTTATTACTTTGTACTGTTTGTATACTTTGTATCTTTTTTGCACTGTTTGTACACTTTGTATGTTTTTGTCTATTACTTTGTACTGTTTGTATTATTTGTGTACATTATCTAACTTATGTTTGTGTTTTCTTTTATTTGTTTTGTTGTAGGTTAAGTTGATTAGGAGAAGGTTACAAAGTGCATTATGTGAGTTGGAACAGCAAGGTAAGCTGTACCGAAGACAGATAAATCAGTGTCACCTATACCTAGCTGATATCGAGGTGCACACTGATTCTGAAGGTGTTGAATTTGTTGAGAAAGTTACAACAAATGTTTCTGAAGGTGCTGAAGTTGTTGAGAAAGCTACAAGAACTGATAATGTAGAGAGTGAGAGTGAAGGCGGGTATCAGAGTGGGAGTGGGAGTGAGAGTGGGAATGGGAATGGAAGTGGGAGTGGTAGTGATGGTGAAGGGAGCGATGATGGTGATCGGAGTGGTGACGATGATGATGATGGAGATAGGAGTGAGGAGGAAACTGATGATGATGTAGCTCTATTTAATATGAAGAAGCCAGCAGTGGAGAAGATTGGAAGTGCTCGTGCTCCAGCACTTCCTCAGCAGCCAGTTGAGCTCCAGAAGACTCCAGCAGTTGTGCCGCAGCAGCCAGCAGTGGAGAAGAGTGGAAGTCCTAGTGCTCCAGCACTTCCTCAGCAGTCTGTTGAGCTCCAGAAGACTCCAGCAGTTGTGCCGCAGCAGCCAGCAGTGGAGAAGAGTGGAAGTCCTAGTGCTCCAGCACTTCCTCAGCAGTCTGTTGAGCTCCAGAAGACTCCAGCAGTTGTGCAGCAGCAGCCAGCTGAGTTCCAGAAGACGTCAACACTTGTGATGCAGCAGCCAGCAGTGGAGAAGGATGGAGTTACTCGTGATCCAGCAGTTTCGCAGCCCTTTGATTCAACACTTCAGAAGCAGCCAGCCGTGGCAACCGCAGTTTCCGAGGAGCTGCCACTTAAGGATAGTATGGAAGTTGTTTTACAGATTGCACAATCTGTGGAGGCAGGTGCTGATGGTGAGCGGGGTGACAAGCTTGATTAGTTAATGATGGTGGTTATTTAAATTTGTAGTACATCTTTTAAATATGCACTTTATGATTGGTTTGTATGGTTTGTACTCTTTGTCGTACTATTTGTACACATGTTGTGTGTGCACACTACTTGTGGATTGCAAACTAGATCTTATGGTTTATTAATTATCTAGTTCTCTGTCTTTATGTCTTTTGTAATGTGCTATATTGTTTCATCTTTGTTGTTTTGGTTGTGAGAAGACGAGTCGAATAGTGATGATAACGATGAGGTTGGGATTGAAGATGATTGTGATGATATTTCTATTGATACCGCTGAAGATGAGTCAAATGGTGAAGATGAGAACAAGAATGGCGTCGAAGGTAATCGTTATGTTTGTAGTTGGTGTTGTCCTTTAGTCTCGTTTACTGCAGTTTTAATCTTTTTGTACACTTAGTTACTTTTTCTGCTGCTGTTTGTAATGTTTGTACACTTAGTTACTTTTTCTGCTGCTGTTTGTAATGTTTGTACACTTAGTTACTTTTTCTGCTGCTGTTTGTAATGTTTGTCTGTTTTGTTTGTGTTGTCTCTATTTTGTTAGATTCTGGGTTGAATGTTGATTTCGTTAATCAAAGACGCTCGAAAAGGGAGCTCAAGCCATCCAATTTAAAGAGGACACCATATACTACTGGTAATAAAAAGCGTAAACCTCCTTCCATGAAAGCACCTATTCCTATTCGGCAAAAAAAGAAAAAACCTACCTCCAAGAAGGTAGAGAAGGTAGCTCCACTTCGGACTAGTAGCCAACTATTGTATGAAGAAAAACTTATTCAATATGCTTGGAGTGACAGATTTCCTGTGTAAGTTTCATTTCATACTGTTTGTATACATTTATATATCAGTTTGTACTTTTCTTCTTCGGTTAGTGAATTTTAATATAAACTGTTTGTATACATTTATAGGAATGAAATTCTTTTCGACATGGGTGAAGGTGAGTATCGCTTGTCAAGGAAGGATACCCAAACGACATGTGACAAGATTGTTCTATCAATAAAATTTCTTGATTGCTATATTGAGAATTTCAACCGTTCTTCTTCTTGTGAGAATGGATTTATTGGTAGATGGTCTTTTCCAACTGACTTTGCGGTGAGTTAATTTTCACATGTTGTTGTATGTCATTTAGTATCTATTAGCCATATTAATGCAAGTTTTTTTTTGTCTTTGATTGTACCTAGTCCAAGGTTGTGAATGACAAAATGGAACCTAAATATTTGAAGGTCATGAAATCTTATGTCAGAAAATACCCATTGCAAGATGGTGCATCTTTCAAGACATGCCAATATGTAAGTTGGAATATTTCATCCTTTTGTACACTTTGTGATTCTGTTTCATATTTTTTGTACACTTTGTACACTTTGTGATTCTGTTTCATATTTTTTGTATACTTTGTACACTTTGTGATTCTGTTCCATATTGTTTGTACACTTTGTGCTTCTGTTTCATATTGTTTGTATACTTTGTACACTTTGTGATTCTGTTCCATATTGTTTGTACACTTTGTGCTTCTGTTTCATATTGTTTGTACACTTTGTGCTTCTGTTTCATATTTTTTGTATACTTTGTACACTTTGTACACTTTATGATTCTTCTTTGTTTCTTCTTCATGTGCAGTGGCTTTTCCCATGTTCTATGGATGATCATTTCATGGTATATTGTGTTAACTTGAAGGATCGTCGTTTCGAGTACCTTGACAGCTCTCCTTCTAAGCATTTTCTAGATCGGTTTAGGAGGGTTGGAGAGCTGGTCGTCCAGTATGCAACATCTTACATTCAGCACATCATGCCAGGAAAGTATGACTTTGATAATGACTTCAAATGGCGAAGGATCACAATTCCATATGATGATTTCACTAGTGCTGGCATTATCTGTTTAAACTACTGTGAAGAATGGGAAGGTGTGGCTACAAAGATGATGAGGGAAAAATGGTCTTCTCCAACCTATATTTACAACCGGAAGATTAATGCTATGCTGACTTTGTTGAATGGATCAAGGAATTTGATGATCGAGCAATTGAGGATGAATGTGTCTTTTAGTGAAGAATTGTTGTTGTCATTAGGGAGTTCTAGTACTGGGTTTTCGCTTGACAAATGATGGAATATGGAACCAATAGTGTTTTTTTTGGGTGGTAATCCATGACAGTATGCACTAGTACCATTTTCTATTCTCATGTTTTGTAATGCGGTGACCTTATGAACAGTAGTGTGGCTGTTGGTGTTATGGTGGCTGTTATCTATGTTTTGGTTTTGTAACTTTTATCACAGTAGTTTGTATGTTTTGTTGTTGTGGTTCGTAATTTTTTGTATCCTATTTCGTAATGTTTCTGTCTAACATAGAATAAGCATGAGAAACATACAAATGTGAATTGAAAAAGAATGCAAGAAATGAATTGTTTGATGTAATTATTCACTTTATCTATGCAATCACTCAAATTTATCTATGTATCTATCAAGTAATATATGATATGGCAAGTAGTTCTGTCTATGTATTTATATTCTGTCATCCGCCCTTTCTTGTAACATTGTTTGTCTTCTCCTTTCTTGAATGATTTCAGTACGAATCTTCCTCCTTGTCCTTGTAACTTTGTTTCCACTTCTACAATAGGATTAAACAGCAGTAGTCAGTTTTTGTATATAACAGAAAAATATACAAACAATACAAATTTGAACTAATATCATTACTAATAGTCATTTATATGAATATCAACTAAAAGAATACTAACTGTTATGAAAAAACATACAAAGTAATAGAAACAGTAAGTGATATCATTACAAACCTGCTGCTTGTATTTACTTTCATGGCAGGTATCATGTATTTACTTTCCTTCCGCTGCCCTTTCTTGTAACTTTGTTTGTCTTCTCCTTTCTCGAATGATTTCAATTCGATTCTTCCTCCTTGTCCTTGATTTAAATGGATCAGTCCTGACTTTTAATGCTTTCGCCCAATGCGGTTCACTCTCTGAACTTGCTGGATTCAATTCTGCTTCTAGAATAGGGAAAAAACAAAGGATTTAACAACAATAGTAAGTTTTTGTAGCCAAACTTATCCTACAAAGAAACAGACCAGAAAAAATATATTAACAATACAAACTTTATCTAATATCATTACTAACAGTCATTGATATGAATATCAACTAAAAGAATACTAACTGTTATGAAAAAACATACTAAGGATACAAACAGTAAGTGATATCATTACAAACCTCAAACCTGCACCAAATTAAAGGTAGTGTTTCATACCTGTGCTTGTGCTAGGCTGGCCAAACTTCATGGCAGGCATCATGGATTCAGCACGAATCTTCAATGCTTGCATTTCTTCTTCAAGCATCTTGTATATGTCATCATCCATACAAGTGCGTGTTGCAAGCAAATTCATGGATCCAGTAAGTTGTTTCACCCTTGAACAGTACACCCTCTCTGCTGTATCTTGTACTGCCGGTAGTGTGAAATCTCCAGATTTTGCATCATATGTCCACCTCTTTAATATGTAGCGTGTGTGAATATTCAAGATTTCTAGGTGTCCTCCATAGCCGAGGTGATCTATTGCGCGCAACACATGGCGACAAAGCCATCCACACTTCTCGAACATCTTGCATGAGCAAATCAGCTTACGCTCCACAAAGTCAACCATAACAATCCTCTTATCAATAGGATTTCTTTGCTGATCTAGTTTGTGAAGCTCATATGCAAACATTCCATCTATATCCTTGGAGTTGTTTGGTCGTATATGGTATTTGATTGACTTGGAGTATTCATCTTGCATGTTCCCAAATATATTTTGTGTATATTTGGTAACAAACTGTTGAAGAACCTCACTGTTTGTGAAAACCAAGTATGGAATAGTGTTCAATGCTTCATAGTCACTTCTCAACTCCTTATGTCTTTTGGCTTCAAGAAGGTTGTTGAATTGTATAAAAAACTCCCACAAAGTAAGTTTCGACTGGAGATACTTACGCAAATGGCTGTTGCAACTCTCGCTGAGTTGTGAGCTTCTCATTCCACATGCAAAATGATCTTTCAGCCATGCCGATGACCATTTACTTCTCACTTTGTGGAGGTTTTGCAGCCATGCCTCAATCTTACTTGTTAATTTCTTCCCTTCTTCTTCTTCTTCATTGAAGCAATTCTCAAGCATTTTCTTCCAATAATAGTCGAATTCATCCTCCGTCTCCAAATCATACATCAAGAAGGAAAGCTCTTCCAAAAATGGTGACCACCACAACCCATTACTCTTTGCATTCATTGTTATATGGAATGTGCACAACCCATGATAAGTGTGCGGCAATGCTGTCCTAATACCAGCAGCAATTGCTGCCGCTTGATCGGTAAAAACAGCTCCCGGTTCCTTCCCGTTCATGCAAATGAGAAATTGTTTGAAGAGCCAATCAAATGTGGCTGATGTCTCATCATAGAGTAGGGCAGCACCAAAAACACATGTTTCTCTATAGTTATTGAAGCCCACAAATAAAGCTGAAATGAAAATTTTGTTTAAAATTAGTAATGAGGTTTAACAAAACATACTAAGAATACAAACTGTCAAAGAAAAACATACTAAGAGTACAAACTTTAACAGAAAAACATACTAAGAATACAAACAGCAACAGAAAACATACAAAGAATACAAACTGTAACAGAAAAACATACTAAGAATACAAACAGCAACAGAAAACATACAAAGAATACAAACTGTAAAGGAAAAACATACTAAGAATACAAACAGCAACAGAAAACATACAAAGAATACAAACAGCAACAGAAAACATACAAAGAATACAAACAGCAACAGAATCATGACAAATATGGAAGAAAATCATTACAAACATACATGTTAGTGAAAATTAAAAAAATTGTAGTACCTAATGGGCGAGCATTCTTGTTGGTGCGGTATGTTGTGTCAAAGCTGATGGTGTCACCAAAATAGAAATAGTCCATTCTCATGCGTCCATCCGCCCAGAAAATACTTGCAATTTCTTCATTGATGTCAACTTGGATCTCATAAAAGAAAGCTGGGTCCATTGAAGCTTCACTTTTGAAATGATGATAAATCATTGTTGCCTCCCCAAACTTCATTGTTTTTTGCCTTTTAGTATAAACAGTACAAAGGATTAGACAAAACATACAAAGTATACAAACAGTACAAAACATACAAAGTACAGAAATCAAATAGTATAAACAATATAAAACAGATCAAAAAGATTATAAAATGTGCAAAACCCACCTTTTAGTACGGATATAATTCTTGTGGTCCATTTGTGTGAAGCCAACATTTTCTCTTCCTCCGGCAGCCAAGCATAATGCTTGAAATGATGATTGTATCGATATTCCAGCTTTGTGATACATGTCAATCAAGAACTTTTGCACTTCATTCATCGTTCTATTTGATCTCATGAATTGTCTTGATGATGGTGGGATCATCTTGTGATTATGCTCATCTAACCAGCTTGAAATGTAGTATTTTTGGGAACTATCTTCAAGCTGGAAGCGTATCACTGCTTTGCAATCCCATCTATCCTCTTTTCTGATTCTGCTTCTAGGTTGTTGGTCAACATGGTCGTCATTTGCTGGATTATTTGTACTACCTCTTCGCCAACCTTCCTTATTGCATCTGCCCCCAAAATATCTTACAACTTCACACGGTTTGTTATTGCTTGTTCTCTTAACCCCTCCTGTTTCTCTAACAGAAAATCCCTTATCATGTGCATAACATTTGTACCACAGCAATCCATGATCTTTTGTGTCAAAGCGAAGGTTCATCCACGTTTCTTCATTGCTTGGTATTATTTTGATCTCATCATCTGCAGAAACAGAACAGAGCAGAAAAACATACTAAGAATACAAACTGTCAAAGAAAAACATACTAAGAATGCAAACTATAACAGAAAACATACTAAGAATACAAACAGCAACAGAAAACCATACTAAGAGTACAAACAGCAACAGAAAACCATACTAAGAGTACAAACAGCAACAGAAAACCATACTAAGAGTACAAACTATCAAAGAAAAACATACTAACATTACAAACATAATTAAACTGATGCAGTAAAGCTATAAAGCCATACGGTATTTCGTACAAACTGCATAAACCATACGTTTGTACTGTTTGTACAAACATAACAATCATCATATATGAAGACTTACAATACAAAATGTACAGAACAGAGCAGAAAAACATACTAAGTATACAAACAGTACAAAGTAATAAACATACTAAGAATACAAAATGTAACCAGAATCATTACAAACATCAGACAAGATTTCATACCGATTTCACTTTGTACTGTTGTTTCCTGAATATCTACATCCATTGCTGTTTCAGTTCCAGTTTCTCCCGTTTTTTGTTCATTAGCTCCATCAACCACTTCATCCATTGTTATAGGAGCAGTGGAAAAACACCTCGCCGTTTGGTGGAAAAACACGTTCGTCGTTGGCTGGAGGAGAGTGGAACCCGCCGTCGTCGATCGCAGGAGGAAAATCGCCTCTCCAATCGGCAGAAATCGCCTCGCCGCCAATCTCCAGAAATCGCCTCGCTGCCAATCGCCGGAAATCGCCTCGCCGCCTATCGCTGGAATCGCCTCGCCGATCGCGGGAGAATCGCCTCGCCGCCAATCGCCGGAATCTCCTTCGCCTATCGGTGGAATCGCCTCGCCGATCGCGGGAGGGAAATCGCGCCGCCGATCGCCGTTTGCGGGAGGTTTGGACGCCGAGAATCTCCCTCGCCGTTCGCGGGAGGAAAAGCTTCGGCAGTTTTTTTCCCTTCCCAGAATAAAAAGGAAAACCAATTAATGAATTTTTTTTATTCCAGAATTGCCCCTCCCTGTATTTAAAAAACCCTTCCCTAATTTTCACCATTAGATTGATCCTTCTACATCCAATGGCTAGGAGGGGTTTAGCCAAGTGACTAAGCAACCCCCCTTAGTCACCAGATCCGGACTCTTGGCGTAGCTTCGGATGGAAAGAAGCCACGACACTCCTCCTCCCTATCCGTACTAGTTGGTGCCCGGCCCTTGGCCGGAATAGTTTTTGTCTCCTTTTCCTTTATAAAAAATGATTAACATTGAAAATGCCATCTTTTGACGTACATTTTCACATTTTGAATAATTTCAATTGAATTACTTATATATATATTTTTTTAATTTTGATTGATATTTCTCATACTCAATCCCAAATTTTATTTTTGCTTGTACGATTTTCCTCCAAAGCACTCGGTTGTGAATCAGAGATTTTGCACGCGTAAAAGGATAATTATTTTAAAAATAGATTACAAATTGATTGTTTGTCTTACTTTTCATTCCTTTTGTTTTTGCTGTTATTGATTCGAAATAAACATAACTGGTTTGTATTTTGATTTTTTATACTTTGATACATATATATATATCTTGATCCAATTTAATGGCCACAATTAGATGAAATAGTATTTTCATTATGTTTTAACATCAGAATGTTATGTTTGTGCAAACAATTAGTAAAGAGGTAGGTTTGTTAATTTTCAATAATAGAAAGGTAGAAAATGCTACTAACTCTTTATTGTATTTTTTTAGGGCTAGTTTAGCCCTGCTGTATCTTTTGCAAAAGTAGTTTCTGGCTGTAGCTTTTAGAGAAGTACCTAAAAAAACAGTAGAGTGTTTGGTTCAAAATCTATTAAAAGTGCTTTTTAATATAAGAGGTTATGTAAAATGACTATAAAATACTTATAATATAAAATATGAATAAAAATTCTAAACAATAAAAAATAGTCAAAATGGATATTATTAGATTTCTTTTATATTAAATATATAATTTTTTTATTTTTAAAATGATATAAATGAATGAAAATTATCTTTCTGGAATAAAATTAAAATAAGGTAACGATAATCTTGTATTTTCCAAACAGCTTTTCGCAGAAGCTCCAAATCGAAACTTCTGCTTTTATGTCATACAAAAGCACTTTTGGTTATTTTAAAAACAGAGTTTTTAGAGTTGTTTGACGCTACTTTAACTTTTGAAACCGAAAAATACTTTTGAAAGCTAGACAAAACATATGCATAATTTCCTGATTTCCTCAAATCTCTTTGTCACCGTGTTAATTGTCTCTTTTCCTAGTTTTGAGCAATATATGTCGTTTTTTATTAATACAAAATGAGAAAAATTGGGTGAGTGCCGACAATGACAAAAAAAAATTATAGGCAGAATATGATTTTGTTTTCCCCTATATTGACATTAAGTAATGTAGATTTTAAGTAGCCAAAATCTCATAAAATACTTAATTTTGTCGAGTTTCTCTCCAAAAATAAAAAGTAAAAAGATGAAAGGAATACAGTTGAGCTCATTAAATAGACATAACTCAATTGTACAGCCCATGTCCAAAGCCCAATGGAATATCCAACCAAGCACTACACCTTTGAGCAGACCCGTGTGGTTTAAGTATAGGTAAGAAAAAGAAAAAAAGACGAAATCAGCAATCGGGTGAGATAAGCTTTGAGATTGCCGGCGATAATGGTAGAAGCAGAGCCCAGAGTTCCTCTCAGAAAGGTGAGCTGGTATTGTGCTTAATGAATTATTGCCAGAGGTTCGCCAGTGATCAATGGGTTTGTTTATAGATCCATGAATATAGTGTCGCTGCTTCTGCAGATCGAAAGCGCAAAAAGAATATTGGAACCCACGCGGTGAGAACAGGATGATCGGACGGAGAGCAGGCGCAGAGACAAATCGAGAGTAATCCAAACTCCTACACCATTCTTAAGGCATATGAGAACATGCATAGTGGATTCCAGTATCTATTTCCCTCTCCTGGATCCTTAATTCTCTACTTGTTTATGACAGCCAAAGACTTGACTGGAGAAATTGGATTTGTCCCTCGTGAAAACAAAAAGGACATAGGGATTTCGATCCAAAAGGGAAGAAAAGAGGTTTCTTGCCGTGATTTTTATTGGCGCAATGGTGGTCGGAGATGGGTTGAAGATGGAGAGATCGAGATGCAAGGGGAGGTTGATCGTTTTTTGCATCAATGAAGATAGAGAAAGTGGAGAAACTCTTTCCTTTTCCCGTAAAGTTTCTATTTTTATTTAATTAATTAAATTATAAATAGTGCGCAATTCCTAGACGTGAAAAGACAATTAAGGTCATCCGACTTGTGCGAGCTGTTCAGCAGTGGCTTACGTGGCATAATTTTTTCCTTCACATTCCCTTATATTTATGTGTAGATGGTCGCTTTCATTCCCCCCACTGACCCCACCAACTTTGAACTATGGATTGGACTTTTTATAACCAGGCCCATCAAGTATTGGGCAATGAGTAGTACGTTAAGCCTGAAAAACAGGGTGAAAACGGGCCTACACGAGAACCCATTTCGAGTACCTTGGGCCTAGCCTAGTCTTGCTGTGTTCAGTTGTGTTGTATTCTCCCCCAAGCCTCCAATATGCATTATGTTCAAGAAAACCAAAATTGTGTATAGCTAATTTCAAATTGTTGGACTAATGTGAGCATAACAACATTGATTACATTGTGCGTTTAAATCTCTAAAACTATCTAAAAAGTTGTTTCTATGGGATGGTTTGGTTTTGGTGATACTTAAATCAATGTATTATGATCAATACATGCATTGTAATATACATGCAATTAAGGGAAATGGTGTAATGTAGTTTATCTTGTTTGGTTTTGGAGATAGTTATTTTAGCATTCAAAAAGTTGTATTTACTTTTTTGTATGAAATATTACTTTACTCAGGTAGGGAAATGACATGCACTAGTATGGTGTGTTCTGATTGCATTTATCTGGAAGGAAAGATGTGGTTTTGTTCATGGCTCTCCATTCCGTTCTCCTGATAAAGTAGCAAATGTGCTGAAGACAGATATTTTATTCCTAACATGTGGGAACAGGGCAGTTCGTGATGGGCTTACAAGACTTGGATACTTATAGTTTTTTGGTTCTTACACGGTAAGTAGACTGGTAGAGGAAAAGGTTAGTTAGCGAGCTTGTTCTTCTACCCTCGGGATCATGGAATCCCGATTCGTTGTATCGATTTCTTATTGGCAATAAAAGTTACTGATTCAACTGAAAAAAATATCACTTTTATCCTTGTTTTTATTGGTTATAGACGAACACTAGTTTATAGTAATTCTACCACTCTTTAAGCAATGAATATGAACACATGTATTCTACTTGAGGATACAAATACTAAGTGCATATGTTAGATTGACAACGAGACCGAAGAGGCTACACCGACGATGAAATTTTGAAGGGAGAGGGTGTTAAATTGACCGTTTGAAAGAGACATCCTCAAAAGAGTGGAGTGAACTGAGCATGGTTGTTCCCGCAAAAATATGAGAGCGGATTAGATCATAAATTTCAAGGGTATTATGGGAATATAGATAAATAACTAGGGTTATAATTGGAACAAAAAAGAATCAAACAATCCCCACTAAACTATCTCAACATTCTCAAGTTTTACTCGAGATAGTAATATCACTCATTTTGAGTGATTCTTTCCATCGCATCAACAAAACAATGGATGCATTGTTGCAGGAAAAAACTCAGAGAAATGATACATTATCCACAATACATCCATTGTAACAATCCCACCTAAACTATATATCACCGAAACCAAACAACCCCTATAACTTTCTTCATGACTTGTGAGATACCCCACTAAGTAGTAAGTGAAATCTTTGATATTGGTGAATAATCTCCAATACTTGATGTATCATATACATCGCACATCATTAAAAAAAAATTGAACTTATACGTAGTATACATGGTAAGAGAGTGATATAACATTCATAATTAACTTTCTCCCAATAATTTATTCTCCCAATAATTTAAATTATTGGGATCATACAAATTCATAACAAAGTATCATATATAATTGGGATTTCCTACAATAACTTGAAGTAAGGTAACTTGAATTTTTTTACTTGCGATAGCAGGTTTCACAGGTCGCATTACGTAAGATACAATAGCCATTACGTAATGGTTACGTAACATATGGTAATCTTACGTAACAGTTGTAAAAGATCATTACGGAAGCCTTACGTAATAGAATGTGTCTTTACGTAATGAGTATTAACCTCGCGTTACGTAAAATGTTAAGTTATTACGGAAACCTTACGTAACACTACTGATTTAACTGTTACGTAAGAAATAGCTGTCGTTACGTAATATTTACGTAATGGAAGGTCTTTTTACGTAATGAGTATTAACCTCACGTTACGTAAAGTGTTAAGTCATTACGAAAGCCTTACGTAACGCTTCCGATATAATTGTTACGTAAAAAATAACTATCATTTTGTAGCCTTTACGTAATGAATGTGTATTTTACGTAACAATTGTAAAATGTTATTACGGAAGCCTTACGTAATGGAAGGTCTTTTTACGTAATGAGTACTAATGTCGTGTTACGTAAAGAGCTAAGTCATTACGGAAGCTTTACGTAACGCTTCCGATTTCACTGTTACGTAAGAAATAACTATCATTCTGTAACCTTTACGTAAAGGAAGGTCTCTTTACGTAATGAGTATTAACCTCACGTTACGTAAAATGCTAAGTTATTACGGAAGTCTTACGTAACGCTTCTAATTAAAATAAGGAAAGGATAAAATAAGGAAAGCAAATAAATGTGAAAAAGGAAAGAAAAAACTAAGAAAGGTAAGTTAAGTGGGTGGTGACCGGCAACCCCCTATTGCCAATTATTTTTTTCTTATTTCTTATTTTTTATTTCTTTAATCAATGGTTTAAAATAAGTTTGATCGATTTTAACGGTTTAGATCTATACAAGTTATCTAACTTGAAATTATACTCAAATTACTATAGGAGATCCCTATATAATTTGGTTAAGTGGTTGTGAGTTCAAATCTCTACAACGGGCAACATTCAGATCTCCATTACCTCTAATGATAATACTTTCATTTCCGGAGATGTATAAGCCAAGAGAGAACCACGACGAATCTTCATTCAAAATAGTATCGGAAGTGAACCAAAAAATTAAAAATAAATAAGAATACACGAACAACAATATGCGATGGTTTGTTCATTTCTGAACACAAGGCAACAACGAGAGCCGTGGAAGGCTTCCACTTATACAGTTATATGTCGTTCCATTTTAAGGAATTTCTCTTTCAGCAATGTTTCTATAATATTATTGGCTTCCCCTCTTTGTTGATACACAATGCTTATACGTAGCCACGATTCCCTCTGTTATCGTGTTAACAACGGCGGATCCAAGATATAATAGAGCACTGGGCCGTATTTGAACAAAAAATTAGCCGCGTAGCATCATAATAACAATAATTTTGAATAAAATGTCAATTATATACTACCGTCTTTTAATTTAGCAAATTTATCAATAATTGAGTGTTCATTCATACCAAATTCATCAAAATAACTTCATAATTCTAATTCGAGTACTCCAAATAGCACAACAAACAACTAGCACAACAAACTCTATCCATTCTAAAAGCTAAGTTCTTATTAATTGAAATCAGAACAAACATTGGGTTAATGTAGTTTTTCTCGCAAAGCAATAAGTTAATGCAGTTAAACAAAACAACAAACATAACTTATACATAATATAGGTATATAATACAAAGCACAAAATTAAAAATCTTTATTCTCTACCCATGACCCAACGCCAACAGATCCCCAGTCCCTTTCCTAATCCCAACAAATAATAGAATGCCTTAAAACGCAAAATAAGGTTGGGCTGCTGGTCGTGAGGCCGTGCAGCGCCGCAACGGCAATTTCGCCGGAGACCTGGAGTGAGGATTGGGGAAAAGGGCGGGCGGAGTGCTTGCGGAGAAGGAATGGATATTTTCCCTTTAATTTTTTGGCCTCGCGAGAAGATGAGAAAGGGCTTTTGGGAATTTGATTTTGGTTTTAGGTTTTGGATTTAGGAAGAAAAGGCTGGGCCCAAATTAGTGAGAGAGCTGAAATTATAAGCTATATACATTCTATGTCAGGGGGAGGGCCGGGCCCGGGCCTAGTGTGGCCCTCCCCTGAATCCGCCGCTGGTGTTAACGTGTGTCCTTGGAAGAAGATAGCTAGATTCCTTCGTCCCACTCAAGTACCAATGAGTAATTAGCATGGTCCATGAAATCGTATCGTACCGGCGGAGGCGGTACAACCACAAAATACCAGTATCGGAGGCTAAACCGATATGCAGTATTTAACGATACTAATGGTTGACTACGATTAAATCATGGTTTTGTCATAAAATACCCTACCGCTGACTTTTCCGGTACGGTTTCATGGACCATGGTAATTAGTCGGCCCATCGCCGGTAGAGTACTTCTCGCCGTCTAATTAAATGGCGGTAGGGTTCCTTCAATTATGTAGTCGGCAATAGTACTCAGTACATTTTCTTCTCATTATTAGCTCTCCACGTGAAACGTTGCAATAGGAATCATAGCTTACTTTTGTAGTTCCTCATCTATCATTTTCTGGGATCACCTGCAAAAGTTGTTATAATCGTGTTTATTGATGGTGGGTTATCTTAGAAAGTTCCTTAACCATCATAATGACAACAAATTTGGCCATTGATAGTAAGCCAGGAGAACTACATCGGTCGGTGCAGACATCTTCAACTCACTCTTGCTCACCCCCAAGGTCCTTATAGTGGTGTTTCTGGATATAGTGTCCTAGAAATGGTGTCTTTGATTTGATAAAAGTTATGAAGATAAATTAAGGAAGTGCAATCGGATTCGATGTGATTTAGCCTGTCCTCGAAATGATATTCTTGATTTGCTCTATGGAACTTCAACATATAGAGTTTCCAATCCAATGTAGTGGTAAAATAGATTCTTTCATCGATACGTCAATTGCATACTAGTTATTGTACGTGAGGAAGGGTGGGCATGTGTACTTCACTTGACCTGACCTGTCCTATTATGATTTGTTTCTTTTCTAAATTATATCTATTTTTATTCAAATTATCTGTGATTTTGCTTTGTTTACATCATATTTTAGCTATAAAGAAAGTTGTCAGAGGGTGATAACCTCAGTTTATTGAGTAATCTGACTACAATTATCGTGTCATAGTTGGCTTCTCGATTTTTTTAATAGAGAAAATCAATGTTTCAAATGTTTTGCTTTCAAAGTACATCCCCATTTGGGTTTACTTGCCTCGATCCATATCTCTAGACAAAATATTCGACCTGAACACGATCTGCCATGGGACGAGTATAGGCATTGAGATACCTGCCCGATTTACCTCAATGCCATTTCTATAGGTCCTCGGAATGATTTTTACATGATTATCACGCCGGTGGAATGTCGAGCAGTTGAATTTATTTAATGTTAAATTAATTTTCTATAAAAATGAAATGACATAAATCAACAATATAAATCGATTTGAAAATTGATGAAGTCTCTCCACCGCGCTCTATGAGTTTGATTGGATTAAAAAAGGGAAACGGCATTGAACTGCGTGTTGTAGAGAAACCATTTCCATCGTCACCTCATCTAATCTAATCTCTTGGATCCCATAAATGGCAGCAGATTTGGGCATTAAATTTTGCCACCAAACTTCCCTTCCCTTCCCTCTCTTTCCCTGCCTTCTTCACTTTCCTCTTGTCTCTCGCCTTCCACCAAGATTTGCTCCAACAATAAAAGCTCTGCACTCCCTTCATCACCTCCCTCGCTCTCCCACCAACATATTTCTTCTCTTCTCCGAATTCCCAAAACTCGAAACATTCAGCCATGGCTGCCACCGAACTCAAATCCGCTGCCATTCTTGATCTACTCAAGGCCTTCCTCGAAACCGAAGAAGGCCTCCAGGTCAGGAAGAAGGTCAATCTCGTCTATCAGTTTAACATCGCGCCTAAGGTCACTTCCCCAATCTTTTGATTGATGCCCTCTCTCTCTCTCTCTCTATCTATCTAATTGAGTTATGTCTGCCTGATCATCTGAAATGTTTCTCCTCGACCTTCCGCAGAAAATTGGGTACGATGAGGTGATTTTCACTATTGATCTCAAGACAGGCCAGGTCACTAAAGGTTAGGGTTTTCAGTCTCTCTCTTGCTCCCCCAATCCCAATTCTTTACTCTGCTTTTGCAATTTCTGTGTATATTTGGGATATAGGAACGTAGTGGAATAAAAATAAAAGGTTTACAAGAAATTAGTGGCAGCCTAGATATAATCTGGCTCCCACTCCCTTAACGACAGCAAAGCTAAGTCTAGTGAAAATGTACGCGGCCGCCCGAGCCTTGCATCCTGCGGCTCTGTTCATGTTTTTCAAAGGGTTCAGTATGTTGATATGAGATGCTGTTTGAATGAAATTTGGAGACTTTTCTGCAGTATATGTACTGTACCTAAGTGGGTATCCACCCAATCCAAATGAGTATGTTCTGAATTCACCCCAAATGGTATATCCTCAATCGGGTTACTTACTGCAAACTTAGAGCTGTGTCATTCCTTTTTTGGGGGTATGGTGGTATGATTGCTTACTGTGGTGCACATTGAGACACCAGAAAACAGCACTTGGGATTTGATTGTAAGGAGTTCGTTTTGGTTGTTGTGTTGTTGGGGAAGTCAGGTCCATATGAAGGAGGAAAGCCTGATGCTGTCTTTTCACTCAAGGATGAGGATTTCATGAAGCTTGCAACGGGGAAGATGAATCCTCAGATTGCTTTCATGAGGTTTGTGGCCTGCAACCAACTCTATATCGTCCTTGTATCATGCTTCGCGATTTGGTTTCTGATAATTGGGTTTTCATGTTGGATGGTTGATGAAACAGGGGGGCACTGAAGATTAAGGGCAGCCTGAGTGCAGCTCAGAAGTTCACCCCGGATATCTTCCCTAAGCCGTCGAAGCTTTAAGGACGGCGATCGAGAAGCCTGCAGAGTTGGTTTGGTTGAATTTGCCTGCTTGAACTAGTGTTGTTGGAAGAATGATTCATGACTCCTTTTTTCTCGTGTAATAGTTTGCATTACAAGGCCACAAACGCCCCAGTCTCTTCCCCATCGGACTCATGTTTGAGTGCTCATTTCATCATTTGCATAGATGGGGGATAGATAATAGATTGGTGTGTTTAAATAGGTCGTCGAATTTCAGAATCAAATCACGTTCACCTTTTCCCCTTTCCAGTTTCCCAATCGTTATTATGGGTTGAGTGGTGGGGAAAAGGTGTTATTATGAAAGTCTTCACTGCTCATTTGCTGTCAGGTTCATAAGCCTGAGTTGTGATAGATGCCTTTCATTTTCATCTATTATTGTTGGACAGATTTGGACCCATATATGTCGTACTAGGTTTCTGGTTTGGTTGAACCCACATTTAACTCAGCCAAGCACAACCGATGATAAGTATTAAGTGGTCAACAAGCAGACTGCATCAATCCACGCTGCTGTTATCTTTATGACTGGTTTGCTGTTCATTTACCTGCTGCCATTAAGCAACAGAAGACAAACGAACTCGTAGAAGTTAGAACCCTATTTTGTATCTGGGTAGACCTGCCTCATTGTTAAATCCGATTTGACTCTGCGTTCTCAAGTCTCAATAGCCATGTCCATGTGCGTGACCATCATCTTTCTTTGGGGGATGCTTTTGACGGTACATGCTCTCATTGTACTCTCGTGGTCCCTCAAAAGAATGAGATTTGAAAGTGCAATTGATTGCCCTTTCTTCTCTTTTTATGAAATGGTTATACTGAAGAATACAAGCCTAACCCCGCCGAGCAACTTGACCCAATTTTATGAAGAAGAGGAACAACAGTATCTTATCTGTAGGCTCGAGGTCTTCAATTGCAGTATTTTTACAATTCCTTGTGGCTGGATACATGTAGTCTGGAATGTCATGGATAAAAGACAGTTTAATGCATAGATTAGCTACTAATATATATAACTTTAGGATGTGATCTCATGAAAACCACATTCTCTATTGTGAATCATGCTCAACAAAAACGACTCCATTTGCACCAGTAAGTGTGTTTTTAGAAGTGGATTTCGTCCGCGATCGTATGAGCGTTGTTTGACAGTGTTGTCATTTATCTTGAGTGTATGCTCTATCACGATACTGATATGGGCAATCACCATCATACTTTAGTTATGGAGCCGTTTCACCAGTTCACTCGCAAATACTAATGTTGGGGTACTACGAGCGAGGCTCAATGAGCGGTAGTTTGGGCTTCCAAGCAACAGAATTGGGGGGCAAGGCCCGTAAGTGGAAGTGTAAAGAAATTATAGGCCCAAGCAAGGTGGGGGGCGCATGAAGAAAAAACACTAGAAGCCAAAGGGAGTCAGACTCTCAAGGGAGGCCAGACTGTCAAGTGGTCCATCGTCTGTGGGCGCCTGTCACGTGTCAGAAGCCCGACAAGGCAGTTGGGATATCTGACAAGGAGAGTACAAGGCATTAAATGGAGACAGTGACGTGGAGGAGATCAACCTCGAACTCGGTGAGTATAAATAGGGGCAGTTGGTAGCATTTACACAGGTTGGATTCTCTCACTAAAACTCTTACCTTGAGACACTTCTCTCTCTAAGAGACTAACTTGAGCGTCGGAGGATTAACGGGCCCAGGCACCCCCTCCGTGTTCGTGCGTGTAGGCAGGCGCTGGTCGGAAGGGAATCGCGAGGGTTCCCGCGAGGCATCTTGGCTCAAACAATTGGCGCGCCAGGAAGGGGAATATAACCAGGGGTCATGAGTGAGGAGGCGCCGATGAATGAAGAAAGAGAGGAAATTACGGAGGAACAATCGGGGCGGTTGAGAAGGTTGACGCCCGAGACGGATGGAGGCGAGGAAAGTGATGGCATGTTCCGGGGGTCGGAAGGCGCCTCGGTCACGAAAAATGAGTTGTTCAAGATCATCGAGGATCAGGACGAGGCGATCGAGGCGCTTCGGCGAGAAGTGGACGCCTTGAATAGGGGCGAGGGGATGACGCCTAGCCCAACGAAGAAGTGGGAACGAGTGGCGGAGACGGAAAGTGAGTCAGGGTGTCCGAGGCGCCCAAGTTTGTGGCGCCCACGTGATCACGGAGGGCCAGACGAGTGTGGGTGGAACGGAGGAATTCTGGGGCGCCTGTCACGCCACTGCCCAGTGAGGCAGCCCCTGGCGCGTAACATACTGACGGAGCCTGCAGGAACCAACATTCCCCCGCTCCCCACCTACGACGGGACTGTGGATCCCGAGGACCACCTTAATGGGTACTTCACCAAAATGCAACTATACAACAGCACAGACGCAACCCTGTGCAAGGTGTTTCCATCAACTTTCGCGGGCGTGGTCCTCGACTGGTACCACCAGATCGAAGAGGGGCACATTGATTGCTTTGAGCTGTTTGCGGCGATGTTCCTGGCAAAGTTCGCTAGCAGGAAGCGGCGCTCCTTGACCAGAGGCGCCCTGTTCAAAGTCAAACAAAGAGAGGGAGAGGCGCTGAGAGAATTTTATTAGAGGTGGCTGTCCGTGGCCCTGGCAGTGAAAGACGCTCAGCCGTCAGTGTTGGGAGTATTGCCTGAATGAGTGCACCAACAACGAGGAGTTGTGTAGGTCGCTTGCAAAAAGAGACGTGGTATCCACGGAAGACCTGGATCACAGAGTACAAAAGGTGATCATGCTCGAAGAAACATTGGCAGCCAGAAGAGCAGACAGGCGGAAGACAAGAGAGGAAGAAGTTGAGATGACAGAAGTTGAGATGACACGGAGGCCGCACCCCCCAAGCGGTTCAGGTTACACGCCCATGAGCCATCCCCCGCCAAGGAGAGTCGATGTGGGGCTCCCGACGCCAAGGGGGGGGGGACACTTTGCTGAGTATAACGACACTCTAAAGAACATACTCCAGCACGTCAAGGAGAAGGGGTATCACATCAGATGGTCGGGCCCCATGAGGGGACAACCCAACGAACGGAACCTGGATCGATATTGTGACTTCCACCGGGAAGTGGGGCACCATACAGCTGACTGTTATCAGCTGAAGACCGAGCTGCAGGGCCTGGCCGACAGAGGGATGCTTAACGACTTCGTCAAGAGGCCTGAGAAGAGAGTGCACCGGGCGTGCGTGGCCGGCGTGGAGAAAGGGAAGGAGGAGCTGCCACCCCCGCCATACGACCTCGACCAAGAAAAGGCGCCCGACCGCGTACGCCTAACCATTGAAGCCATTTCGGGAACGATGGAAGTGAGGGAAAAAATAGAGGCAAACCGCCGGCTGAGAGCGGCATCAGCAGACGTGCAGGAGGCCATCGATATCAGCTTCAATAAGGCGCCAGAAGAAACATGCATGCTCCCATCCATGGAAGCCTTGGAGATACAAGGAGTGGTAGCGGGATGCAAGGTAAGAAGGATGTTTATCGATACAGGGAGCTCCATGGACGTATTGTTCAAAGATACGGTAGTTCGCATGCAATTATCGCCGGAGCTGATAAGAACGTCGGAGTCAGTGCAATCGGTTTTTCGGGGGCGCCCGCTAGAGTAATAAGGTGAGTGTGCCTGCCGGTTACCCTGGGGGACACGGAGCAAAGGATGACGCGCGCCATTGACTTCGGAATAGTGGACTGCCCATCGCCATACAATGTGATCCTAGGAAGACCCCTCCTAACCTTATTCAATGGGGTGGCCTCCACTTGTCACCAAACCTTAAAATTCATTGCCCCACAAGAGGTAGGCGTAGCCCGGGGACGAGGCCCCCCGCGTTATGCAAAGGAAACAGGACGGAAGCGAAGACACACCGATGCGAGAGTCAATGTGATGGAAGTCGTGGTGGAAGAGGCACCTCGAGCCGAGACTGCCGACGAAGAGCTCTTGGTGGCGCTGGAGGAAGGACGCCCGGAAAGGCAGGTGAGAATATCTGCAGAGGCGCCCGATGAAATGAAGGAGCGCCTCATCGCCCTCCTGAAAGAGTTCGCGGAGCTTTTCGCGTGGAGTGCACTGGAAATGCCAGGCGTCACACCCGAAACGGCCATTCACAGGTTGGCGATCAAGGAAGGCAGGCGCCCCGTGCAGCAAAAGCAAAGGAACCTATCGCCAGAGAAGTAGGCGGCGCTTAGGGTTGAAGTGGATAAGCTCATGGGTGCCAACTTAGTTGAAGAAACTTCTTATGTTACTTGGTTGTCAAATGTGGTCTTTGTGCCAAAACCATCAGGAGATTGGAGAATGTGCGTGGATTATACGAGCCTCAATAGAGCATGTCCAACGGATGCCTACCCGATGCCCCTAATAGACCTGTTGGTGGATTCCACAGCATATCACGAGATGCTAAGTTTCGTGGACATGTTCTCCGGATACCATCAAATCCCCATGGCAGAAGAGGACCGACCTAAAACAGCCTTCATGACGCCCTTCGGAAACTTTTTCTACCGGGTCATGGCATTCGGGCTCACCGCTCAAGAATGCGGGCGCCACCTATCAAAGAATGGTCAACAGTGTCTTCCGTCAACAAATCGGTCGAAATGTGGAAGCCTACGTGGTCAACCTTATAGTCAAAAGTCGGAGGCGTGAAGACCACCTGGAAGACTTGCGGGAGACGTTCCAGGCCATGCGGGCGCAAAAACTTCGCCTCAACCCCCTCAAGTGTGTGTTCGGCCCCGAGACAGGGAAATTCCTAGGATTCATGATCACCAAGAGAGGCATCGAAGCCAATCCAAAGCAGGTGGACGCCATTCTCAGGTTGACACCCCCGAAGACGCCCAAGGAGGTACAAGGCTTGGCAGGAAGATTAGCGACCCTGGGACGCTTCATCCCCCGATCCGCAGACAAGGGCGCTCCCTTCTTTCGGACGCTTAAGAAGGCGACGCGTTTCCAGTGGACTAACGAGTGTGATGGGGCGTTCGAAGAGTTGAAACAGCTCCTAGCCGCCCCAACTGTGATGACAGCTCCCAAAGCGGGAGAGACGTTGTACCTTTATATTGCTGTGTCAGAAGTCTCTGTAAGTGCAGTGCTCGTTGCAAGGAAAGCCCACTCTGGAGAAGACAAACCGGTATACTATGTCAGTCGCACCATGGTCACCCACGAAAGGCGATACGCACCCTTCGAGAAGGCCGCATTGGCAGTTGTGATGGCTGCGACCAAGCTAAGGCCCTACTTCCAGGCACACACCATCGTAGTACTCACTAACCTCCCGTTGAAATCCACATTGGGGTCAATGGACGTGGCCGGGCTCCTCGTCAAATGGGCAGTCCAGCTAAGTGAGTTCGACATTCGGTATGCGCCCCGACTGGCGATAAAGGGGGCGGATGACTGCTGGCAGGTTCAGGTTGATGGGGCGGCCAGCCGACAGAAGGAGTAGCAGAGTCAGAGAAGGGGGCGGATGACTGCTGGCAGGTTCAGGTTGATGGGGAGGCCAGCCGCACCGGCGCTGGGGCAGGTATCGTGATGATAAGCCCAGGAGGCGCAATGCATGAAGTCGCGTTGCGATTTGAAACCCTAAAAACAAACAACGCCGCGGAATATGAAGCGGTTATAGCCGCCATGACTATGGTCAAGGAGTTGGGGGCGCCCACAAGGTCCAAGTTAAGTCCGATTCGGCCCTCGTCGTTAATCAACTTAACGGAATATTTGAAGTGAAAGAGGAAGCACTGGAAGGGTACGTGCGAAGAGTTCGAGAGCTGGGAGCCTGGTTTGGGGAAATCTCCTTTGTTCACATCCCACGTGATGAGAATGCTCACGCAGACGCTTTATCCAAACTAGCAACTGCTGTGGATTTCGCGAAAGAGCGGAAAGTCATAGTCGCCGCAGAAGCGCCTCATGAGCATTTGGTCGCTACCCTGGGAAGTGTGGGCGCCGACACCGGATGGATGGCGCCAATCGTACTGTTCTTGACCGAAGGCGTGGTGCCTGATGACCCGAAGGAAGTCTGGCGCCTCCGCCGAAAAGCGGCCCGGTGTTCCATAATTGAGGGAAAGTTGTACAAAAGGTCTCACGCGGGAGCATACTTGAGATGTCTGGACGAGGAGGAAAGCCGGGGGGCAATCGAGGAGGTGCATAGCGGAACGTGCGACATGCACGCAGGAGCGCGAAGTTTGGAAAAGACACTGTTACAACAAGGTTTTTACTGGCCAACAATGAGACGGGACGCAAAGGCACATGTGGGCGCCTGCCATCAGTGCCAAATTCACGCAAACGACATTCACATCCCGGCAGCGCCCATGCAAGGCAACGTAGGAGCCTGGCCATTCGCCCAATGCGGTATAGATCTCTTAGGCCCTTTTCCCAAGGCGCCCGGGCAAATGAAATACCTGATAGTGGCAGTCGATTACTTCTCCAAATGGATAGAGGCAGAACCTTTGGCCACAGTCACAGTAGCCCAGGTGCGAAAGTTCACCAAGAAGAATATATTCACTCGGTTCGGCTTGCCTGAGTCCATTGTCACAGACCATGGAAAGCAGTTCGACTACAAGAAGTTTGTGGAGTTCTATGACGTCAATAGAGTCGTGTTGAGGTTTTCGTCGGTGGCTTACCCACAGGCAAACGATCAAGCGGAGGCGGCCAACAAAAGTATCCTTCACGGGTTGCACACCCGGTTGGCGGGTGACACGCTAAAACACAACACCTAACAATGGCCAAGTGTAACCAATGGAAGGGACTGCAGTATAGTGGCTCAAGTGATAAATATCGAATCCACGGGTCTCTAGAGTTACTATTACTCAGCTTCAGTTTATTATCTAGCAAACTAGATTAAGGATTGATTAACTAAACTACTCTACTAACTAAACTAAGTAAAAGTACTAATTACAGTTTGGGAACTCACTTAGGTATGATTCCCCCTAGCTCCTCAATTAGGTCCAAGTTGTAATTCCTTTTGGTTGATTTACTGTTGATTAGACTGCGGAAGATCCGACAGTAGCTTGGAATCTCTTAAGCTGACCAAGCCCTCTCAGTCTAACTATCCGGCAGACGACTAGTCTTCACCGGGATAGAAAGCTGAAGCAGTAAGAACAGAACTCCACTACTGGAATTGGATTCCAGTACAAAGCAGTAAACTGGCTAACTCTCGTATAGCCAATCTCCTACTACCGAATGATGAGACTCTAGCAACCTAATCAGATTCTATCTATCTCAGATTGCAGCAGGAATCAGGAAAAGTTGATCAGACTTCAATTGACTCAATAAACATGCATCATTCGATTATAATCAAACAATATAGCATCCAAAACTTCATACAAGAAAGATCCTAACTCATGGAACTAAGGTTCCTCAAAACCTAAGTGAAGGGAAGTTACTCCATAGAGAAGAGAGAGACTGCAGAAATCTGATCTAGATCTTCAATCTCCATCTCCAAGCTTGATTCCCGAGCTCCAATGGCGAAGAAATCCTCCAAAATAGCTCCAAGAATGTTCCCAAGTCGCTCTCTCTCTCTAGGATTCGTCCCTTGGGTGTTTGGGATCCAAAAACCCAGCTCTCCCTTTCCTTTGGCTCTAATCTGCCTCAAAAACCCGATTCTAGGTGAATTACGGGCTGAATTACGGTCGTAATTCTTCCATGCCCGTATTTTGCCCAAAACACGCGTTTTGGTTAAGTTTCAGCGCACCCAAAGCTCCTCTCGGCAGTGAAATTACGGGCATGGGAGGGGAAATTACGGTCGTAATTCTCCTGCCCGTAATTCTTCCTCCACCCCTGTTCAAAGCTTCGTTTCTCCCTCGTCCGGACTCCGAATCAGTCGCCGTTTGAACCCAGACGCTCGTAGTCTCGTCCTCTTTCTTTTCATAACAAACTTCCATGATTCTTTGTCCATAAAGTGAGGTAGAAATCCACTCTTCTTCAGGTCATGCTCGTGTTTCTTCTCCCTAATCGCCAATTGATCTCTGATTGACTTGAAACTTGCGCCTATGCTTCACTTTATTTGCTAAGGCATGAAATGTGAAAAAGGAACACAACCTAGCGTAAAATAGGCCAAAGAAGCGATAATGCAAGCTTAAACGATCAAGAAACAAAGGGGAAAACATGTGCAAATATCGAGTCATCAAATTCCCCCACACTTAACCATTTGCTTGTCCCCAAGCAAACCTAACTCAAACCAATGCAGCTCTCCAGACCTCTATATTAACATACAACCTCGATCGTCGGTAGAGGATTTCCTAGATCATATAGCAGCTTACGAGGTCAACTGGTCTTCTAAGACGTTCCCTATCTCTCTCAATGCGAGTACTAGACTCAAGCCAGGATCATGAGAAGAAGTAGAAGTAAGACAGTCAGTTCATGGATAAAGGGACTCACACCATTCACTACCAAGGACTCGTTGTACCGGGGTGCTCTTTCACTTCATTTCACCGTTGGAACCCCTTTTTCACTTTCATTTTACTTTTTTTCATTTTCATTCACTTGGCGGGGGTTCCAACTGCAGTCTTTTGCACGGTCGACCCTTATTAGTCGAGCAAGACCAATTTTTGTACATCTAGCGCTCGCCAGAGTACTTCTTTTAACTCCTTTTCCTCAACTCGTGTGGAGGGTCAATGAAATCAAGGGGGGTCGGAAGCTCTATCCGTGCCCTTAAAAACACATCCTCAAGTAGGCAAACCGTTCAACGGGTGAAAATTTTACTTGTACTAGAGACAGCTTAGCTTCACCTTGTAGGAGTACCCCACTAAGGATCTCTAAAATCTCTTCCAAAACCCGATTTTTGTGCAATGAACGGTGCCGCACACGTTGGGCTTACCCCATGTTTAAGATTTTATGATTTTGACATGGAGGACCAACTGCTTTTCATTTTTCACATGAGCACCCTGTTCGATACACGAGTCCATAACACAATCCAAACATAGTCACCATTACCACATGAATTCAACGGTCTTAGCTCCACTAATTCACAAAATCTACTAGCACAGCAGAGAGCTAGATAGGAAAAATCTTATACTTCAACATCCTCCATAGTGCTACACTACCTCCCTAGGTTGCACATTAATATAGAGACTGTCAATTCAAAGCATACTGAGCAGGCAATTTGCAAGGAAACACGTACTTGGAGCCCTCAAATTTAAAAATTTGGACAGTGGACTAGGCTCCAAGCACACAAACAGCCAAACATTCACCCGCATACATAATCGAACATCCCCCCACACTTAAGCACGACATTGTCCTCAATGGAGGAAAGATAAGGTGGGTAGAACGAAGTTACCAGATCCAGGGTGAATGATGGTGGACAGGGCAGGCGGTGTATTCCAGGAGGAGAGAGTGGTCAGACCACAAACACCACACAAAATCTCACAAAGGTTGAGTTATTGACTCTAAAATCAAATAACAAAACTGACTCAACCGAGGAGAAATAGAGAAAGAAATGCAAACCGACTGGTTGGGTTGCCTCCCAACAAGCGCTTCTTTCACGTCGTGAGCCGGACGATGGCTCCTAAGTTTCGGTCCATGCTAGAACCTCCTTGAAGTTGAGGTTCTCGTCGATGAGGTGGAGTCTCAAGTCACGAGCATGTGGTGTGGCAGGTGATGAAGGCTCATGTACTTGATGCAGATGAAGTCTCCACCCTCGAGACCTCTTCTTCTCTTCTCTCGTCTCATTGCCCCAAACCAGATATGACAGCATCGATTGGCCACCATCGTGTCCACCAAGAGGGACCGATGTTGATGTGGCCTTGGTCTGGCAAAGAGACACTGCAAATGGGTCCTTGCTAAGCAGTTCCTCAAAGTTTGGTGGGGATATCACTTGCAACTCATGGCCGGTGCAGGCCTCTTCCACCTTAACTCTGTTCTCAGCTTGGACGCCAATTGCTTCTTCAACCCCCCTTTCTTCTTCATGTGGTATCACCCCTGGGAAATGATCAACAACTCCTCCTGCTTCACTTTCTTCATCCTCCACAACTTCTTTCTGCACCCTTTCTTGCTCTTCTTCTTCTAGCACAGATTGGAGAGCAAGTCGCCATGTAATTTCTTCAATGAGATCATCTTGCATCTCCTCGCTCGGGCCCGGCATGTTAGAGCAGAAATAAGGAATTGTGTGATCTACAACCAGAGGACTTTCCTGATCATGATTATCATGGGAGTTCTCTGTGATAACTTCTGTATGCTCCTCAACATCCCCATAGCCTTTGTCATCCTCCACCTCTTCTAGCGTGGTAGCAGAAAGGTGATCTTGAGCAAGATGTGAGCAAACTTGCTCCACCCACTCTGTTTGCTTCGCTAAGCGCTGAACAATCTCCTCCATATCATGGACAAATGAGGGATCGGAAGCAGCAAGGGCTTTGATTTGAAGATCCATCTTGGAGCATGATCTCTCAGTGTCTCGAGCAAACTGCTCCACGAGAAGCCTTAATTGTTTGTTCGGATCTTCCAGTAAAGTGTAACATGGCTATGCAGAGTGGCCCGTGAAGGCCGCCATGGGTAACTCCAGCTCCGACGGGCCTTCTGGTTGTGGGAGAAAGTCTTCTTGGTAATGAGGTTGTTCTTGATATGCCCAGGGGTCTGGTTGTTCTCCGTAGAAAGGGGGTTGGTACTGGAACCCGAATCCATAGTCTTCTCCTCCTTGATTGCTCCAGGGAGTCTCGGGGTATACCACTCGGATGGTGGTGGATACCCCCACTGGTTGGAGAAGCCATGCGGATCCATGATTCAGATCTGCACCAACAAAAACAAAAAACACCCAAGTGAAAAGCAAGGGTGGAAAAGAAAAGAAAAACGCTAAAGTAACAAACTTCTGCCTTTCCTAATAATCTAGAAAGTCCCCGGCAACGGCGCCAAAAACTTGATGCTCTAAAACACAACACCTAACAATGGCCAAGTGTAACCAATGAAAGGGACTGCAGTATAGTGGCACAAGTAATAAATATCGAATCCACGGGTCTCTAGAGTTACTATTACTCAGCTTCAGTTTATTATCTAGCAAACTAGATTAAGGATTGATTAACTAAACTACTCTACTAACTAAACTAAGTAAAAGTACTAATTACAGTTTGGGAACTCACTTAGGTATGATTCCCCCTAGCTCCTCAATTAGGTCCAAGTTGTAATTCCTTTTGGTTGATTTACTGTTGATTAGACTGCGGAAGATCCGACAGTAGCTTGGAATCTCTTAAGCTGACCAAGCCCTCTCAGTCTAACTATCCGGCAGACGACTAGTCTTCACCGGGATAGAAAGCTGAAGCAGTAAGAACAGAACTCCACTACTGGAATTGGATTCCAGTACAAAGCAGTAAACTGGCTAACTCTCGTATAGCCAATCTCCTACTACCGAATGATGAGACTCTAGCAACCTAATCAGATTCTATCTATCTCAGATTGCAGCAGGAATCAGGAAAAGTTGATCAGACTTCAATTGACTCAATAAACATGCATCATTCGATTATAATCAAACAATATAGCATCCAAAACTTCATACAAGAAAGATCCTAACTCATGGAACTAAGGTTCCTCAAAACCTAAGTGAAGGGAAGTTACTCCATAGAGAAGAGAGAGACTGCAGAAATCTGATCTAGATCTTCAATCTCCATCTCCAAGCTTGATTCCCGAGCTCCAATGGCGAAGAAATCCTCCAAAATAGCTCCAAGAATGTTCCCAAGTCGCTCTCCCTCTCTAGGATTCGTCCCTTGGGTGTTTGGGATCCAAAAACCCAGCTCTCCCTTTCCTTTGGCTCTAATCTGCCTCAAAAACCCGATTCTGGGTGAATTACGGGCTGAATTACGGTCGTAATTCTTCCATGCCCGTATTTTGCCCAAAACACGCGTTTTGGTTAAGTTTCAGCGCACCCAAAGCTCCTCTCGGCAGTGAAATTACGGGCATGGGAGGGGAAATTACGGTCGTAATTCTCCTGCCCGTAATTCTTCCTCCACCCCTGTTCAAAGCTTCGTTTCTCCCTCGTCCGGACTCCGAATCAGTCGCCGTTTGAACCCAGACGCTCGTAGTCTCGTCCTCTTTCTTTTCTTAACAAACTTACATGATTATTTGTCCATAAAGTGAGGTAGAAATCCATTCTTCTTCAGGTCATGCTCGTGTTTCTTCTCCCTAATCGCCAATTGATCTCTGATTGACTTGAAACTTGCGCCTATGCTTCACTTTATTTGCTAAGGCATGAAATGTGACAAAGGAACACAACCTAGCGTAAAATAGGCCAACGAAGCGATAATGCAAGCTTAAACGATCAAGAAACAAAGGGGAAAACATGTGCAAATATCGAGTCATCAGCGGGCGCCAAGGGCAAATGGGTTGAGGAACTGCCAAATGTGTTGTGGGCGCATCGCACAACTTACAAGACCGCCACCGGAGAAACACCCTTCGCCTTGTCTTACGGAAGCGAGACGGTCATTCCAGTGGAGGTCAACATCGCAAGTTACCGCGTTGTCCAGTACGACCCAAACAACAATGACGAGGCAAGGACCGACGAATTAGACATGGCAGACGAGGTAAGGGAGGTGGCGGCAATACGTTTGGAAGAAATGAAGCGACAAGTGGCCCGGTACTACAACAAGAAAATGCGTGCCCATGGGATCATTGATGGCGCCCTAGTCCTCAAACGTGATTTCCGCCCTGACGCCCGCGAGGGAAAGTTAGCACCAAAGTGGAAAGGCCCATATCGAGTCCGAGAAGTGGTAGGACCCAGTACGTTCAAACTAGAGCATGCTGACGGCAGAGTGGTGAAAAGAACATGGAACGCACAAAACCTGCGAATTTATCGAGAGGGCGCCGCTCCAGGGGAAGGCGCCTCCACCTAACGAGAACCAGAAAAGGCAAAAGGCGGTAGTAGTTGTAAGTGTTTGTCTATGTCGAATACAAAGTGTGTAAGCGCATTGTGTTGTGACTAAAGCGCGCGTCGAAATAGCGTCGTATCGTGTCCAAAGCGCCCAGTGTTCTAGTATCCAAGTAGTGACTTCATGTTCGTTTCCGCCTTTTCGCATTCAGTAAAAGCGACCAACTTTGCGCCCGGTAATTTCGTGTGAGTAAAAGCGCCCAACTTTGCGCCCGATTACGTGTTTAAAGAGTTAAGAGAAGTTAGTAAAGCGCCCAGTTTTGCGCTCGTCAATCACAAAGCGCACCAATATTGCGCCATAAGTCAGAGCAGTAACGCGCCCAAATTTGCGCCCTCGAAATGCGGTAATCAATGATAAACAGAAATCGCGCCCAACTTTGCGCCCAATGGCTATAAAGCGCCCACAATTTATGCGCCCAAAAAAGCGAGAAAAGTTAAGTAAAACCAAGCATCCCAAAATACGATTAAATCACCAACGGAAACGTTCTTATAGATATTAAAAAAAAAAGATCCTCCTTAGTTGACGCCCATTCTTTACTCAGCTCCTGAGTTGGCATCTCCAGCACTAGGCGCCTTCGGGAAAGTTGACGCAGGAGCAGAATCACTTGGAGGCGCATCTGCAGTAGGAGGCTCGGGCGCCCTCCCCGCTTCACGGGGGGTATCCAACTCCCCGATCACATACTCGGCCATCTCGGTGAAATCCCAAGTAAGGTCGGGGTGATCCTTCTCCAACTTAACCTTCAAAATTTCGAGGCCGGTCAAGCAGGCATTGGCGCTCATACTTTTCCCAGCCTCGGACTCCTCGAAGGTGTCCAAAGAATGGCGCAAGTTTGAAATTTCTTTCCGCACCTCTTTCAAGGATTTCTTACTCTCCTTGTAGGCGTCTTGCCACCTTTTCTTCTCCTCCTAGAGGATATCTATCTCGCTCGCTTGGGCGCCTGCCTCCTGCGCCAATGCCTCCTTCTCCGCCTGAAGGGTTGCCGATTTATTGCGCTCTTCGTCAAGGGTGCCCTGAAGCCGCGACACCTCCATGGCCGCATTCATCTACGCTTTCTCGCAATCCTTCACCAACTGCTCGCGACGCTCGGTCGCGTTTTCCAGATCATGCTTCATGGAGGAGGCAGAGGTAGAGGCTTCGAGCGCCTCTCTCAGCAAAAAAAAGGATCTGCATACACCAAGTAAAGAGAATTAGCATTTGCGTAAATGCAATTTTCAAATTCGAGAGAACAAGTAAAATGGTATATACCTTGGCGCCCACTTGGGCCAATTCTGCAAAGAGATGATCCCCATTCATCTCTGACGGCACTTGCCACATCTTGGCGGCCGTGATCGCCAACCCCATAGCGCAGCCTTGGTCGACCGCCGACAGTGGGGAGCACGGCAAGTCGATGCGCCCAACATCCGAGCGGCGCGGCTGGAAGATAGGAGGGCGCCCATCGGGGCACAAGTAACGCCCCTCTTCATTAAAGTGGTATTGGGCGCCCCCCTCACCTCCCGAGGGGGCGGCGCCCGCTTTCTCCTTCCATCTGTCAGTTTTTTTGCTGACGTTGTCAAAGGGAGAACCAGCTCGCTTCCCCCGACGAATCAAGGACTCAGCCTCTTCTTTACCGTAGTTACCCTCCTGCTCCGCGGGTTCAGCCTCAGGCGCCTCTTCCTCAGCCTCCGGGGCAGAAGACGCCACGCTGGCGGTCTTCGTATGCATTGTGCCCCCCTTCACTGCCTTCTTCTTCTTCTTCTTCGGGCCAGGAGGAGGCGCCTGTGATTGTGCGGCAGCCGATACGGGCGCCTGTGGCTGGGTGGTGGTGGAAGCGGGCGCCTTTGGCCGAACTGATGAGGGCGCCCCTCCCGTCATAGCTGCAAGCCGACTCTTCATCAGCTTGGCAATGCTGCTGAAATCCGACCTTGCACATTGCCAAATGATTAGCACAAGTCAAAAAGAAAAAAAAAATTAATTAGCGCGAGTCACAACATGGGTACACGAATAACATCTAGGCGCCTACAAACCATCATTATAATACGCCTCCAGAATGTGGGGGGGGGGGGGGGGGCGATTTTCAGTTTTGCGCAAGTCCACGCTCCGCTCGCAAATCAAGCGGGCGCCGTCTTTCTCCGATTGAGACAACACGACCGGCGCGTTCAAATCCTCGATGTGCCCCAACTCCCACTGTCTCAGAAAGGCGCCTCCACTCTCAAAGAATGAGTCCCGGTATGCCTTCATGAAGAAGAACCCGTTGAACCAGCTGCGCCCCAGCTTCGGACACCGCTCCACAAAATGATACGTGCGCTTCTTCCTCTTTTGAAGCGACAAGCAGTTGTCAAGGGGCGCCATCTTAAAAAAATACCTGAACAAGTTGAATGTGGGCTCCACATTGTGTTCTCGACACCTCAACTTGAATAGGATTACGATCACAATGACCGAGGGAGATAGGCGCCCCAGCGGGCAACCACAGGTCGTCAGGATCCCCTCCATAATGTGGTTGAGGGGAAACCGCAATCCGAAGTGGAAATATTCTTGGTACACCCCAATCCACTTCGGCCCGCAGACGCCCACTCGCGAATTCGCAGACGGAGGCGCATACCACCAGTCGCGCGGGAGTTGGAGGCTGGTCACCGATTCGTGTACGCGCGCAAGGGTAACAGTCGACGTATGCATTGGTCCAGCCACGTCGAAGGGCAACTGGGATGTCTCCTTTGGAAGGTGGTCGGGGGGAAAGGAGCTCTCCCACGTCGTAATCTTGTAGGACCCGTCCGTGGGCATGAAACCTGGAGTCGAGACGCTTGACGGACCAGCGGACGTAGAAGCAGGCGCCCTCTCTAAACCAACAAACGACCGAGGCGCAACGTTTACGCGGAGTAAGTGACGCCCTACCCTAGATAGCTAGAATAAATCCAAAACGAGTAACCAACAAGATAAGATTTCTTACCCCCTTGAGTCGGGCGCCTTGCTTCAACACCTGTGCCTGAAGCGCCCGTCCTTGGGGCGCCTGCACCAGTCGCACCCGCGCCAGAGGCGCCTTAGCCGGAAGTCTTGTCTTGTTGTGGCGACGACATTCTTGGCTGACTAGAAAGAAGTGATGACGTTTGCAAGAGGGATCTAGAGAGAAGTCAGAGCGGAATCTAGAGAGAAGTCAGAGCGAAATCTTAGAGAGAGGTTGATTGGAAGAAAGTGACAAGAACTGAGTGAGGAGGGGGTATTTAAAGGGGAGAAGGACCCGAGCCAAAGCCCGCGTCGCGTGCCACGTGTCAATATCATGGGCGGGCTTTTGAGCTTCCCCCCACTTTTCCCTTTTTTGGAAATTTTTAAAATTCCAATTTTGAATTTTCCAATTTCGAAATTCGAAATTTAGAATTTTCCAAGCAAGGAAAATGTGGGCCCACATCAAAACCCCACCCCTGAGGGGGGGCATAAGGGCTAGGGACACCCCTCACAGACAGCTCCACCGAAAGGCGCCCACAAAGCTCCACGAAAAGGTGCACATAAATCACGAGGGGAAAGCACACAAAACAGAGGGCGCCATTAAAAGTGGGACGCCTATCAGCGAATCCAAGTGCCGTAAAGACCGGCGCACCCGGAAAATCGGACGCCTATAAACAAAGAGGATGAAAGGCCACGATAGAAGAATCAGTTAGGTGCTCAAAGGTAAAACCGTGAGCACATAACTGGGGGGCAATTGTTGGGGGTACTACGAGCGAGGCCCAATGAGCGGTAGTTTGGGCTTCCAAGCAACAGAATTGGGGGCAAGGCCCGTAAGTGGAAGTGTAAAGCAATTATAGGCCCAAGCAAGGTGGGGGGCGCATGAAGACAAAACACTAGAAGCCAAAGGGAGTCAGACTATCAAGGGAGGCCAGGCTGTCAAGTGGTCCATCGTCTGTGGGCGCCTGTCACGTGCCAGAAGCCTGACAACGCAGTTGGGATATCTGACAAGGAGAGTACAAGGCATTAAATGGAGACAGTGACGTGGAGGAGATCAACCTCGAACTCGGTGAGTATAAATAGGGGCAATTGGTAGCATTTACACAGGTTGGATTCTCTGTTAGAAACAAGGTTTCTTACGTGATCGGGATTGGGGAAATTAGCTATAGATAAATTAGGGATTGATCTAACTAGGGATTGAGAAGTAGGGAATTTTAAGAAATAAGGGGGTGGGGGGGGGGGGGGGGGGGGGGGGGGGGGAGGATTTGGCTGCTGCTGCCGCCAATTTGGAAGAAGAGGGGAAGAGGGGGTCGGCGCTAGAGAGAAGAAGAAGAAGGGGTTTTAGGTTTAGGAATTTTATTAACTCTTTGCTTAATGAAAATACTGCCCTAGTACAGATTATGTAATCCGCCTAATCTCTATTGACTACCCAACTAATTAACCATAACAATCAACTCCCTGTTTATTCCCGAATTCCCCAAATAATAAAAACCGACTATAATACTAATTAATAAAAAACTGGAATTAATGTGTTTCCCACATCCCCGCTTCCTTCGAAAAACAACCTTGTTGTCAAGGTTGTTCCTCTAGCTCACTAGGCCTCCTCCTCGCCCTTTCCGACGTCCTCGACCTCATCTTCTGCTTCATCCTCCCAGCGCCCGACTAACATCATTAGATCCGGCTTCGGGCACTGATGTCCGACAGTGAACCGGCCATCGCAATTGAAGCACTTTTCACAGAATCGGGCTCGAACATTCTGACCTGCCGCTGCTATCTCAGGCTTGAGACCCGCCATGCACAGCCCCACCAAGGTGTCCTCAGAGACTCCTTTACACTGGTTCCCCAACTTGAAAAACTCCGCACGGGTACTAAGCCACCGTGCCGGTCTGCTTCAGCTTCGCCAACTGCTCAGGAGCCCACCCATCTGACTTCCCAAACTGGTAGCGGAGCTCTTCCTGAAACATAGGCCAGGTGATCAAAGTTGTTGCGGCTGCGTAGGATCTCTCCATCCACTCCCACCACTGGAGCGCATCTCCCTCCAAATAGAACGATGCCATATAGGCCTTCCTCTCCTCCGGAATTGGGTGGTTCTTAAACCACCTCTCAACTGCATACAACCAAAGGCCTGCATCCTCTTGCCCATTGAATTTTGGAAACTCAATGGTAGGAGGCTTAGCTCGAAAAACTACTCCATCCATTCCTTCATAGTTCATATAGTGGGACCCATACCTGTCATTTCCTGGGATCCTCCACGGCTGCCCGAAAGAAGAGCACTGCATCTGGCTTGGGTTCCCGTGCCCATAATCACCCGGGTAGCTCCCCTGTAGGTTCGGGTACCCTCCTGGAGCGTGAGGTGCCTCATACGGACCCTCCCACCCTACTGGTCCCCTACTGTCCATCCTTCTGGTCGGCTGAGCAGTCGGGCTCGGTCGATGTCCGGTTCGACCCACCTCGGGTCGACCCATTTCCGCCCGACCCGATCCGGTTCGGCTCAACTCGGTCCGATCCACGTCGGTCCGCCCGATCCCTGCTCGAACTGTATTGGTCCGACCCGTCCTTGCCCAGTCCGCTGCGGTCCTCCCCATAGGAGCCGACCCTCCCTACCCCATCTGATCGCCGGCCCTCCTCGGCCCACCAGGCCCCCTCTGGTCCATCTCCGGTTCAGCCCACTAGGCCTGCTGATCCGCCAGGCTCAGTTTCTCATACTCGGGCCCATCTTCCAGATCCAACCATCCCAGCCCGTTATGGACCTTCGTGTAGTGGCCCAACGGTCCCAGCCCATTATTCATAGGAGGCCCGTCTGTGTCATACCCGGGCATCTTAGCCTTTCCCTTTCGGGCCGCAATCTCGTGGGTCGTAGGTGTCGGTAACAGACCCGAGCCCACCCCTACTGCAGTTCGATAAGCTCGGCCCGGTGTTCGCTGCCCTGCTTCCCTCGGCCGTCGCGATCGACGCATCGGCCTGAGTCGCCGCCGCCTTCGCCGCGATCGCCCCGCCGCCTGCCGCCCCGCCTGCCCCGGCCGTCGCGAGCGCCGTACCCCCCTGCGCCGCCGTTGCCGTCGCCGCGGTTGTCCCGCCGACAGCCGAACCTCCAGCCGCGGTCGCCGCCGCCTCCACCGCACCAGGCGCTCCGCCTCCTTCGATCGCCGGCTCAGCCGGGATCCGCGCTCCCCCTACTCTGTTCCCCCTTGCCTGCAGCGAGGCAATCGCTCGCATCAGGTCCTCCAGCCTCTGTCGCAGATCATCAGCATCTGCCTTCGCGTCAGCCTGCACTCTTGCCAGGCCTTCTTCGAGCCGAGCCAGCGCATCTGAGTGCTCGTGCACCACCTCCTCGATCGCCTCCAGTTCAGTCTCATCCTCCACCCTTCCGTCGAGCCCCATGTTGCTCGCCTCTGTGGTTTCCTCTGCTGCCCGCGCCGCCTTCTCTGCTGCCTTCATCGATTTTGTCGACACCATTGTTGTTTGCCTTGGTTCAAGAGCTCAAAGAACTCACTCTCGAACCTTGCTCTGATACCAGATGTTAGAAACAAGGTTTCTAACGTGATCGGGATTGGAGAAATTAGCTATAGATCAATTAGGGATTGATCTAACTAGGGATTGGAAAGTTGGGAATTTTAAGAAAAAAGGGGGGGGGGAGGATTTGGCTGCTGATGCCGCCAATTTGGAAGAAGAGGGGAAGAGGGGGTCGGCGCTAGAGAGAAGAAGAAGGGGTTTTAGGTTTAGGAATTTTATTAACTCTTTGCTTAATGAAAATACTGCCCTAGTACAGATTATATAATCCGCCTAATCTCTATTGACTACCCAACTAATTAACCATAACAATCAACTCCCTGTTTATTCTCGAATTCCCCAAATAATGCCCCAAATCGTAAAAACCGACGATATTAAAAAAAAACTGGAATTAATGTGTTTCCCACATTCTCTCACTAAAACTCTTACCTTGAGACACTTCTCTCTCTAAGAGACTAACTTGAGCGTCGGAGGATTAACGGGCTCAGGCGCCCCCTCCGTGTTCGTGTGTGTAGGCAGGCGTTGGTCGGAAGGGAATCGCGAGGGTTCCAGCGAAGCATCTTGGCTCAAACAACTAATGAGTAATAATCTCTATGTATAAAGAGAGGATAACAAATTTTCAATTCTTTAAGTAGGAATATAAGATAAAGAATAAAATTAAAAAAGGTTAGGTATTTTTAATATTTTTTCAATGATTTTATTTATTTAATACAAATGGATAATCATTACAATTCATTTATATCAAACTCTGTATTTTGATACTATATGAAATCTTACAATCACGCATGATATCTTGAAACTATTGTATGCTAATATACATTATTGATTTCTAAGGAATGACACGAAACAGATGATAAAAAGAGGGGAAAAATGAACTTTTTCTAAACTATTAACGCCAACAAATAAATAACTTTCTTGACAAATTGGAAATAATTCTGCATTTTGATCACATCGTTATCAATAATCATTTTCCCCCATAATCGATCAAACCATAAAGGGATTATAAAAGTAAGAATGTCATGAACGAGGTTGTGGCCAAGTGGTCGTGCCGCTGATTTTTAGGTTGGAGCCCGCACATTCAAATCCTAAGGACGACGCTCGTTTCCTTTTCTTCCCACTCCTCTTGTAGTATTCATGGTGAACAAGTACGTGTCAAAATAAAAGCAAGAATGCCTCCTTGCATCATTTGACGGAGACTTGTCACACCAGTTTGTTATGGCTTGTTTATGATGATCAGGCGAACTTTCAACTTATCAATTATCGACCTGGATCGTTGATAGTTGTGACATGTAGGATGCTACCAGGAGAGAGCAACAAACGATCATCATCGATATTGAACCTAGAACCTCTGAAGCGAGAGAGAACAACAAACGATGGTCATAGATATCCAACCCGAATCCTCCAAACAACGCATACTATGCATTTTTATCATTGGATTACACATCTCGTTCGCATTATGACTTGTTTTAAAATCTTATCTAGTTGGTATTATTTCTCGAAGTGATCCAACAAAATTTCTAGCAAGTTCTGATCTATTTTTTACTTCTATCAATGTGCGGTTTTATCATTCTCGTTGGGAAATTATAGATCCATCGAAACAAAAGGTTGTTCAATGCCTTAGCCAAATTGCGAGTCTCCATCTCAGTAGACTAAAACCGCACTCCATCCACTAGTAGTTTCCATTTTCCCCCGTATGCAAATGTGAAACGACTGAGGCGCAATCCATAAAACTGGAAACCTCAGTGAGAAAGCTGTGACCTTTTTTCCAATCCTTACGTGAAGAAAAAACCTAAACATCGTCATCATCATGATCATGGAGTGGCTCCACCAATCAGACAATAGATGATCTCATCCTCAACCCATGATACACGATTAGGCGCGTACAACGGTTCTGTCCGGTCAAACTCATGAGAATCGTGATATATTAGTGAAGAACATTTTAGAACCAACGATCGGACTATCCTTGTATTTCGTCCGGTCCAAATATCTGTTCGGTTCGTAATTTTTTCAATAATTATAAAATTTATGGGGATCAAGGATCAGACTGCATATACTCGATTCGGTCTTATCCGCTCTTAACATCAACTAGCCTATAGCCCGGCACGTTGGCCGCATTTGTTTAAGGAAATGGAGTTACAATATCTATAATGATAGTGTCGAGAAATGAGTCTTGTTTTATATTATCATAAGATCGTTGTAATTTTGCAATTCGTTGAAGACGAACATGTAATATGAATGAACATTCATAATAAGTTAGAAATACATTTGAAGATTAGCTAATCACAATAAAAATACTTACATGAAATTTTACTAATCACAAATCTAATCTAGTTGAGTGTTACGACAAATAACATGCAAGTCCAAAATAAGAAAACTCAATACATTGTCTCATTGTTCATGACATGGTACTCAATGCAACAAAGGCAAAAATAATTTCACCAACACAAGTTCACAATAACCAAATGCATCGTTCCAGGGACCGACTGTGACCATGACTTCAAATGTCTATTCTCCAAGCATGTTCAGAAGGGCCATATAGTCAGCATTGACAACATCTGCATGACTGAATACAGATTCAACAATCGTTCGTAACTGTGATGACGGGAAGACGATGTCAACACCAATGAATTCGTCCTCAATTGTGAGGTGGACGAAATGGATTCTGGATGCAGGGGACCAGGACGTCGTAAAATTCGTTACACGTCCGGATAACAAAATAGAGGTGCCCTGATGTAAACACAGAAACGAATATTATCAAAGCAAATCGATAAAATGCAGCATGCCACAAAAGGCGTACGATTAAAAAGAAATTTATTTGTTTAGTTACCTGATTTTCGACATCCACTTGCAACATAATGAGATCGATGGTGTCGGCACGCTCACAAATTTCAAGAGCATCATCATATTGCAGATTAGCAATAAAACCATGGGGAAGCCTATATATTGGACTGTAAGTTTTGGCATTAAGTAGTGAAAAAGAATCGAAATTACATGATGTAGTATTTGTTGGATGCATGAGCAGTACTTACTGATTGAATTGAGGCAGGCCCGCCATATTGAATGCAATTCGCACGGTCAATGGAACCGAAGTGTTTTGTATGGGAAGTAGTAAACGGAAATTGTAACATGAGAGAAAGTGGTATCTCCATTATATAAAGGAGAGAAAGTGATTCTACACACGTGATTTACTTGGCCGCATGCAGTGGAGTACGTGTGTGTGTGGAAAGTGGGATAGTGGGGGAGTGGAGAAGGATTTGTGGCCTCGTGGGGGAGTGGAGAAGGTTGGCCATTTAGAGTTCAAGAGGCGGGTGTGTCACGGAACTCACGACCCACCTTTTTTTTTTTTAGGGAAACGACCCACCTTCTTAAAATCAAACAAGCGCCTTCCTTTTATTTTGTTGCAATTAAAAATTCAAAAACAAAAGAAGGTAAGTACAGAATAAAATATAAAGAGAAGAAAAATCAGTTCACTTTTCCCAAAAAAGACCTAGCAGCCGCCCAAATTATGCTTTTTCAGTATTAATAATTCTCACTTTATTCTTTTATCTCTAATAAGTGAAACAATAATTGTAAAAAAAAAAATTGTTAAGTCTACCAAGTAAGTCAACACCGGTTTATGATCGGTTTTTAATATCGATTAACCACCGGTTATTTGATAAACCTTGAACCCTTTACTAATCCGGATCGATGTCCGGTTCCGTTTTAACAACATTGCTAATTGCGACTGTGTCAACAATTCTTGTCCAAAATTGACTCTCAAAGTTGCTAATTATTATTTGATGCGCCAACCCGGCCGGCCCGGCCCACACCACCACTAATTAACATGAAATGAAAATCATAATGAATGTATTTAATAAAGAAATAATGGTTTGGAATGCAGCAGCCTTCACCTCATAGAAGATCCAAAAAAATCGGATACTGGGCAGTAGAGGAGGTGGGGGAGTGGGGGAGTGGAGAAGGATCCGCCCAAGGTAGTGTAGGTTGGCCTTTTTTTTTATGGGAATAGGTTGGCCATTTAGTTTCAACAAATCCGGCTGGGCATTCCCTCTCTAACTATATTTTATTTAACTGAACCATGCTTGGGTTGTTTTGTGGGCTGGGTTGTGGTGTTTGGTGTGTTTGGGTTTTTTCTGGGTTGGGTTACCGTGGGTGTTGGGGTGGGCTTTGGAGTTTTTCTCTTGTGTTTTTTTTCTGATTTATGTATTTGTGGGTGAGCTTTCATTTTGTGTTTTGGGTGGGCTCAACTTTACGATTTGTTTAGACTTCTATCTTTCAAGGATCATGGTACAACTCTTTATCATTTTCCGATTTCATAATGAAATCAGGTTTCTTAAAAAAAAACAAAACTGAACCATGCTTAAAGTATCACTAATTAATTAATCTCGAGTCACTACTGAATGAATTTAAATCCTTTTATATAGGTTAATTTATAAAATAATTATTGTAGGTAAATGAGAAGAAAATCTCGCAAATCAAGTGTGATAATAGTTAAATTCTCCATAAGCAAAGTGATATCATAATTAATGTAATTAATAAAAAAATAATTTTGTTTTTCATTTTGTGAATGTAATAGTTAAAAGTTGATGATATTTGTTAGATTGTAACTAAATTCTGGAAAAATATGTTTCTTATACAAATAATTCACATTGGATCATAACCAGGACTAAAAAAAATAATCAAGTGCATAACACAAACCGGACAATATTTCCTGGTTCATATGCGCATAAGTTCTGACACCCTATCTGCTTAACTACCATCTTGTAAAACAGCAGCAAACCAATCCAAATACATAAGTGATTCTCCATTATAAACAAAGTTGAGGAAATCAATTACAGCTAATCTCTTGCACACTGGGTGCTTTAAAACAAAACCATGAAACTAAAAGGCTAAGCTCCAACAATCTTATCATCACAAATAACAGTAAAAAAGTACGGTGGAGGTAGTAAATAGAGCCGAATGATGAGAAATGCCTAGCCAACCACTTCCTATTAAATGTTTGAGTGTAGTTGATATTTAGGAACACAGACCAGGAATCCATTAAAAGCACTCCATCCTTAAAAGGCAGCAGAGAACATCTTCAGCAAAACCAAATCACAGTGACGGACCATGCGGTTCCACGCGCCAACTTTAATGACAAAATGGTAATACTTCAAATCAATGCAGTTGAGAATGGCGATGATGTTAGTGTCCCAATCGATATTTGTCTCCGCAACCACATCACCAACAATGCGTCTAAGGTTGACAGAGGGAAACACAACTTCCAGCTCCTCAGTTACATCATTGATGGTGAAATGCACAACACTGACCATAGAGTGCGCCAAAGTTGAAATTCCAATGGCTTTTAGTTTTCCCGTCAAGATGTATACCGTCCCCTAAAACAGACACATGGGTTATTGATGACGAAAATGAAGCAAATGTTGAATTGGGTAATGAGTGTGTTTTAAAAAAATAGGTGTTTAGTTGAGTTTGAGTGACTTACCGTACTATACAGACTTAACTTTATCATATTAAGCTGTGGAACCGTGGTGTGCTCAGATATGTCGAGAGCTTCCTCGTATAGCAATGGTCCAACAATATAGTTAGATCCAAATTGTGGTCCATCTTCCCTGATAATAAATTAACCAGAATTACCACTATCAACAGATACCACACACATTAGAATTTAAAGTTTAAAAAATAGAGGTTTATGAAGCTTACTGGTTTAACAAAGGATGCAAGTGAGGGCAATGGATGTTGAGATACATTTTAGTTGCTCGTGAGGAAGAAAACGAATAACCACCTAACATCCATTTAACAATAAAACCACAAACACATGAGTAAATAAAATTACAGTGATAAGAACTGTTATTAATTTACAAAACATGATGACCAGAATTGAAGTGATACAGCTTATCTTATTAACATGTATCTTCAAACAACGTTTTACTGTTCCAAATGAGTAAACAAAAATTTAATTAATTGTGCTAATTGGATAATAAAATTATGTTTTGTGAAAGACTCCGTATTCTGAACCTAGTCATTGTGAAAAGAAACAAAGGGCAGCATCTACTCCGTCACGAAAAATGTTACCATTCTCAAGGACATGATAACCAAATGCATACGAATTAGCTACTCAATCGACTTTGCTTTTGTAATAGAAATCTAAACTCCGGCTCCAAAACTATGAACAACACCAAAACACATACGATATTAAAGAAATAAATAAAGATTCAACAATCTAGAATAGCCTAATTTGTAAGACTTGCTACAAAATTTAGCAAACAACAACCTTGGTGTTCAAAAGGCAAGCCCCTCCTATGAACCTTCTGTTTCAAAATATGATGTCTTCTCTTACGGGCGACTTGGGATAGTATTCGCCGAAGTTGAGAGAGTTGGAATTGTAAGGCGGCTTCTTCTGCAGAATTTAAATATAAAACCATGTATTACTCATTGAATAGATGAACTAATTAGAAAAATTAAAACACAGATAACACACCTCTCTCAAATGCTTCTTCCTCTGCAGCAGATAAAACACAGCGTTGGTACTGATCTTCAGGATGAATAAACACTGCTCGATGTTTCCCTAAACAAATGAGATTCAAGGGAAAATATTAATGTCAGTTTGCATTGAAGCAGTTGCGTGCTAAACCATGACACTCACATGGTACAGACGATCGATAAATCTGTGGTTGGGCAGATGGGATGACATTTGCACTATCCATATTAAATTCTCCAATAACCTGATGCAATCTGAAATAGAGGTCGTGGTAAATGATGCACCCGTTCCAGTAAATTTTGCAGCTGCCATTCATATAAATTAATTAATTGTTACAACAGAAGTTGAACTCCTCACCAATTATAAGTTTTTGCGAGTTAATGACACATACAACACACCACACAAACATAACAGTCGAAGAAAAATATAACTATATAAGGCATAATTTAAATTGATGAACAAAACACATATAACAGAATGGCTTCCAAGCTTGGGGATGCAAAGGAAGAGCGAGAAGGACAACAATGTAAACCATAATTTAAATTGATGTGGCAGAGTGTTAAGCGGGAAAAACGACCCGGAAAACGACCCGGACGAAGTACCTGGCTGCCGCCGCCGAACGTCTCTTTCTTTCCTCTTCTTTCTCTGCGGCCCGGAAAAACTCAGCTCAAAATCGGCAGTCGGCTGCTCTCTGGAAGACAGTCTAAGCGAAGTGGAATTTAAAGTAAGCAGCTTTGTTACTTTCAAGAGAAAGGGAAAAATCAAAAATCCCCTTTTGATCTCTAGAGAATCCAATCAACAGAATGAAGCGAGGAAGGTAAGAGAGAATAAAGAAAACGGAATGAACCAAAGGTAAGGGAGATGAATCTTTGCAACCGAATCCCTGGAAAAAAAAACCCAGAACCCGAATCCCTAAAACTTAAAAGCAGCGACAACAACAAACAGAAATCTGAAAGAGGAAGAATAACTTACGGCAAAACCAATACCGATCTAACGCTTAGAGAACGGAAATCACAGGTAGATGCAAGCACATAAAAGAACCAGATGATTGAGTCAAGGTTTGGTTTTCTGAAGGCCAAGAAACTTATTCGAATGAGGTGAAAGAGTGGAAGGAAGGGAAATCGGAAATAAAAAATACAAATTAATACAAATTAAATGAGAACGTGGGCCTGGAAGGAGAAAAAAGTGGGTAGTGGAGAGTTTTTTATACAAATTAAATGAGAACGTGGGCCTGGAAGGAGAAAAAAATGGGTAGTGGAGAGTTTTTTGGTTCTGAAATTAGGCGGGACTCCTTTTTTTCCCCCGCTTAACACTCTGCCACATCAGCTTCCTAAAATCACTCTATGGACAGGAAATTTTGAATGGGGGTGCAGTTTTACTTTTCAGCTCTAAATTATACTGTTGATTTGATTCGATGTGGTCTGGTACGGACCTGACCATTGCACACTCCTATACACGATACAAGAGAACTTTCTTTTGCTCTAGAATCCATTTTAATTAGAATTAAAAAAACATAGATATTTCAAGCATTAAAAAATGGTGGGAACACAAGAAATTCTTAAAACTGCAAATTAAATACATCCTTAGCTAGTAGCTCTAGTTAGATCAGATATTGACCAAGGCAACTACTGCCACTTCACTTAGAACACAAGAATGGTCCATTGGTTTGGCCAAATTCCAATTTAGTAGTCGTTTATTTTCTCCGAGAAAAGAAGAAGATAGATTGCATAAAAAAAATTAAGTTTACCCTTTGCGGTTAGTGTTTTGAGAACCCTTTAATGTGCTTATCTGAATCATTAGTTAATTCAAAAGAAGTGACAATGTCATACATTAGTTTAAGTGTATTTATACAAGAATTATGGTTTTAATAGTGATTAAACACATGTCGAATGTGTCCTATATTTTGGATCAAATCCAAGAGGATAATTGTTGGAGAATATCGGTTAAGGACATACATGATTCTAGAGATTTGCAGCTAGTTATGCAGCTATGTTGGAGGGTGGTTGTGGCATTTGAAGTTTTGTACGACACCTTTGCACTAGTTAATCAAAGCAACAAAACCTTAGTAGTTCCCGATTTATCGTACATTTTTTTTTATGTCACGAGAACGAATAAGATATCTTGCACTCTTTAATTTACTCGTACACCCTTTCTGTTTGACATGCATTAATAGTGTGCATAACATTTTTGAACCTAACATTTCGCCTCTCAATTTTTATTTTTACTTTGCATAGCCTTCCAAATCTTTTATACTATTGAATTGCATAATTCTCTTTAAAATTCATCAAAATAATGATTCTCTTTAAATGATAGATTGGAATGAGAAGATAGGGAAATGTCGATAGCTCGAGTTTATAATTCTTACCGTTCACATTACCCACCCCTATCCAGAGTATAAATAAACCCCGCCCAAAAGCAAAACCAAACAACCAACGAAGCACACACAGAAACAGAGCAAAAATGAAGCTTTACAGTTCCACACTCTGTTTCTCCTTCTTCTTCTCCCTCAGCATCATCTTCTCCTCCTTCTCTTCCTCCTCATCCGCCGCCCTCCTATTCCAGGGATTCAATTGGGAATCCAGCGGTAAAACCGGCGGGTGGTACAACTCCCTTCAGACTTCAATCTCCGACCTCGCCGCCGCCGGAATAACCCACGTATGGCTCCCCCCGCCGTCCCAATCAGCTTCCCCACAAGGCTACATGCCGGGAAGACTCTACGACCTCAACGCCTCCAGCTACGGCAACCAATTCCAACTCAAATCCCTAATCACCAATCTCCACAACGCCGGCATCAAATCCCTCGCCGACATCGTGATCAACCACCGGACGGCGGAGCGGAAGGACGACAGAGGGATCTGGGCCATCTTCGAAGGTGGAACCCCCGACGGTCGCCTCGATTGGGGCCCGTCGTTCATCTGCAGCGACGACACGGAGTATTCGAACGGGCAGGGGAATCCTGATTCAGGGGAAGGTTTCCCCCCTGCCCCTGATATGGACCATCTCAACCCCCGGGTCCAAAGAGAACTCACGGATTGGATGAATTGGCTGAAAACCGACATCGGATACGACGGCTGGAGGTTCGATTTCGTGAAAGGTTACGCGCCAGAGATAATGGGAACCTACATAGCAGGGACAAAGCCGGATTTCGCGGTGGGGGAGAAGTGGGACTCGCTGGCTTACGGGCCGGACGGGAAACCTAATTGGAATCAGGACGCTCACCGCGGGGCGTTGAAAGACTGGGTTCAGGCCGCCGGCGGGGCCGTGACGGCTTTCGATTTCACGACGAAAGGGATTCTGCAGGCGGCCGTGGAAGGGGAGCTGTGGAGGTTGAGAGATGGGAATGGGAACCCGCCCGGGTTGATCGGATTGCTGCCCGGAAATGCTGTGACGTTTATCGACAATCACGATACCGGTTCGACCCAGAAGCTGTGGCCGTTCCCGTCGGATAAAGTGATGCAGGGATATGCTTACATCCTTACTCACCCTGGGACTCCATCGGTTGTAAGTTTTTCTTTCTCGCCGTTTGTTTTGCTTTCGGGGACATAATTGGTGAAAGTTGGTAACAGAGTATTGTTATTATCTTCGTTGCAGTTTTACGATCACTTCTTTGATTGGGGGTTGAAGGAGGAGATTGGTAGATTAGCAGCAATAAGGAACAGTTCTGGGATTACCTCAACAAGCAAAGTGAACATCTTGGCAGCTGATTCGGACCTTTATGTAGCAGGGATTGATGACAATGTGATGATGAAAATTGGGCCCAAAATGGATCTCGGGAATCTGATTCCTTCGAGCTTCCAGGTGGCTACATCTGGAGAGAGCTATTGCGTGTGGGTCAAGAAATGAGTACCAAGTCTTGTGCTGCACATAAATAAATGTAGATCTTCAAGAAGACGCTAAACGCTATCTAGGCGAGTAGGCACCGCTCAGCGTCCAGGTCGATTAGTCGTTGCATAGGCGAGATTAAACGTTAAAAATATATGATAGATAAGTCATAGTCTAAAAAACCCAAGTCACCATATCATTATTCATCCATTCATATACACATACAACCCATTTCCACAAATTCCAAACACCCCAAGTCGCCAACCATGAGGAGGCATCTCGCTGCTGGTCGATGAGAGGGAGCGGCTGGTCGAATGAAAATGAGAAATAGAATAGAGTTTGGGATCCCCACAAAAAGGCTACACTTTCCCGCTACACTTTCCCCCTTTATGAGTTGTTTTGGGCGTTGCCCACCAGAGTGAAAATGCGCCTCTGAGCGCCTAGGCGCCGATTAGGCGTTTTCCATGAAGATTAATCGTTTAGCACACCTAAATCAATCGCACAGGGCTAGACGTGGCAATTTCTTCCTGCGCAACTATTAATCGCACCTAGGCGAGAGATTAATCACGTCTTCTTGAACACTGATTATCGTACATCAATCTATATGATATAGTAGACCTTATGGTAATGTGACGATCTAAATGTTATGTCAAGTTAGGTGATCCCCTGCATAATTTCTTCCACGACCAATGTGAGAAACAAGGTTTCTAACGAGATTGGGATTAGGGAAATTAGCTAGATCAATTAGGGATTGATCTAGCTAGGGTTGGGGAATTGTGGGAAATTGAGAATTAGAGGGGAAAGAAGGGATTGCTGCTGCGCAGCTTTTGGGAAGAAGAGAGGGAAAGGGTCGGCTGTAGGGAGGAGGGAAAAGAGAGTGAGAGGAGATTAGGTTTTTGATTAATTCTTACTTAATGAAAATAATGCCTCCAGTACAGAATATATAATCCCCAAATCTCTATCTACTACCCCAACTAATTAAACATAGCAATCAACTCCCTATTTATTCCGGAATATCCCAAATAATACCCCGAATCATAAAAACCGACAATAATACGAATTAACAAAATACTGCAAATAATGTGTTTCCCACATCCCCGCTTCCTTCGAAAAACAACCTTGTCCCCAAGGTTGTTTCTCTAGCTCCCTAGGCCTCCTCCTCGCCATTTCCGCCGTCCTCGACCCCATCTTCTGCTTCATCTTCCCAGCGCCTGACTAACATCATCAAATCCGGCTTCGGGCACTGATGCCCGATGGTGAACCGGCCATCACAGTTGAAGCACTTGCCTTCCCGCCTCTTCTGCTCAATCTCAGCCGGCGACAGCCTCACGAACCCTTTCGATATGGCCCGCGGTCCCAGCCTGGCCACCGGAGCAGAACCTCCACTGCTCACGTTAGCCCCAGTCGAGCCTCCTCCTGGCGCCCCTCCGGTACCACCACTGCTCCCGCCGCTTCCTCCTCCTCCACTTGGCTTCGAGAAGCGGCCAATGGTGATCTTCCAGCTAGCCAGTTCTTCCTCCTTATGACCTGCAAGACGGAAAGCAGTTTTCAAGAAATCGGGCTCGAACACTCTGACGGCCGCTGCTATCTCGGGCTTGAGACCAGCCATGCACAGCCCCACCAAGGTGTCCTCCGAGACACCCTTGCACTGGTTCCCCAACTTGAAGAACTCTGCACGGTATTCAGCCACCGTGCCGGTCTGCTTCAGCTTTGCCAACTGCTCAGGAGCCCACCCGTCGGACTTTCCAAACTGATAGCGGAGCTCCTCCTGAAACATAGGCCAAGTAATCAAAGTTGCTGCAGCTGCGTAGGATCTCTCCATCCACTCCCACCACTGGAGCGCGTCTCCCTCCAAGTAGAACGATGCTAGATAGGCCTTCCTCTCCTCCGGAATGGGGTGGTTCTTAAACCACCTCTCAACTGCATACAACCAAAGGCCTGCATCCTCTTGCCCATTGAATTTTGGAAACTCAATGGTAGGAGGCTTAGCTCGAAAAACCACTCCATCCATACCTTCACAGTTCATATAGTGAGACCCATACCTGTCATTTCCTGGGGTCCTCCACGGCTGCCCAAATGGAGCGCCCTCCATCTGGCTGGGGTTTCCTGGCCCATAATCACCTGGGTAGCTCCCCTGTTGGATCAGGTACCCTCCTGGGGCATGAGGTGCCTCGTAAGGTCCCTCCCAACCTACTGGTCCCCTGCTGTCCACCCTCCTGATCGGCTGCGAAGTTGGGCTCGGTCGATGCCCGGTTCGACCCACCTCCGGTTCGACCCGGTCTGGTCCGACCTGGTCCGATTCGGCTCACCTCGGTCCGATCCGCGTCGGTCCGCCCGATCCCGGCCCGATCAGCTGCGGTCCGCCCCCTTGGAGCCGACCCTCCATGCCCCATCTGCTCCCCGGGCCTCCTCGGCCCACCCCGCCCTCTCAGGTCCAATTCCGGTTCGGCCCACTGGGCCTGCTGATCTGCCAGGCTCAGTTTGTCGTACTCGGGCCCATCTTCCAGATCCAACCAGCCCAGCCCGTTATGGACCTTCGTGTAGTGGCCCAACGGTCCCGGCCCATTACCCAAGGGCGGGCCATCTGTGTCATACACAGCCATCTTGGCCTTTCCCTTCCGGGCCGCAATCTCTTGGGTCGTAGGCGTCGGTAACAGACCCGAGCCCAACCCTACTGCAGTCCGATCAACTCGGCCCGGCCTGGTGTCCGCCGCCCTGCTCCCTTCGACCGCCGCGATCGGCGCCTCGGCTTGAGCCGCAGCTGCCCTCGCCGCGCTAGCCCCGCCGCCGGCCATCGAGTGAGCCGCGCCCACCGGCGCCGCCAGCCGCTCCGCGAGCCGCGGTCGCCGCCGTCTCCGCCTCCCCTGGCGCGCCGCCTCCTTCGGTCGCCGACTCCGTCGGGATCGGCGCTCCCCCCGATCCGCCTCCCTTTGCTTGCAGCAAGCCAATCGCCCGCATCAGGTCCTCCAGCCTTTGTCGTAGATCATCAGCATCTGCCTTCGCGTCAACCTGCACCCTCGCCAGGCCTTCCTCAAGCCGAGCCAGCGCATCAGAGTGCTCGTGCACCACCAGTTTCACTGCCTCCAACTCGGTGACGTCCTCCATCACCACCCCGTCGAGATCAACATCACCTGCCTCGGTGTTTCTTCCGGCTGCCTGAGCCGCCTTCTCCGCTGCCTTCATGGATTTCGTCGACACCACTGTTGTTTGCCCTGGTTCAAGAGTTCAAGAACTCACTCTCGAACCTTGCTCTGATACCAGATGTGAGAAACAAGGTTTCTAACGAGATTGGGATTAGGGAAATTAGCTAGATCAATTAGGGATTGATCTAGCTAGGGTTGGGGAATTGTGGGAAATTGAGAATTAGAGGGGAAAGAAGGGACTGCTGCTGCGCAGCTTTTGGGAAGAAGAGAGGGAAAGGGTCGGCTGTAGGGAGGAGGGAAAAGAGAGTGAGAGGAGATTAGGTTTTTGATTAATTCTTGCTTAATGAAAATAATGCCTCCAATACATAATATATAATCCCCAAATCTCTATCTACTACCCCAACTAATTAAACATAGCAATCAACTCCCTATTTATTCCCGAATATCCCAGATAATACTCCGAATCATAAAAACCGACAATAATACGAATTAACAAAATACTGCAAATAATGTGTTTCCCACAACCAACATGATGACATCCCTTCGTGGACATCGGATAAGATTGAAACGATAAAGAGAGAGTATGATGCCAAAAATTTCTAAGTTTCCCTTTGATAAGCACAAGATTCTTGCATACAGATTCTAACCACACATCAAAACCGAGAGATCTATCACAAAGCCTTTTCCATGCATACGGTACAGTTAGCTCTTAGCTCCTCTCGACCACAGATAATCAAACCTTTAATCCTAAACCACCTTTCAAAGAACGGGAACTCCAGAAGAAATCCGAAGCTTCGAGTCTCTGCCGCCGCTGATAACACAGTCCTCTTTCCACCAATCAGCACAAAGGACCTTGTCTTCATGCGACTCAATAACAGAAACAGGCCACTGCACATTCACCCAAAAGCATATAATTATATATGTACCGTCGTTCAATCAGTTTTACTCATATGTGAAGGAACAAGTTGAACTCAAATTGCTCGAGAAGAGAGGTTAGGCTACCGCGGTTCTGAGATCCCACAGCATGACTTTCCCATCATAGGATGCAGAGAGTAAGTGGAACCAAGATTTGCTGTGCCATTGGCAAGCTGATATCCAAGAAGTGTGGGAAGAAAACTGGTACACAGGGGCAGATGTTCCTACAAAGAAATGACAAGGTGAAACGTCAAAAATTCATTCTTTTTTTAGTAAAATCTGAAAGAACCAACATCTGAATAGAAACTATACCTGGCTTTCGTGGATCCCATATCCTAAGTATGGGAGTGGATCCACCAGCAGCCACAAGGGTTGAACCTTCACCTCCTACACTAAGGCAGTTGAAGGGTCTTCCACAGATCTGCAAGGAAGGACAGTCTTAGGCGTGCTAGGACTTAAAGAAGGAGAAAAGAAGCTGATATATGATGATACTACATTTGCCACATACAATGCTCGAAACATCTTTCCCTGTCTCAGCATCCCATCTTCTGATAGTATGATCCCACGATGCTGAATAAATTGTATCGCGATCTGGCCATATGAGCGAGGATACTTGTTGCGTGTGACCCACTAGCGTAGAGACAGGTACACCCTGAAAGCAGTACATATAAATGGTCAGATTCAACAAATAGGCCAGTTTGTGGTCATAAAGCTCTACTGATATCTTGCAACCCACTTCTTCCAGTTAAAATGGCAATGTGAAATGACTACTGGAGATAATTTTCCCGTATAAACCCAGTTGAAAGAACTATATGAAAAATGTCAACTTCATTGATATGAAACAAAAAGAAAATGAAATTAATACCTCCAACTGAGGTTCTTCAGTTCCATTTTTAGTTTTTCTCTTCTTAACTGATACCGAGTCACCTTCTGCAGAGGATTCATCTGTCTGCCACAAGTTAACCCTACAATCCCAAGAACCTGAACAGATCTGTTTCGTACACAAATTAAAAAGAAATGGTAAGTGACATTATCACTTGCGTGGGTCATCATTTTATCAACAACAAGAGAAAGGAAAACAAACCATGCTTCCAGATGCCTGAGCTGCAACACTCCCTACGGATGCATTATGACCACGCAAAATCTTGAATGGCCTAATCTTGGCAGGAGAATCCTCAACTCCTTCTGAATCCATCTTTATTTTGGGGGGTGGGGGAGAAATAAATAATTCATCAACCAGGACATGGGTTGCTGAAAGCAGCCAACTTTACAAAAGGGAGGAAGAAGTCAGTCCAGTTACCTTCCACAGTCTGAGAGTTCGATCTTTTGAGGCAGTAGCCAGGGTTACATCACCTGACCAGAAAATTACACCATGAATCAACTGTTCATATCCATAAGTACATACACAAGTAGGATAACCACACCTACTTCTAAAGAAATTACTATTAGACAATTCATATGCTAAGAAGTAAATGGAAGATAGCTGATTAATTTGCTGCTCATTTGATTTGGGAATAGACAGTGGAAGTCTCTAATGCCTATTGCTTTCTAATGAATAGCTGTATACGGTAGTGATGGACTTAAGAATAACACCCTACAAGATAGGTCCTTAGCAACCTTGTGCCAATTGTAGATATAAAAGTATCAAACGCAAAAAGACAGCAACTTTGCTCTGAAATTGGAACAAAATTTGTGCTAGAAGACAGGCGATTTTGTAAACATAAAACGTCATAGACAAAACAACTGGATCTCATCCAACAATTTTCAGAAGTATAATAAAGTGGTTGCTCGATTATACCTAGTGGGTTAATGACACTGACAGAGGTAATTGCATCAGTGTGCCCTTCAAGTATATGGGTGCACACTCCAGCACCTTTCCAGACCCTGAAGAATAAGAATCAAGTTTGCACCAATCAGATTCCTTAGCAGCTACAAATGATTACCGAGGATGGTGCGAAAGAACAAAATTGTTACTCTACCTTCCAAAACCGTCGTAGCATCCGGTCAAGATGAACCTGCCAGCAAGCACAAACTAGAGCAGTTAATATCAATAACCAACTTGTTAATAGCAGAGACAATGCCTCAATGACCCTAAAATCCAAAGATGACTACAAACAACTAAAAAACCAAAATGCGCAGTGGGTCTACCGAGAACATGAACCATCTACTGCACTGACCCAGTCGTCATGCAATGAGGGCTCCTCCTCTTTCCTCGGAACAACAGCCTTGATATATTCAATTTCCAATGTCTTCTCCTGTTATTATACACATAGGTCCCTAATTTCTAGTGAGTAACAAAACAAAAGGAAATCTGTGATCTAGAACACTGAGAAAAAGAGAGTTCAAACTTACAGCAGAAATGCCCTTAGCAAGAAGGAATCGATCGAGTGACATACGAACAAGCTCTCCATCAATCAAGAAATCAAAGGGCTGAGTCTCCCATTCAGGATCACCTTGTTTGTCACAAAACCCAAAAACCCCCTCTTCGTCGGTAACGTAAAATCAATTCCAGGAGTCGAAACACGAGAGAAGGGTATGTAAAGTTACCAGCTTTGATGAGGCTGTTGACGATAGTGGAGAGGCCGAGACGTGTGACGGTAGCCGGGATGGTAATTGCAGACGGTGGAGCTTTGAATGGCGGGTTCAATTTGGTGACGAAACGAGCTTGAATCTGCCGCTCTTCCATGTCTACGTCCATCTTTCCGCCGGCGGGAGGAGAAGAGCGAGGGGCTTTCGGAGGTGAAGGGCTGCGGTGGCAAAGGACGAATGGCGCGCAGGAGAGGAAGTGGGTTTAGGGCAGGGTTTACTACAACTCCAAACGACGGCGTTTAAAGGTGCGGTTCTGCGCCGCGAGACGACTTATGGCACACAACGCTGATGTTAGCCTCTCATTCTCCAGCTTGGATTGAACACAACGGCCAAACTCGCGCCAAAGGACCCGCAAAGTATGAAGAATGAACCTGGCCTCTTCCGTGGGGCGCTCTTTGAAGCACAACAATCTCTCGTTCTTCCATTCCCTATTGAAATCTCAACTCGAGAGTGGAAACCCAAGCTCGGGATTAGCTTCTTTCCGCCAACTGCTGCGATCTGAAGCGAAACCGAATGACCTGACTTTCTCATTGGTGATCAAATCAATTGCTTCTTCAGCTTCGTTTTCTTCCAATCCACTGGGCGCCAAGACAGGGGCCAATCAGATCCAAACCCATCTGGTAAAACTGGGTATCGATCGTTTTGTGTATTTGGGTACTGCTCTTCTCGATCTGCGCATGAAACTGGGGTGCATTGATCACGCACGGAAGCTGTTTGATTGTATGCCTGATAGGGATGCTGTGTCATGGAACGCTTTGATTTGCGGGTATTCGAGAAATGGGTTTGATTTCGCCGCGCTGGAAATGTTTGCTGAAATGCTTAGAGAGGGTTTTCTTCCCAGCTCAACTACTTTGGTCGGTTTGGTTCCATCATGTGGCCGCCACGAGTTGCTGTTTCAAGGAAGATCCGTCCACGGGTTTGGAGTTAAGGCTGGCCTTGATCTGGAATCCCAAGTGCAAAACACAGTCACTTCAATGTATGCGAAATCTGGGGATTTGGCGTCAGCGAAGCTTCTGTTCGAAGAAATGGAAGAGAGAAGCGTTGTTTCTTGGAACACCATGATTGGTGCTTATGGCCACAATGGTTCCTTCAACGAAGCAATGATTGTCTTCACCAGAATGATAAAGCAAAGTGTAGAAGTCAATTCCGTTACCATCATAACTCTTCTCTCTGCAAATGCCAATCCACAAGTTATCCATTGTTATGCCTTCAAAACCAGGCTTCTAAAGGATCAATCAGTGATCACCTCGCTGGTTTGTGCTTATGCTAAGCATGGCAGCACGAATTCAGCAGAGCTACTCTACAAATCCTCGCCACAGAAAAACTTGGTTTCTTTAACTGCAATCATTTCAAGCTATGCTGAAGCTGGAAATATGCACATGGTGATTGAGTGTTTCGTTCGAATGCAACAGTTAGACATGAAACTGGACTCAGTCGCCATGATCAGCATCCTTAATGGAATCTCAGACTCGAACCTTGGTCCTGCTTTCCATTGTTACGGATTAAAGAATGGCCTGTCCATCCATACTCTGGTTGCAAATGGGTTGATAACTATGTACTCCAAGCTTGATGATTTGGAAGCTGCATTCTCCTTATTTGCAGAATTGCAGGAAAAGCACTTAACCTCTTGGAACTCGGTTATATCAGGGTGCGTACAAGCTGGAAGGGGAAATGAAGCTTTGCAGTTCTTCAAACAAATGAAAGCATCCGGCCAAGATCCAGATTCCATCACTATAGCCTGCTTACTTACCGCATGCTCCCAACTCGGATGCTTGAAACTCGGTAAAAAGTTCCACAACTATATTGTTAAAAACACATTCGAGGTCGAAGATTTTCTCGGGACAGCTCTCATCGACATGTACACCAAATGTGGAAGCATATTGCAAGCAGAGAGAGTGTTCAGCACCCTTCGCCACCAACCTTGTCGTGCCATGTGGAACACTATGATCTCAGGCTACAGCTGGTACGGGTTTGAACATGAGGCTCTACATTGTTACTCCAAGATGCTAGAACAAGGATTAGAACCCGACCGAATAACATTCCTGGGAGTACTAGCTGCTTGCACCCATGGAGGGTTAGTTCATGAAGGGAAGAAGTACTTCCGAGTCATGACAGAACAATTCTGTATCGCACCCGATTTGCAACATTATGCTGGCATGGTTGGTCTCCTCGGTCGAGCTGGTTTGTTCGATGAAGCGTTGTTGTGTATCGAGGAGATGGATATTGAGCCTGACTCTGCAGTGTGGGGAGCGCTGCTGGCAGCTTGTTGCTTGCACCACAAGGTTAGGGTTGGAGAGTACTTGGCCAAGAAGATGTTCCTTCTTGATCAAGGAAACGGTGGGCTTTACGTTCTGATGTCGAATCTATACGCCGCCGTAGAGAGGTGGGATGACGTGGCGAGGGTGAGGGAACTGATGAGGGAAATGGGAGGTGATGGTTGTTCAGGGGTTAGCCAAATTGAGTAACCAATCGGGCCCTATTGGGCTTCTATGGGTTTAACTACGTTGGGCTTTTTGAGGCCCAGTTATCCTCCCCCAACAAAGAATGATATTGTGAATCTGAAACCCTAGTACCCTTAGTTTGAAAGTTTCAAAAGTCTTCAAATTTCGAAAAATGGCGCTTTGCTACATTCTTCGACTCTGAATCTTGCGGTTGAGCAGTGCAATTTGTCTTTCAAGCTTACCGTTCGCTCACCGCCGTTGACAACGAAACTAAGAGTACCAAAGAGAAATGGGAGCAGCTCATAGCCACGGGGATTTGGAGCTTTCGGACTCAGACTCGGAGTATCAGGAAGAGGGAGAAGAAGCGAGCTACAAATACAATGACGCAACCGAAGAGACGCCGGAGAAGTCTTCTTCAACTGAACGGAGGCCGAGAACTCCGTCGTCTGTCGACGACGTGGAGGCACGTCTGAGAGCTCTGAAGCTGAAATACCCAACGGCATCGAAGAATCAGAAGTCCAACTTGCAGAACGAAGTGAAGCTCTACGTCCACCACGGAGCGAACACCGCCAAGGCGAAATGGGTGTGTTCGGAGAAGCTCGCATCTTACTCGTTTCTGAAGACCTCGAAGGTTGGTGGGGTCCGTGGCGGAGAAGACGATAACGGGGAAGAGGAGTCGGAGTCGGAATCTGAAGGGGAAGGTTGGTGGGTCTTGAAGGTGAGCAGTAAAGTTAGGGTTAAAGTTGATGCCGAGATGCAATTAAAGACATTCAAGGACCAGCGCCGCGTTGATTTCGTGGATCGTGGTGTTTGGGCGATGAAATTCTTTAGCGACGAGGATTACCAGGTGTTTCTCCGTAAGTATCGCGACTGCTTGTTCGAGAATACTTACGGTTATGAGGCGAACGAGGCGAATGAAGTCAAGGTATATGGCAAGGATTTCATCGGGTGGGCTAACCCGGAGAAGGCCGACGATTCCATGTGGGAAGATGCCGAAGACAGTTTCTCGAGAAGTCCTCAAACAGTTACTCCGGTGAGGAGAAATCAGGACTTGACACAAGAGTTTGAGGAGGTGGCAAATGATGGGATACAGAGCTTGGCATTGGGGGCACTGGATAACAGCTTTCTGGTGGGAGATTCAGGGATTCAGGTGGTTAAAAACTTCAGCCATGGGATTCAAGGGAAAGGTGTTTATGTTAATTTCGGCAGGGAGCAGCAAAGGGGTGGTGGTGGTTCAAGTCTGGCTCATTCAACACCTAAGAAGGCACTTCTCATGCGTGCTGAGACAAATATGCTGCTTATGAGTCCATCAAATGATGCAAAACCACATTCAAGAGGGCTGCATCAGCTTGATTTGGAGACCGGTAAGGTCGTTACAGAGTGGAAGTTTGAGAAAGACGGGACTGATATTACCATGAGGGATATCGTGAATGATAGCAAAGGTGCTCAGTTGGATCCATCTGGATCAACATTTTTGGGATTGGATGATAATCGTCTTTGCAGGTGGGATATGCGAGACCGCCATGGAATTGTCCAGGATCTAGTTACTTCTAGTGCTCCTGTGCTTAATTGGGCTCAAGGCCATCAGTTCACTCGAGGGACTAACTTTCGGTGTTTTGCAAGCACTGGTGATGGGTCGATTGTTGTGGGGTCTCTTGATGGAAAGATTCGCTTGTACTCTAGCAGTTCTATGAGGCAAGCTAAAACAGCTTTCCCTGGTCTCGGTTCACCTATTACTCATGTTGATGTTACTTATGATGGAAAGTGGATATTGGGTACAACCGATACTTATCTGATCCTGATCTGCACTCTTTTCACGGATAAGGATGGCAAGACAAAGACTGGCTTCAGTGGTCGTATGGGGAATAGGATTGCAGCGCCGCGACTGTTGAAGCTGACTCCATTGGATGCACACTCAGCTGGGGCTACTAACCGATTTCGCAATGCTCAGTTTTCATGGGTATGCATACACATGTTCTTTATTTGCAATTTGTAGCTACCTTAACTATGACTTTTGATGTCTTGTGTTCAATTCAAGCTTCGCTGTTAGTCTCTAGATTTGTTCATCTCTGTACATGTTTTACGTGTCTTTTGTTATGTCTGTGTTTGATATGAACAATGCGCTTTCTAGATGATCCCGCTAGATCAGGGGATTTTTTTTAATAGAATCTTTCTAGTTACTTGAGACATAATTCACTGCATTGATCTCAGTAGCTACACCACCTAGGAATAGACCCTATACCTGCTAGAAGATAGAAATCGTCGATCGGAGAAAGACGGCGTCTGGAATGGTTTTCTCAATTTTTGTTATAGCTATTGCAGCCGCCGAAGCAGCTATTGGACTGGCTATTGTTTTTATTTTTTTATTTTCTTTATTTGATTTCTGGTTGTGTTCTGTCTTTAGGAATTTTTTTTCCGGAAAACAGGATTTGGCTCAGGATTGCCCCTTTGATAGCCTGACAAAATGTTCGGTCAATTTTAGGTGTCCTTTTGGGCGTCCAATAGAACGCATCATTGATTTAAAATATTGATAAGGTAAATAAATACCCTTAGATACCAACAAATCACCTAATATCCCCAGTTAGTTTTATCTCTTTTGTACGATGTTTCGAACTTGCTCTTTTTTTTGGAATGGAATATTTATGGAATCCCCATAACCCATAAATAGGGTCAGAAAAGAAATCTGTAATTGATATGCAGACTTTTTCTGTGATACCCAAATTATACATACCGCTTGGGGACATATATGCACTATGAAACATGACAGAATTTTAAGCCTCGTGGTTCTTTTGAAATAATTTTGCTCCACTGTGGCTTTGTTGAATCTAGGATTTGGTTAGGTACCAGTTCTTGGATGTTATCTGGTTGACTAAGAAGATGATGGGTAGTTTCAAGGACTTGAATGTGTTCTGTAATTAGGTGGATTTCTCACCTAATGAGGGCTGCTTCTCTGATCTCTATGTTGTCATCTGGTTTGTATACCATGAGGAGTTTATGTTTGCAGCATCGCCCCTTTATCATCCTTAAAATTGTACTGACTACACTTTCCTCCGATTCCAACTGCCCGAACGTTCTACATTGGGATGCTGTTTGCAGATTCTAACAAGGGCAAAACGACAGTTTATTGCTTCTGATAGTCTTGGCTCTTCATCTGCCACTAACTCGTGTCATTTTCAGCTGTGATTTGTGGTGTGTATTGACTTACCACCTCCTCCCTACTAAAATTATGCAGGTCACTGAGAATGGCAAGCAGGAGCGGCACTTGGTAGCAACTGTTGGCAAGTTCAGTGTCGTTTGGAACTTCCAGCAAGTCAAAAATAGCAGCCACGAATGCTATCTGAATCAAGAAGGATTAAAAAGCTGCTACTGTTACAAGATAGTCCCGAAGAATGACTCCATCGTCGAAAGTCGTTTCATGCACGACAAGTTTGCGGTTTCTGACTCTCCAGAGGCTCCACTTGTGATTGCAACGAACCTGAAAGTCAGCTCCTTCAGTGTGTCCAGCAGGAGGTGATTGACAGAGACAGACATGCTTCGCTTTCAGATGTATTATTGTGTTGAATTTGTATTCATGGTTGTTGCCGTGTGATGAAATTGTGCTGTATCTAGAATTCTACTCTCATGTCATGTTGTATTTATAGCTTCTACTTGAAGCTTAAACGGGCATTGGAGTTTTGCATTTCCTCAACTCAAATCCTTTGTTAAATTGTTGAGAATTGAAGAAACTTTCCTTTGCTTCTAGGGATAAATGATTATGTCGTAACGGTTTAACCGCTAACCGGTTCAACTCATACTCTGCTCCTGCTGCAACTTCTCCTTAGCGAGTATGAGGTCCATTTTTGTCATATTTCTATCCTATAGAGTATAGAGTATAGACTGATGAGATGAGTTTCGGTTCACACGGTTGAACCAATTGTCATTTGGATTGTACTTCCATACGTGGCTGTAATTTGTGCATTCTGTATTTCTGTTGATAGACAGAGAGAAAGAGGTCGAACGAGAGAGAAGTAAAAGGGAGAAATGGCCATTGCAATGGGGAGAGCTTTGCTTGTCCATCCTTGCTCTGCTTCTTCTTCTTCTTCCACCTTAAGTTTCACATCAAGGAACACCCACAATCCATACTGGAGCTTAGCTGCTGACACACTATGGTCGGCCGCAAAAACCGGGCCACGTCACCCACTGACCGTGGCTCAAGCTCAACCGCGACCCACCTGGCTCCCTGGGCTCGACCCTCCTCCATATCTCGATGGCAGGTGAGACATTAAAACTAGCCCTTTATCGCCACAATGGTTCGATTTTCTGTGTTGGAAGTTTTGAACAATGGCTTCAATTCAATTGCGGCCGTGTGTAGCTTGCCAGGAGACTATGGGTTCGACCCGCTTGGGCTCGGAGAGGACCCGAACAGCTTGAAGTGGTATGTCCAGGCAGAGCTCGTCCACGCCAGGTTCTCCATGCTTGGAGTTGCTGGAATCCTCTTCACTGACGTGAGTTCCCTCGATGTTACAGAGATCGTTTCACTTTGTCATCCAGTTTTGTCGAATGATTGTTGACGTCGTTGTGTGTGGTTGTTGTTTCAGTTGCTGAGGGTGACGGGAATCAAGAACTTGCCAGTCTGGTACGAGGCAGGCGCCGTGAAGTTCGATTTTGCAAGCACCAGAACTCTGCTCTTTGTCCAGCTTCTGTGGATGGGGTAATGTTGTTGCAAAAAACCGTGCTATTTCTTTCACCTTTCATGTTCTTGCTTTGCAATTCCCAATTGGGTTTGTTAGATTGGATTGTTAAATCGACAATGACAAAAAAGTACAGAACACACACAAAACAGTAAAACGAATGTGTAATCCCGGTGACTCTCCACTTCCAATCGATTGCAGATAATCTGTATTCAAATCGTAGCAGCAGGATTTTGTTATTTACAAGTTCGATAAGGTCGTTATAAAAGGTTTGAGTAGGGATCTCACTTACATTGGAACTGAAATGAAAGTCTTAACTTGTAGGAGCGAAAATTAGCCTGAATTGCTCGAGTAGTTGGAAGGGCATCAATTATGGATGTTATACCGTTTTCTTACGGATTTTGCAGGTATGCTGAGACAAGGAGGTACATGGATTTTGTTAGCCCAGGATCTCAAGCCAAGGAGGGTTCCTTCTTCGGGTTGGAAGCTGCATTGGAAGGACTGGAGCCAGGGTAGATAAACACTCGAACACTGCTAGCTCGAATCGATCTCCATTTTTAGCAAGTAAACCAAAACATGAACCAATCTGTATTCTCCTTTATTGACTCAGATATCCAGGAGGACCGTTGCTGAACCCGCTCGGGCTGGCGAAGGACGTAAAGAGTGCTGGTGCATGGAAGCAGAAGGAGATCAAGAACGGGCGGCTGGCAATGGTGGCGATGCTGGGATTCTTCGTGCAGGCAGCTGTGACTCATAAGGGTCCGATTGATAACCTTGTGGAGCACCTCTCGAACCCGTTTCACAATACCATCATTCACACCCTGTCTAACTGAAGAGATTGCAGCAATTCTCTTCTTCTTGCTCCTTCGTGTTGAGATATGGAGCAAAGACTCGTCATTTTTTTTTTCCAGGGGATGTAACTTGTTCAATTTGTGCCTCAACTACTTGAAATTTCCATTTGTGTAGCTCATGGCTGAGTTGCAAAAAGAAAAAAAAAATATGTATAAAAAAGTCCGACCTACCGGATTCGAACCAGTGACCTAAGGATTTCAGCATTTTACTACAGTCCTCCGCTCTACCAACTGAGCTAAGGTCGGATTGATTATATGTTCTTTAAAAGTTTCGTAATTATAAATAAAAAGGTATCCAACTGGCCTAATACATGACAATCGCTGTTCCAGATGGCACTACCACTCTCCTAAGTCCTAAAGTCCTAACTCCTAAGTAATCGTGTGCTAGTTCAACAAACGCATTTGGCATTAGTTTGCTCTAAAACGGAGTCGTAGTACTCAATCCCTCTTTAATTTATGAACAAATGGCCATCTTCTATAATCGCCACAAAGGAATCGAAATTATCAAAAGGATTTGGTTTAACTTTATCAAATTAATGGACAACATAGCTTGCTTTTTTGTATTGTTAAAATAAAATTAAAATAAGTTAAGTTTCTAGAGAAGCTAAAACATAAATTGAGAATCTGAGGTGAACTGCGGATAGAGAATTTAAGGTTTTGTTTAGTATCATCTTTCATTTTCATTTTTGTTTACACGTGAAAATCGAGGATGAAAACATGTTTAATTTTGCTTTTGTCCGCTTTTTTGGCAATCGAGGCCCGGAGCTGGAGGTACTAGTAAGGTGAAAAGAAAATGTTCGTTCTAAATTTCTAATTTTCATTACCTACCTCTGATTATACCTAAGGTTGTCAACCCGCGGGTTGACCCAGACCCGGTGAAGCTAGTGAGTCAAGGGTTAATGGGTCACCCGGTTTAGCCTGGAAAATATGGAAATAGTCATTATATTGTACTTATCCTGATAAATTATATCAAATCCCATCTAACATATGAGTTATAACATATAATATTCCACCAAAATAACAGGTCATACTTAGATCCAACATATATTGAAAATTTACACACACTTATATAACATATATATTCAAATGTTTAACTTAGGATTCCAAAGATAGAGTTAGCTAGCCGAAAAGAAAAATCGGAAAATAGGCGCATTTCGCAAATCAAAGAAAAAATGACACAATTTGACCTCCAACCCGATACCTTGTAGCGGTCGACCCGGCGGGTGCATGCGGCCCGTTTTTCTCACTGGGTTAGGAATAAAGTGGGTCAACCCGCGGGTCGACCCGCGGGTTGACAACCTTGATTATACCTTAAAAGTCTATGCCCTAGAGAAACTTCAGGCTACTTGGTTCATCATATGGATTACCAAGAGAGCAGCAAAGATATGATGATGGACAGTTGTATAACCTAATTGCCAACGAAACTGTCTTCGATTGAAGTAACATAACTAACTGCAGCATCTTCCTGCGTAAACTGACATAATATGCTCAAACAACCACCAGGCTAAAAAAGACTCGTTTGTGTAAACTTCCATGTCACCAAACTCCAAGAATGGGCAAAAGTAATGATACAGGTTTCAACAAGTTAGCCGTCACGAGTTAGCATTTCACACCCTTGTAGAAACAAACATCGAACCGGGATCTTCATAACTCAAAGCTATCCAAGCTATACGCCATCAGGGGAATGGAACGGTCTAGGTTAAGGAATCTCATCCTATGTTCCGAGCAAAACGGTCAAGAGATGGGCGTCTCAATATCTGACCTGCATGATTACTGGCATGGTAACACGCTCCAAATATCTTGCTGTGTTTATCACTGATAGCTCTGCGCCATGGAGTTTTTATGCCAAATCTCAGACAATTATGACTTGGTAACTAACTGAATGTGCTCGGACTGGGTTTTACCGGGGGGAATGAAAATCAAATCTTCCCATTCTGAGTTTTTCTCACTTGTCTACACAAGAAATGGAGTCGAGCATGAATATGGGCGGCCAATACTTTACGTTGTAAACACTGATCCAAATAACAAATCCATTACCTCCATTTTCCTAAGAACGTCTTCTAGGCTCCCCACCTGCTAAGACAAAAGAACATCACATGTAGTGGTGTACCCACCACAGTCAAATCTCAACACAAAAGGAGTTTCAAAGTAAGCACTAAAATAAGAGATTTTGGTTTGAAAGCAAATAGGAGATAATCAAAATGTACTAATCATGTATCCATCCTCAATAGAGAGCATGAATCCTACATGTTATTGCTATTATTATCCATGGGTAGCCAGTTGTTTGTACCATCTAGCTCGAGGTATGAACAATAATGATTGTTGTGTGGGTCGACTCATCATCCGTTCGTCTGATCTCGTCGGGAGGGAAGAAACCTGTGAAAAGTGCCGGGGTTGCCCCCCGGATTAAGCTCCGACAGTCAAGTTAGTGTATGTTTGTGGAGAGAGTTGAGAGAATAGATAGAGAGATAGTAGAAAGTGGAAAGTGAGGAGAGAGAAGAAATCCTCTTCCTTGGTGGGTTTCATACCTTTATATACTCGTAGCGGGTTTAGAGCGTCATACGTTGTCGATTGGACGCGGTATTACTTAGTCTCTGCAGGGAGTCCCTTAGCAACACCCCCAACAATTGCCCCCCAAGCTGGTGGTGAGTTTTAACTCATCACTAGCTTATATTTTATTTTTTAAATCTTCGTCGGTAATTTTGGGTGGGGCCCTATGTACCCCAGTTGCCCCCCAGCTGGTGGCGCGTTTGACTGACGCGGTGCCAGCTTCTTGCGTCTTGCCCCCCATTAGTGCCATTAGCGCTCATGAAAGTAAAATATTTCAATTTTTAATAATGATAGATGGATAGAGTACTTAGATTTAAATTGGAGAGGCGGCAGGATACCGATTAAGTGGAATGCGCCGCACTATTTTGGTACAAGGCGTGTATGTAGCCTACTGGTATTGTTGCTTGTCATGCGGAGGAGTAACGCGAGTTCGAACCCTCGCGGCGACAACATTTCTTTTTTTGAAGCGAAGCGAAGCTTGGACTTGGCGGGCCGGAGAACTCGAGCGAGCTAGTGGGCCGCAAGTTGGAGATGATCGCGGGCTTGGACTTGGCGGGCCGTGGAACGCGAGCGACGCGAGTTCGAACCCTCGCGGCGACAACATTTCTTTTTTTGAAGCGAAGCGAAGCTTGGACTTGGCGGGCCGGAGATCTCGAGCGAGCTAGTGGGCCGCAAGTTGGAGATGATCGCGGGCTTGGACTTGGCGGGCCGTGGAACGCGAGCGAGCTAGTGGTCCGCGAACTTGGAGTTGGACCTCCGGGCTTCGTTGCGCCGAGGTGGTGGCTGATCCGCGAGTTCATAGCGCGCGGGCTATAGCCGCGAGTGGGCTTGGCGGGTCGGGGAGGAGCGAGCGAGCTTGCGGATCGCGAGTAGAGGGCGCGAGCAGGACAACACGGAATGAGAACGAGCGGGCTTGACCTCGCGGCCCGGGAGATATGAGTGATTAGTTTTGACTTGAAGAGGCGGCGACAAAGTTTGTTGAAAAAGGGATATCGCGTAAATGTTCACAACTCGACTTGTAGACTGCTGGTCAGTGTGTTTGAATGTTGAAGGAGTGGCGCGGGCTCGATTCCTGGTGGTGACAAATTTTTTTTTTTTTAACTGAGTGGGCGCGAATAGTGCATGACTATTGCTATTTTTTGTTCTCTCGAACTGAGTGGGCGCGAATAGTGCGTGACTATTGCTATTTTTTGTTCTTTCGAACTGAGTGGGCGCGAATAGTTCGTGACTATTGCGACTTTTTGTTCCGTGGAACTGTGTTTTTCACTGATAGCTCTGCGCCATGGAGTTTTTATGCCAAATCTCAGACAATTATGACTTGGTAACTAACTGAATGTGCTCAGACTGGGTTTTACCGGGGGGAATGAAAATCAAATCTTCCCATTCGGAGTTTTTCTCACTTGTCTACACAAGAAATGGAGTCGAGCATGAATATGGGCGGCCAATACTTTACGTTGTAAACACTGATCCAAATAACAAATCCATTACCTCCATTTTCCTAAGAACGTCTTCTAGGCTCCCCACCTGCTAAGACAAAAGAACATCACATGTAGTGGTGTACCCACCACAGTCAAATCTCAACACAAAAGGAGTTTCAAAGTAAGCACTTAAATAAGAGATTTTGGTTTGAAAGCAAATAGGAGATAATCAAAATGTCCTAATCATGTATCCATCCTCAATAGAGAGCATGAATCCTACATGTTATTGCTATTATTATCCATGGGTAGCCAGTTGTTTGTACCATCTAGCTCGAGGTATGAACAATAATGATTGTTGTGTGGGTCGACTCGTCATCTGTTCGTCTGATCTCGTCGGGAGGGAAGAAACCTGTGAAAAGTGCCGGGGTTGCCCCCCGGATTAAGCTCCGACGGTCAAGTTAGTGTATGTTTGTGGAGAGAGTTGAGAGAATAGATAGAGAGATAAAGTGTAGAGAGATAGTAGAAAGTGGAAAGTGAGGAGAGAGAAGAAATCCTCTTCCTTGGTGGGTTTCATACCTTTATATACTCGTAGCGGGTTTAGAGCGTCATACGTTGTCGATTGGACGCGGTATTACTTAGTCTCTGCAGGGAGTCCCTTAGCAACACCCCCAACAATTGCCCCCCAAGCTGGTGGTGAGTTTTAACTCATCACTAGCTTATATTTTATTTTTTAAATCTTCGTCGGTAATTTTGGGTGGGGCCCTATGTACCCCAGTTGCCCCCCAGCTGGTGGCGCGTTTGACTGACGCGGTGCCAGCTTCTTGCGTCTTGCCCCCCATTAGTGCCATTAGCGCTCATGAAAGTAAAATATTTCAATTTTTAATAATGATAGATGGATAGAGTACTTAGATTTAAATTGGAGAGGGGGCAGGATACCGATTAAGTGGAATGCGCCGCACTATTTTGGTACAAGGCGTGTATGTAGCCTACTGGTATTGTTGCTTGTCATGCGGAGGAGTAACGCGAGTTCGAACCCTCGCGGCGACAACATTTCTTTTTTTGAAGCGAAGCGAAGCTTGGACTTGGCGGGCCGGAGAACTCGAGCGAGCTAGTGGGCCGCAAGTTGGAGATGATCGCGGGCTTGGACTTGGCGGGCCGTGGAACGCGAGCGACGCGAGTTCGAACCCTCGCGGCGACAACATTTCTTTTTTTGAAGCGAAGCGAAGCTTGGACTTGGCGGGCCGGAGATCTCGAGCGAGCTAGTGGGCCGCAAGTTGGAGATGATCGCGGGCTTGGACTTGGCGGGCCGTGGAACGCGAGCGAGCTAGTGGTCCGCGAACTTGGAGTTGGACCTCCGG